CCAGAGGTCTTACCTTGCATTTGTATGTGTGTGTTTGAAGTGATGCATTATCCAAAGGGGACTAAAGCCTTGAAGCAACACACAAATTAATGAATCCCATTTTATCCTTCCCCTCCTCCTCCAACATTAGGACCGTTCAGCTCAGCCTCCATCTTTCCATGATTTGATCCATGCACAGGTATTTCTCCCAAACCTTTCAGAAAAATTCAAGGTTTTCCTGGGACAACTCACACACACACTCTAAATCAAAGCTTCCTGAAAGCTTTAGTGAAGGGAGTTTTACACACAGGTGCATAAAAGCACATTTTTATCCTTGTATGATTCAGGGCGGATACTCCTTTTTGAAGCAGGCTTTAAATCAAAGAGGTCCTCTGAGGTCTGGATAATATTTTTAGGGGGAAATGTTGTCAAAACTGGTCTGGTAGTAACAACAGCAACCTGTTGGGCTCACAGAAGAGCTTTTCTGTTGTCTTTTGCCATGTCGGTGTCAAACTTTTTCTCCGTTTTCACTTTTTATCCCTGCATGCAAAACTCACAGACAGTAAAAACACAAGACCATAAGCAGAAATATAAATAGTTTATATTTGACAGTAACCCAATGAATATTTCACACATACAGTCATCGTCAGATGGTAAAAACTTTGTTGAACTGAAAAACTTTTTGGCATTGAGTAGATGTCACAGACTGTGAATCTTATAACAATCAAAATGTCACGTCATTTCCCTGAACAGTTTGTTTTTTGTTGTTCATGTTCTTAGATAAAGGTAACAGGCAGCATTTTCCTCTACTCTCAAACTGTCCTTGTTTCCTGATTTGTCACTGACCTTACTTTTTCAGTGAAAGGCACAAAAAGCAGCCAGATGGATAAAACTTAAAGAAAATAAGTACAGCTATAAAAAGATTCCATATCTAATGTAAATGAATTTTAGGAATATATTTTTTTCACAATTTAATTCATACTTATTCCATCAAATTTGGTGTGTGAGATGCCCTTTTAATTCACAAAGACCTGTAGTATCTTCTGCAATTGTTAAGAAACAACAACAAAAAACAACTCCCTATTTGGTGCTGGTTAACCACTAAAAATCTGGGCTGTCCTCGCTTTGCTACGGCAGCAGAGCAGAAAGGTTTGCACAACCAATCAACATGAAACAGGGAGTCAAGAAACAAAGCAAAATTAATGCAACTGTGTCGTATCTTACTTAACCAAACCGATAAACTGTCTGTATGAGTAAAGCCAGGACTTGAATAAACAGGTCAGGGGTTTACAGAGTTTATCAATTCTATGTGTAACGCATATGAGGAGGTGTTACACTCTAGACCAGAGTCAGGGTTCCTACACAAGTATGGAAAGTATGGAAGTAATTTGATCAATTTCCAGGTCTCAAAAAGGATGGTAAATGAAAAAAGAAGTATAGAAAAATATCTATGTTAACAGACTATATTAACACAGTTATAAAATACTGTTTTCAAAATAGAAAAGTAGGTATTTCCAAAAATAATTCTAACAAGTAGGGTATGGAAAAGTATGGAAATTCCAACTGTGTAGGAACCCTGCAGAGTGAACTGCTTAGCGCCTCTAAAAGAGTCTACACATTTGTATTCTACAATGACATGCTGTTTTACTCAGTTGGCACTTGAAGATGAGCTGCCACCTTTTAATACTTACCACTGCTATGATGTGTCAGTGGTATACGTTTAACAAATGAATTCTACGGAGTGCTTTAGATTCAGAACTTCTCAAATTGAGTCAATAAATCACCAGCAGAATTCTAGTAATGGTGCTTGTTTAAGTGGATTGCAGGCAGGGAGTCAGCTGGTACATACAAACTATCAAGACCACTTCAGCCTGAGCTCAACAACATATGAGTAGCTGGTATGGTTGTGACACAATATGGTACTAGAAGGAGCTTTTCTTAACACACTTGAAGTCATCAAACAGGAGGACAGTTCAAAACCTTTTCCCTTTGTGGGCCCCTCCAAAAATAGACTGCTTTTAAATACCGTCGCAACTTTTCTAATGGATCTTGCATGTAGTAAAAGTGGCAGTCCAGCCCTCCCATCCTCAGAACAGGAACAAAAGCTCTCTTTTCTTATCATTGTGTTCATGGAAAGGCAGGCTGTGCATTCACCACAATGTGAATTTGGCTGAGGGATTATCACAGCCCAGCAGTGAGTGTGCTAATCTGACCAGACGCCCTTGAGAGGAAAAGGCAACACAGAGCCTAAATGTTAAGCTAAATCCATCGAGGATAAATCCTGAGCCCCTGCTGAAAGAGAATATAAAGATACTCATCTGAAGATAAGAGCATATAGAATACAGAAATAATGCAACGGCAACACAACTGTGGATGCAGCAGGAAACAGGAGATAAGATAAATGCAGCTCACTGTATTGCTTAAGGAAATAATGTGAGATAACTGAAGTGAAGAGCATATGTGTTCCCACACTGAGAGTTACACAACGTAAGGTCATAAAACAACGAAGCTGCACGTCACAGAAGTCTATCAGCAATCTGAACATTTCTATAAATGTCACTGTGCACTCATTGTTACAGCACCAGCACAGCAGCATTTACAGATTCATAGGCTTGAATATATTTGGCACAGTGCATTCATCAAACACGTATTTATATTCAAACACATCCTTTGAGATATGCACATTTACGTATATACTGTATGTATATACACTCATACATAAACATAGAGAATAAGAAAAGACTGCTTTCTTTTTTTCAAAATTTGGGTTACACTGTGATCTTAAAAGTCTTAAAATATTCCCAATTTTATTTTTTTTCCTTTTTCTATTTCTCTTCTAAAGGTATTTTGTGCGTTTGATGGACAGGCCAGTGAAGAAGACAGAAAATGTGAGAGAAAGAGAGAGGGGATGACATGCAGCAAATGGTCAGGGCTGGGACTCAAACTACAACCACTGTGAATGACAAAGAAAGGTACATTTTCTGTAAATGCATCGCAGAAGATCAGCTAATCATCACCACTCTCATGTCTTTGCAGGAATACGCAGTACATCCTGTCTGAATATGGAGTAGGTGGTACATAAGTGTGGTTTGAGATACAGCCAGGGTTTTCATAAAGACTGGGGAGAGACAGTTCAGATGTTTTTTGAATCTTAAGTCACTCAAAACCACTTGTGTAAAACCATAAGAACCAAAAATACGCATCTAATCTGTTGAGAACTGATAATAATAAGGTACTGGTTTACAGGCTGAGTTACCTGTTTGACTAAATGACACTGTCAATCCTTCGTTTTCCATGTTTGATAAAAAGCTTAGCTTAGTGGAGCTGGTCACAGCTTCCTACTCGCCATACAGACATGAGAGAACTTCTTATGTAATGAGACAAAAACAATGCATTCCTTTATATATATCAACTATTGATTTAAAACTAAGACTAACAATAAGAAAGTCAAAAACTTAGTGTAACATTAAAGCTTATAGAAACCTGGTTCTTTAAGAGATAAAAAACAATCCAAGGTTTTATTACAGCGCTCTTATATTCAGAATTTCCATATGACTTGAAACACTTAAATACACAGAGGTACTATTTGTAAAATATGATAGATTTGTGAGGCAGCTGCAGTGAGAGGTTGTTTATATGATGCAAACCAAACTTGAGTGGAGTGTGATATAAAAAAAAAAGGATCCAGTAACCTGAACAGCACAGAGGGATGTGGATTAACAGACATGCTCTGACTGGCTGCTAAGTTAAAAGGGTGACTGCGGCTCTTTATAAGCAGGTGCAGTAGATTTATTACTTAATTAACTCAGGCCGAGGGAGAAGTTAAGAGAAACCTGCTCTGACTACTGATTAGCTGCTGGTACTGATTTGTTTCCTGCAGCGCTTCAGAGGAAACTATCAAGAATTAACTAAAGGAACTCAAAGAACCACCACTTCCCCTGAGACAATAAAACTAAATTGGCTCTTGATTAAAAACACAACTTCTGAATAGAAAACTTGTGAGTGAAATTGTGGCTGAAATGGGTGAATATTTAATGTAAAAGCTATTTTTAAAGGTTTCATCTGATAAATGAGACGATCCTTTGTAAACCAGGATGTATTAAAGTTTGTTTGCCACTCAAGATAGCACCACGTTCACCATATGAAAGAGAACAGATAATATTCTAATCTTTTCAAAATTTAATTTATGTTAAAGGAAAGAAATCAGAAATATTGTTTAATAATTCCTATCAAACTTTCTATTGATTTACTTAAAAATCATATGGATGGCAACATAAAGATTACATCTTTCGCTGTAGCTGATATTTAATTTTTAAAAAGGAGGTATCTAGAATTGGCTAAAGGGGTTTTAACTGTAGATCTTGGTGGATGCAGTGACTGGTTAGTATTAATGTAGTCCCACTGGAAATTTTTGCATATGTGCCGACAGTTTAGTTTCAATTCTGTTTGTTTTTTTAGTGAAGACCCTCTGAGGTGTGTGATGAGGGTCTTTCACATCTGTAGTTTGTTTGCTTTGTTGTGATTCAGATGATAAAATGATACATTATCCAAACTGCAATACTGTAAAGCATGTAAAAGTTCGCATTATGGAAGGACTGTCTTGACCACAGACATAATATCCATAGACGCCTTATCGACTGATGCTGCCTATCGGAGCTGGTGTGTCAGCGTGGCAGCCATTGTTGATGGGTTCCCAGTGCCATCATTTCTGTTGAGGAAGGCAGGAACGCCCAATTAAAGTAATAATAACTACCTATTTTACTGTATTTTCACACGGTTTGGTTTGTTTCAAACAGCAGAGATCATTCATCCATATTTTCACACAGTATTTCTGACCGTCTTGAATAAAAAATTGAAGAAACATTGAAGAAAATGATCTTTCTACAAAGCATGTGTTTGGTACGATTTCTTACCCATGATGCTGATGTCTTCTTTTACTTTTGGTTTCTTGAAAAACTAACAGTTTTTAGATTTTCAGTTGAGCAAAGTCATCAGAAACAGATGATGGGAAAGAAAATGGGATGGTGGCTCATTCAAAAGGCAAGTCAACGGCTCGAAAATCCGTAAAACTAACTTTCAGTCTGATGTGCTCTGTAAAAAGTTTGCGACTGAGATATGCACAGCAGCATCACAACATTTTTCATTAGAAAGTTTGAAAAAACCCACATTACTCATCAATTACACCCAAAAGCAGAGCCATAGCTGATTGATGTTCGGTATAGTTACACTAACATGATGTATGTTCTGTAGCCTTCACTCTGCACTGGATGCCAACGGCAAAAATCAATTTGGGCTGCAGAAAACCACAAGCAAGCTCTGCACACACAGGCAAACACAAACACACACTTACACACACATCCTGCATCGTGAGACCAGTCCAGTGAGGTGTGGAGTGAGAAGTGGGAGGCTCATCAATCAGGCAGGAGATTCCATTGCAGGGCTGCCGGTGCAGGACCGGTGTAACAGCTGCCGGTACAGGTCTGCTGTGAGTGAGCTGCCAGGCTGAGCAATGTTTCCAAGAACACAAGAGTCCAACATCCGAGTCATCAACAAATAAATAGAATAAAAAAAATAAAAAGCACCAAAATTTCTTCCTTGTTTCTTTAAAAATTCAAAAGGAACAAGGTTTTGTGATGAGTGCTAGACTAAAAATGCTGCTGTAGCTTGTCTGTTCAAGGTGAAAATCATTTGCTGTTTGCACTTGAAAGGCACGGCGTTTGGCTTTTGCATGAATCCATAATGCAGGATACCAAGGTTAAATGTGGAAAAAAAAATGAACTGACTTTGGCTTTCTTCATATTCTTGAGACTTAAATGTGTCCCATCATTATTCCGCCTCTTCAGCTATTTCTTTAAAAGCCCCAATGATTAGACTGCAGAAGAGAGTCCTGGTTTTAAAATGAATCATGTTTAACCCAGCTTGGCCCGGGTGTCCTGGTTGTAAAACACGACCTGCAAAAGGATGGCCACATCGATTAGGATCTGAACTGAACCACAGATGACAAACTGAGTCGGGCTTTCATTCATCACGAAGTAGGTGGTCTTGAAGACATCGCCAGCTGTCCACAGCAGCACCATCTTCACACTGAAGCAGGAGAGACACAAAAAAAAGAGAGAGAGACAGAGAGAGAAAGGCACAATTTGATCGCTTTCAGATAGCAAAGTCCAGAAACAGAAAACAGCCAGTCTGATGAAATTACAGAGCGCCTCTAAACCTCAAACCTGCTTTTCTGCAGGTTAAAAACACATTGTGTTTTTCAGAGGCTGTTAGTTGAATCTGGGCTATATCTATACTACACTGTATATGGCTCAACAGCTATCATAATTATTTTGGTTGAGTTCTTGGAGATCAGTTATGCAACTCACAGTTGCTTTTTGAAATAAATAGTTATCGAATAATGGGTTAAAGTGCAATGTCCAAATTTCGTCTAAAAATATACAGAATCTAGACAGTTGAAATTAGGTCTAAAAAAAACTAGACACCTAATAATTGTCTATTGGTCAGTGGGAAGCGAACAGTTTCCCTGATTGCCTGTGTATAATTATCATTGCTACCCCTGCCTTCACTTACTATACAAAAGTGGAGCCAAAACACCCCCAATCACTATTGTGCAAGCACAGCCTCTATTGTTATTTTCCTCCTAACATACTGGTCTTTTTAATGCCGAGTCCCCATGTTGTGTAAATAGCAGGTGAACTGCATTATCATCCATGGGCATGTTGGTCCTGATGATGAGACATGACTGTGTGCACAGGTGGCATGTCCAACAAAATAAAGACACAGTAACTGCTAACCCCTCCCTCCAGCACTGCACAGGCCAAAAACCCCAGAACGAGACTGTTACCAAGCTCTTCAACATGCACACTCTCCCTCTGACACACACACAGAAACAGATACACACTCTCACACAGTTTAGAGGTTTTTCTTTTTTACAAATCTCAAACACAACACAGTGCTGCACCCAAAGATATCAATGAAGACTCCGTGATATTCATTATCCACACAGTAGTGATCCAACAAAAAAGATTACTGGCCTACCTATTTGATGTTAGGTACACAGTGCATTAGTCTTCATTAAATCTTGTACAACACTGTTGGTCCGTCTTAATATTTCAATGATTATTAATGAAGTTATGCTGCTGTGTCTCACCAGTCGGAAAAGTCCCTGGTTGTTTCCTCTCTGCAGAAGGATTGTATCAGTCGATATAACATGAATCCATGCATTAATGTGACTTTTACAGTGACGCATACTGTCATTGTGTGTTACCTGCATTTTAAGGAATACAGTGGTAAAACCAAAATTACATATGTCTGCTTAAGCCCAGTCTGTTCAAGTAGAGAGGCTAAAATCTGCCATGCAAATAGTAACACGCTTACCTGCAGGCGCACCTGACTCAAAGCAGAAACACAGATTTTATCCATGCCAAACCTAAAAACACTTCTAAGGAATCAAGAGACTTTATCCAACCCCTTTGCGTTCTGTACCTCCGCCTTGGAGCCAGATGGTGCGCCGCTTAACTAGCAAAATCAAAAACACCATTTCTTACTTTGCACCACGCACTTTTGACTACCTCTTTTACTTGGACAAAGACAGATGGACAGAGGAGAGACTCATAAAGGGCGATGGAGAAAGAGAGAGATGGACAGAGGTTAGTTTGATGCATATAGTTTACACAGCTAGAAAACAGGCAGGTCCACAGCTGCAGGAGGCCGGAAGCAGCGTTCCAGAGTAACCTACAGCATGATGGAGCTCAGGGACTCCCAGAAAACACTGTGTATAAGTGACTCTAGTGTGACATGATGATTCAAAGTTCATGACACAAACATAAGGAGGATGGAGAAGGAGGGCAAGGTGCTCAATGTGCCAGTACCCCCAGCAGTCTAAACTCATAAAGGCATAACTAAGAGCTGGCCCTGGCCTGCACCAGGTCTAACTATAAGCTTTATCAAAGAGGAAAGTTTTAGGTAAAGGTACAGAGAGTGTCTGCTTTCCATACTTTGACTGATTTCAGAGGAGAGGGGCCTGATAACTGAAAGCTCTACTACCCCGACCATTTATGGAGACCTAATAAGCAGGCCTGCAAATAGAGACCTTGATCTTCTTGAGGGTTAATAGTCATCTACAAGATCTAGGAGGCTGTCATGTTGCCCATCTTTTTACAGTCTCGGCCACCTGTCTCCAGCCTTTATGCTCGTCCTCCAATCAATCGGTCTGCTTGATTCAAATTCATGCCCAGACATAATAGCGATTTTCTCCTAACTCCAAGGATAAAGTACAATGACGTGCTTTCAAACCCATTGAATTTTTTTTTCTTTTGTCCTTTCTTTTACAACAGCAGAGAAATGATCCGTTATTGTTACATTCCTCACAAAAAAAGGAAAAAAAAAACCAAAGAAAGAAAGAAAGAAAAAAAAAAGAAAGAAACAAATTAAAAGTAAAACAACAGCTGTCGTTCCCCCCCGGCATTACCTGCCAACACTTAACAGATTTTTCATAATGTTCTGTTCTTGATTCAGTTCCTGCAGTATGAGAAACAGCAGGAAGGCGGTAAAAAAAAATCAATGAACAGGGTGAAGTAAACTACCCATTGATCACAGCGTCAGAGAAAGTGAGGGGAAGAGAAAGATGCACAAAGACTGCCTGTCGGAGAAACAGAAGCGGAGAAGAAAGAACCTTGAAGAAGACATGAGTCGTCTGCCTCGCCGGCGGCCTGATGCCAACACGAAACCCTGGAGGAGTTCTCTGAAACTTTGCAGGAAGCATGAGACAGGGAGCAGACAGGTTACTCTTCATCGTGAATCACTGTTTCTTCTTCTACTCCTCCTCCCTCCTTCTGGTCTTTATTATTCACCAGTTTTTCTAGTATTATTCTTTTTTCATGCTTTTCTGTCCTTTTCGATTTTACTCTACTTTCATGCCCACTCCTTCCTCTATTTATCACCACCCGTTTTGAGTTGACCTCAAAATAAGTTTATGTACACATTTTCCAACTCAATCATAATTCCTAGCATCAATCTTTGAAGCTGTTTTATATTCAGTCTCTTGTTATATCTGCACTCTCAGCTGCACCCTCATACCTGAGAAGAGATTAACTCTGTTATAGAGTCTCAACACAGTTGTACTGAAGAAAATAAAAACAACACAAAAGACTCAATAGCACTATCATTAAAGACTTGATTCATTTAGGGGGTCACGTATCAGTATCAACAAAAACTAATAACCTCTATACTTGTTTCTGTTGATTGAAATAGCTTCTTTAATATTCCCTCTGTGTATCATCAAACTGGAATGAATCAAAAGCTGCAAAAAACAACAAACGCCAAACACTGAACAAATGTCACCCTCGTAGCCACGTGTGTCTTTGTTACTGACATGCATCAGAAATAACTGTTGAAAAATAACATGGACGCATGAAGTCAGCGTGAATTTGTACCTCCAGTGCAGTCGTTGCTGATAAATGACAAAATTACCACCATACAGATAAACTAATTCTGCTCATCACAGGAACGCACCGCTTGTAATTTAACAGCTTGATGGTTGTTGGGTTGTTTTCAATCAGACTGTGTATTTTTGTTTTTGTTGTGATTGCTTTTTGGGGAAATTTGCTGTGAAGATTAAAAAAAATTAAGGGGGGTTTCATTAAAATAACGCAGATATTAACTACATGTCGCATTAAAACCTGAAGAAAGACACATTTTGAATCATAGTCTTGATTTTCGGCCTTGATCCTGGTCTTCAAAGATTGAGATCTATTCTTTTTTTTAAGTTCTGTCCTAAGTGTTTGCCAGTAACTTTCCGCTAAACTTAAGATGAGATTAGAGGGGGAAATTGCCTTCAGCAAACACAGTTCAACAGAGCAGAAGAAACATGCAGCTCAGTGAACTTTGGTATTTTGAAAAGACAACACAACAGACCAGACAGGACACAATGAATACTGATGAAGTAGAGCCTACAAACTTAAAATGGAGGTTCATAAATATGCAAAACAATGTAAAACAAAAAATGATGATTATTATTTTTGATATAAAACAAAACAAAGTAAAACCCTTGTTATCAACAGAGTGGTGCCTTCAGATGTCAAGATACCAAATGATAATTTTGGACAAATACTAAGCACAGAAAAATATAAATAATAAAACCAACATGTATGCAAATCCTGCATGGCATTTAAGTCTATCTTAATGGGTTTAGTTGAGCAAAGAAAAAGAAAAAAGAAAGCGCTTAAAGCACCTGAGAGGGAATTCCTGTTTGTGTTGTTTTTGGCGCCCCCTGTGGACAAAGAGAGACCACTTATCCCTAATCACACTGTGTACAATTGTATGTAAAATTTTCTTTTTAGGCTCCTGATACTGGTCTAATACTGATTTGCCAATAGATTTGCCAGATTTGCCACCAAGTCCTCATTGCGAACATGTATCCATCTAAATGACAGAGCTGCACACTTTTTTAACAACTAAAACATATTAAAACAAACTCACTTGAAGATGTCTTCAGTTTATTCCATTTACATTCATCTGGTTAGCACTGTATCATCTAACTGAATCTTTGATCAGACAAAAATGCTAAGATCAGCTCTGATTCAGTCACTGGGATCAGGATTGGGTCATCCCAGGGTTTTCGAGTTCAAAAAGAATCATGCTTTCTTATATGTTCAGATTTATCACAAACTGGTTATTTGCTGTGGAAAAAAAATAAAGAGAGGCCTTTTACTTTTAGTCATCTGCTCTGACCAAAACCCTTTCACAGTAATTACAGACATTAAAAATTACAATATAGTATTTGTCAGTCTTGGTGCAGATGGTTTCATTTGCTTCAATCTGACCCTATCACATGCCTCTGCATTGGATTGATCCAGATTACCATTAAAAAAAAGATTTGCCAGGAGTGTGACTGAAGACACAGAGGTTTATTCTTATCTTGCTCTCTGCAGTTACCCCACTTTTAGGTCTGAATGGTAATATTTGGGCTGACTGAGCATGGAAACGCAGCAGGACCATCAGTTATCAAAGGGACATGCTGTGAGGGTCAGGGGGCTAAGGGGGGGGAAGGACATGAGGGACACAGAAACAGAAAAACTGCAAAAGATGGCATTTACTCTTCATGCAGTCTGGAGAGAAGGCAAAGATGACAAAACCACCAGAGAGTAGGAGCAGAGCTCAGAGAGACAGAGAGGGATGAGGAGAGTGTTTGGGGGTTCAGGCAGTAATGACTTTGGGGACATCTGTCCTGTGCTGTCCTTGAGCTCTGCTTGCAGAGTCATGTCAGGCTCCTAACTCTCTCCCTTGGGTCCCTGCAGGCTCTGATGGGAAACTGAAACATTTGTTGCAAACATTTCCACTATGGCACATAATTGAGGACATTACCATTCAGCAACTCTGGAAATGCACTGAATCCAGAACCCGAAAGAATGAATTTGGAGGTGATGAATAACCCGGGCTGATGCAGGCTGCACTCAGAGGTTGTGCAGGAAAAGTGAACATTGTAAACCATCAAAATTGTTCTCACAGCTGTTAACAAAAGCGACAGTCCCGCTGTACATCTGGAGTCTTTCACAAGCAATCACATCTGCTCTAATGCGTTCATTAATAACATGATTAACCGTCAAAAAGTGGAAACACCGCGTCTGTGGGGGATTCATTAAACTTCTCAGACAGAGAATGTTATTACAGACAACGGGAGCATTTTTCATTAGTAATGAAACAGCATGAAATTCATACTGATGTCTCTTCATGAGGGGGTACAAAGCTAATGTTAACCACAAGAGCTAACCACAAGAGAGACTATTTTTTTCGTAGCTGTTATTTATGTTCGAACCTGCCAACATGGGACTGGTATCAGATGAGACGATTAACGGATTTTTTAAACACATTTGCAGCAAATATTAACAATAAGTTTTAAGAGCAGGACATGATTTTTTTGTAAAAAAAACAGGACCTAATAGCGCGGTTTAAGCGTGAACACCGTGTATAGAAGCTATTATCCTCATTGAAGTGGTCCCTGGTTTGATTCTTTGGTAAATGTCATCCCCACTCTCCGCTCCCCACATTTCAAATGTCTCTTCAGCTGCAATATTTGAAAAAAAAAACCCAAAAATGTCCAAAAGAGTCAACACCACCTAACCATGTACAGGGAAGATCAGCAGCAGATCAAAAGAGGCTGCGGCTCAGGGGTAAAGTCGCTCATCTCTCAGTCAGAGGGTTGGGGTTCAATTACAGGTCCAAATCCCAAAGTGTCTTTTGGCGAGAAACTCTGTCTTGTTCACCAAAATCTTACAAACGAATCATCTTCAACAACTTCAATCAAGTCCAGTTTTCCCCAGTTAGCCTCGGATCACACTGACCTGAATGAATGTCAGCCTACATAGGCAACATAAACCAGCTTAAACTTAGATATACATGCTTGGATTCAGTTGCCATGGTTCCCTGCACACAAACAAGGAGGGGACGTAATGAGACTGGACTGAGACTGAGACAAGCCAATCAGCCTCAGTCAACAGCCAGCTTTCTCCATCTTTGGTCAAACTAATCAGCTTGTTTTTAACCCCCGCAGCCTGAATTAGAAATCAATCGCCCCCTCTACCAAAATTCAGCTAAGCATTGCTTGTTTCAAACTCATCTGAGTCCCACTGATGTTTTCTGCTGAAATTCAAACTTTCAGGATAAACACTCCAGGGTTTGATTGAACTGCTCCAAAAATAAGAGCGCTGAAGAATTTGAAAACTTTCTCTTTCTCTAAGTTGTCTGTTTTCCTCAAAAGAATGGCTGGCTTTCTATTTCACCAGTTTTTCTTCCCTCAGAGGTTTCTTTGTTGAACCCCACATGCAGTTCTTGTTTCATCTTTCTGCTCATCTTTTCCTTTCACAGCTCCACTTTCTTCTTTTTTTTCCACTGTCCCATACCGCTGTCATCTTCACTTTAGTGTCTCTGTCACTGCCTTTACTCTGCACCTCTCTTCTCCAGAAAAGTAAACTTCGAGACATTTAAAAGTTTTTCCTGTGAATTATTGTTGAGTATACAACAAAATATGCTTGTTACAGAACAGAAAATAGAAAGTTTAATCATTTCTCTGTGTTTCAATATCTGTTTCTTGAAGCTGCACCTACTTTCCACTGATTGCAGACGGCGATAAATGCAGACTTTTTCACCTGATTGCAGAAACCACCCCATCTTTTTAATGTCTTTTTGTTTTGTCTGCTGTGATTGATGTTAAATGTAGTTATGAAAGACAGTATTTTAAAATACACACATTTATGGAAGAAAACAGGTAAGCTAACTTCATTTATGTAAAACATAAAGTGCATTTTATGTGCACTTTATGTGTTCTACTTAAAGTGCTGATAGCTCATCAGTTTCTTCTTTCAGTCTTGGTGACAATTTCCTTAAAATGCCAGCAGAGACTATTTAACAGTGAATGCGTCCAACAAGCAAGTCAGGACATATTGTCATGGATATCAAGTTGGAAATTCTGCAAATGCAGCAGCTTTATCAAAGGACCACTGGCTCAATCACCATAGAGCAACAGGAGATGATTAACATTTGTTTTATAGGCAAAGAAGTCAGATACAGCTTTCAGAGTGAGACCAGCGGATTTATATGAGGAGGAATAACATGAGTTAGAAACCAAAAGGAGGATGATAGTGTTTATGTTTTTTTCATGGTGTTACCTTTTCATATGTCATGTAGCCATTAGCAATAGCTGTGCGGTCCACATGATGATGACATATCACAGAGAAGTTCAAGGGGAGCAGAGGGTGGAGGTGGATGTAGTATCTGCTTGGTGAACCTCCCTGAGGTGTTGTGGGCCTGACTTATTAAAGGCTGCTAGAGAGAGGTGCCTGCTTGATACTCTTCCCCACATATTCCCTGCACATCTATCCACATACATGTTTAGATAGAAGCAATTGGAGGCCATGTTTTCGGGGTGGACAGTATCAGCAATGTCTTTACCTGGATCCCACTAAAAGAAGTCTGAATCTGTTGAAGGTGGTGGTGCTGTTTTGGTTCTGGTGCTCATAAATGGCTATGTGAGACTAGAAGAGACTTCTCAAGGGGACTTAATATTGGGATAAGGGAGCAATAATGGGACTGTGCACTTTCACTGAAACACTAAAAGCCTCTTTCTATTCAAACTCATATAGCTTTGGGTTGAAATGTTCAGTTGCAGCGATGTATGGTGCTGTCAGTTTGTGGAAACTCTCGGAGGGGACAAGTTTAACTGTTTCAACAAAGTTCTAAATATGCTGTTTCTGTGAACGTCTGAAACTCTTTGGTACCATTTGTTTTCACTGAGCTCTTTAGAGGTAGCATTTGTTGTTGTGAGGGATGGATGGAGGCTGTGAGAGCCAGAGACCCTGAAACTGGCTGTTTGTTGCTCCAAAATAAGGTGTAAAGATTTATTTTCCAAACAATATGCCGCCGTTATATCAGGAGAAACGCTGATATTATGTGGCACTGCTAGACCTGGCATCCTCACTATGTGTTACGAGTTATGTGTGCTTTGCCCAAGTTGTGCACACAGAAGTTTGAGTCCTCAGCTCGGCAGAGAAATCTGCTTTGGCATACAATAGAGTGAGATAATGACATAAAAATGCATGCAACACTGTTCTTCACGCCTTAAAAGTTGTTAAAGGGGGGAGAGGCAGGATCTGAGGAAGTGCCAGTTTTTGGGACCTGGCTTTTTAGCTCTTGTCCAGTCTACCTCCTTTTCAAGCGCCTGTTCTTCCGCCAGAGTCTTCAGTATTTACTCCGTTTTCTTGCTTGTGTTGGCAGTAATGGCAAAAGGAGGATTCAGGCAATTTTCTGTACTTTGTGGTTGGTTTCTACTGTCCAATATTGTAGCATGCTAACTTTGTTTGGGCTTTTGAACATTATTCGAGGACATGGAGCGTGCTTTCCAACACAGGGGAGCAGCGTCTGCCTCACAACCAACCAGTTTGGAGGAGGTGGAGAACAGCTTTGTTTACATTTAGAAAGAGCGGGCCGCTCAAAAAATCTAAAATGTTGACTACACAGACATAAAAAAAAACCTGATATCGTTATATTCCCAAATGTCATCAATAACTAATAGCTATTGACTGATATTAAAAGCTTTTTTGTATATACACTTCAAAAAAGATGCTTCTTTAATGGAGTCCTGCCTACCCCACCTTTAATGGACTATTTTGAGAAAAAAATGCAAGAAATCTCCAAGACCTGCTACTCCCATATTAAGATATGAATCAGATGGTTAGGTTCTTGACAGCACTTGAAAATAAAATACTTTTCACTGCATTTTCCATTGGTGTATTAGTGACACCAGTGTTTAGGGTGCAGCTTGTTTTTTTTTTAAATGCCAATAAGGTATTAAAAACAATTTTTAAATGGGGAAGAGTAAAAAAAAATCAAATAAAATCCAGATTTAAAAACTCTGCTCTCTGACTTTTTTGAATTCTAAGAGGTATTTTCAACCTTTTTATGCAAAACAATTGAACTTCTATGATTTGAAAAAGCCTCTTTCTCCTCTCTTCTCTCTCGTTGTCTCTGCTCAACCTTCCCTCCTCTCTCTCTCACCCTCTTAAATTCTGAGCTTTCCCCTTTGGCTGATGTCTCTACTCTGGAGACACAAACATCATTAACGAGGACGAGTCATTAACAATGTAATTAAGGAGGGCGGGTCATCCGTACCAAAGCTGCAGCAGCACCAAAGAACGAGACAAAACACCAGTTTGAGGTCATTCATTTCAGGAGGAACATACTCACTCATATTCCCACATAGATGTTTGACAGACTTAGTTTGTTATGCTGTCTCCATCTGGCTGAGATTCCTCTTATCACGTGATGTGGAGTCTAACTGACAGCTGATGAAAGACACCAAGAACAAACAGTTGAACTTGGTCCTGAGCAAGGCTCTGAGCGTCCACTGGGAGAAGGAGTTATTATGATATCGACTCAGATTATTGACTGACTGGACACACACTCACACACATCTCTGCGGGGGATGTGTGCCTGTTACTTTTCATTTGCACTTAAAGCCCAAGGAAAAGCGGAAAAGAAGACACAAAATGCAAATCTTGATATTGTTAATTTGCCTCATGGTCCCATTAAGGTGCTTACACACAAACGTAGGGAAACACACACACACACACACACGTGGACTGGAGTTGACTCATTGATTAGCACTGACCTGACACCTTCATCTGAGCCGAGTGGTCGAGGGGAAAGAGGAGAGGGTGAAATGGTGAACTGCGTACTTCAGGGATGAAAAGGAGAAGACAGAGTGCGGGAGATGGATGAGGGAGGGCGGGAGCGAAAAAGAAAATGATAAAAGATGGATGACAGTGCAGCCAGGCAGCGGACGATAAATCTGGAGCGGGGTGAAGATCGAAGCCCCCCCTGATAGCTGGAGAGTGACAGGACAAGAGAGAGCGATGGAGAGAGCGAGAGGGGGGTCTGATTGCATAGTGCGATGGCGATGCCGCATGTGGGCCGGGCAGTAATTGTGCTGGGTATTGAACGAGCGCTGTCAGGGCAGCTATTAGCTCAACCAAGCAGCTGAAGTGGACGAGTTCAACACGAACACAGGACAGAGGCCTGAGTGACATTTAGAGAGAGGCTGAGAGAGAGAGAGAGAGGGAGAGAGACGGGGATTTAAAAGGACGACGGGGGTGTGTGCAGTTTAGTGATTTCACAGCCTAAATATCTGCAGAGTGCCTAATGCTTCTTTAAATGTCACAGTGCTCAAATGACTATTAGGCACTCAGTCTTGTTAATCATTGCTTAATTCTTTTACCGCAGTTCAAATCAATCATGTTGACTGAATGTTACACTTTGAGAATACAGAGGATCTGTGAAGGCCAAATATTTGTTAACAGATAGAAGCTTAGTAAAGCTAAAAAGTAAAGATTTTATTCACTTCAATGACACAAACACAGCCGGGGACACAAACATCTCTCTATTTTAGATCAGGGGTCCGTTTCACGTAGCAGGTTTAGTGGAAACTCCGAGTTTGTTAACCCTGAAATCAGGGAAACTCTGAGTTTTCCGTTTCACAAAGGAGGGTTAGTTAAACCAGGGAGAGAGGGGTAACTCTAACCTGTTTCACAAAGAGAGGTAACTCAACCTCGCGGTCAGTTACCACAGTAACAGACTCCGTGAACCTAACCTGCTCGGGAGCAGGTTTAACTCAGTAAACCCAGAGTTTCAGGTGAGACATCGGCATTTTCTCATTTTGATCATGTTTTACATTGTCAACTAAGTATTAAGTGGCAGTTTGATCCCTTAAAAAATGCTCTTTTCACACTCAAAACTGAATTTTACTCTCTTATAATGTTCCGTTAAATGATTAGGAATATTAAACTAACACAAAAACGGGTGGTGGTCCAGCAGCCCCACCTTTAACGGAGGCAGAGGAGCTGCCCCCCACCCCCGTTCGACGATCGCGGCCGGTCCGATCGCAAATCCCCCCCCCCCCCCCCCCCCCACAGACACACACACACACACACACACACACACACACACACACACACACACACACACACACATACACACACACACACGCACACCAGTCCGACGATCGCTGCTACGAGGTGTGCTGGGCCACCACCCGTTTTTCTGGCATCTGCCCTCTTTCTGTTTGCTGAGTGAAAGTCTAATATTGAGTGTAGTGTGTGTTAGTTTAATATATGTACATATACATACTGATGAGTTAGTTTAATATTCCTAATCATTTAACGGAATATCATAAGAGAGTAAAATTCATTTTTGAGTGTGAAAAGAGCATTTTCTAAGGGATCAAACTGCCACTTAATACTTACTTCACAATGTAAAACATGATCAAAATGATTCAAGCAGTTTCCCTGCAACAGTCTGTCATTGTGATTGCACGAGACTAGATTTAAAGTTACGCATTGACGCGAGCAGCGATTTCCTCCCAAGCCCTCTCCCTCTCCTTTGCAGCTGCTGCTGTATTGCACTTTCTTTTACAAACGTGCTGTAATTCGCTGTTGGCTTGCTGCTGCCCCCTCCTTCTCCCTGTTTCCATTGGTTGATCAGTGAATCTGCGCTCCACAGATGCTGGCTGTTTATGTCTGGCGTGCACGTGCTTAACTCCAGGTCAAACTACTCGGAGTTGTTAAAACCGTCTCAAATCAGGTGTTGTGAAACCGGAAACTCAGAGTTTCCTAACTCAGAGTAGATCAACTCAGAGTTAAGGATTTAACTCAGAGTTTGTTGAACCACCTACGTGAAACGGACCCCCGGTGTGCTCTGCTATCTAGGGTGACCATATTCTGAATCTCGTAGTCGCGTGTAGTTAATTTTGAGAGTTTTTTGGGTCAGATCGAATGTTTTTTTTTTACGCGCTTCTAACTCAGTAAGTCTACACGACACAAACATGAAACTTCCATACAAAACCCCCGACATTTGAAGGATTTTATAAACTTCCCCGGACATAGCCGGACGAGGTCAGACAGCCCCCCAAAAAGAGGATATATCCGTGTAAAAGAGGATGTTTGGTCACCCTCCTGCTATCCTAAAACCTGTCCTGAAACACTGATGTAGTCTTCATGATGTCCCCTCTGCCTTCTGAAGAGATGCTGGCAGGCACTGACTGGAAATGCTGAGTCTAACTTGCTGGATGACATATAAAACGGACGGTTGTTCACTGGTATCTAAAATGGAGGACAAATTGATTGTGTCAGTGTGTGGGTGCCCCGAATTATATGATACCTTTTCTTTCTATTACCGAAATTGGAGTAAAAAGGCGCTAACCTGGAGGCAAGTGAGTAGGGAGGTCGGATAACCTGGTAAATTGTAAAAAACTCTTGTTTATCACTTGACCACACTGGTTGAATTGGCAGAGATTGCTGTTGAAATTACCGTTGACAAGCGAATGAAGCGAGTAAATGATTTTACTCGTGCTTGGTGTGAGCGCCCCATTAGACTTTATATTTGGGTCGACACATTAGAGCTACCAGCACTCTGGTACCTTATCTAAACATCACACAACAGTCTCTCATATTGTTGGATGCAGTTTTATCATTTGTGCTCAGAAGAACTGATGATAAAATCAACAAAAGGATATGGGAAAAGACTTCATTTTCAGGACACCCTACATCTACTGGATCAGCCTTTAATCATGGCATGTACTCGCACTTCTGGAAAAAGTGGATTTTACACTAAGTTTGTACATTATAATGATTTCTTTTAGAGCTGATACTGTCAACACAATAATTGACATGTGACAAAAACAACAGAGGTCAACCACATCACCTCAAAATACAAGACAATCCTACTTTTTTCCAGTTGTATTCAAAACTTTAAAAATCCTCTCACAGTTGGTTCAATATCCTACTTAAAAGTTGCATCTCAACACAACACATAGTTGCTTCACTAAGCCTTGCCCCCCCTCCCACTCATGTTCCTCAGTATAGGCATCGAATCCCTTGATTTGAACACTAATGTCTGGGGACAAATGTGCTCGAGCAGGTCCATCTAATGAATTACTGTGACCATGTTAAACTTTTATAAGGATCAGAGGGTAAACAGGAGCTTGATTTATTGCAGCAGGTTTATTTCATTGGGAAACAGCTCTTGTTTTGCCTTTTCTGTGTCCACCGTGCATCTCTTGACCTCCCTGTAAATTGCCCAGCGCCTTCACCTCCCCAAGCCCCCTATCTCTGCAGGTTTATCTGCTTACCTGTCTGCTTCTGTTCAAGTATTCATCCCTCATTCACTACATTCTCTTAAATCTTCACCCTCTACTCTCCTTGTCTACTCTGCCTCAATTTCCATCATCTGCAGTCTGATTATCGTCTTGTCCCAACCCCCTTTGCCATCTTTCACTCTGTCCACTGCCAGAGAACCGCAGGATGGATTGACGAATAGATGGATGCTCTGACTGATATTGGGATGAATGAATATCCAGCTGGAGAGAGGGATAGCAGAAAGTTTTTCGCAGACAAAAACTTTCTAAACTTCTTTTCTAAAACTTTCTAAACTTCTGCACACAAGTTTGAATCCATACTTGGATGATTCCCGTATTTCCAAATTGATCAAACAAACATTCAAGTTCAGACTAATCGACTGGACTCAAGGAAAGGAAACACTCAGAATAATGGTCAACATCATGCATAAATTTATTAAGCATTGCTGACACACTTTCCAGAACTACACTGTGCTCTGCTGCATAACAATGAGTTTAAGCTCTGAAGCTACGAATCACACTACCAAGCTTAATTATTAGTGATTACCAGCAGAGCAATGATAATTTCTTGTTGCATAACATTAAGTCTCAACCAGATGATTAGCAGTCTCATTAGATCAGAAGCCGTCGTGAAGGTTCTCCTGTGGAGAGCAGAGGGTGTCTTGTTGATGCCATGGGCAATAGCAATCCAATAAATCTGATCCTTTAAAGCTCCTGCAATGACTTTTTTTTTCCTTTCGAAACAGACTCAAATAAACAATGAGGCCTGGTTATGACCTACAAAAGCAATTAACAGTATTTGCAAAAGGATTTATGAATTATAAATTGTAAATTTTGTTGCCTGCACAGGAGCTCAGCAGAGGTAATAACACTAACTTTCAATGTTCCAACTCCCATAAAGAAAATTTAAAAAAAAAAAAAAGAAAAAAATGTTATGGCACAAATATTCACAAAGAGAGACACACACAAAGGTAAGAGCTCATGATAACAGGCCACAGTCAGGTCTGTATTCCTGACCTGGAAATGTGTTTAATATCAAAAATCAAACACTGCATAGCAATCAGGCATCTCTCTTTTTAATTTTGCTTGATTTCAAGAGATTCGTGAATAAATCATTGACTACTAATAAGACAAGTTTTTTTATTTTTATTTTGGTTACATTCACTGTTATTTTAATTGGTTAATAAAAAATAATCGCTAGACTAATCGATAAATTAATCAGATTAGTCAACTAATTGAAAAAAAAAATATTTGGTGGATTAATCAACAAAAAAAAAAAATAATTGCTAGGTGCAGCTTTTGATACAAAATGAACCAGCATTAATAATTAAGATATTAAAAACTGAAACACCACATATGTCAATGAAGTGACTGCAGTCCAGATGAAGTGACTCTCTATCACTGGAAAGAACTGAATCTTTCCATCTTAGACTGGCAGAGTATTGTGTGGATGGATTTGTCTTTGTTCTTCATGACTGAGAACATTTTGTGACCTAAAGAATCTTAGTGGACTCAAAACCCATTCCCCACTATTACTGTGGAGATAAGTAGGCAGCTGATCACAAATTAAATCTAGTTCAGGCTTTGAGTGGGGGATCACACTTAGTTTAAGAGACTTAAAGAGTCTCCAGAGGGGGGTTAGGCCATCCTTTAAGTGCTTGATAATACTAACACACAACTCTGGGAAAGAGCCACACTAGAGCTGCAGGGGCTCATGTTTAAGGCTTCAAAGAGCTTCAATCACCTCTTCATCACCTTTTTAGTGCAGCCATGCATACGTGCATTGGCATGATGTATGTCCACACTTTTTTGCATCTTTGCATACACACATGTGCGCCCACACATGATGGTGTGTGTGTGAGGTGATTTAGCAGCACGGCTGCAGCTTTCCCAAAGGGGTGGGGGTGCCAGCAGAGAGTCGAAAATCAAAGGCCCCAGCAGAGAGAGGAGCCGAGCCGCTCTTAGCCCACTAACTATGAATTATGCATGTTGATCGATTGCACACAGGCAAACAACGAAAAGTTCCCAACCTGCCAGGAAAAGATGGATTCTGCTCCACCAAACGAGGCAGAGAGGGGGTGAGAATCACACAGAGTTTGCCTGAGGATAGTTTGGACATTTTTTCAGAGAATGTAAACAAGTCAGAGTAGATGAGTTTGCCTGTTCAGCATTTTCACCTGATTTATTGCATCTTTAATCTCATGTTTTCTGAAACAACGCTCAATTTGTCATAGCTTTGCAGCCTGAATCAGTCAGTTGAGGATACTTATGAAAACAGAATAAAACATATTCTGTGAGGCTTTACAATTTTCTTTCAGGTGTTTTAATAAACAGACAGGAAATCAAACCTGCTGAGTTATGACACACTTAAGGTTCCCACCAGGAGCATTTCGGGCCGAGCTGTTCTTCAGAGTGCAGTCAGACGGTGTCTTATAGCCAGTTATTTTTCTTTTTATATCTTTTTAAAAACTCAGCATCTACATTAGTGTCTGAATATACAGACACACAAACAGCAAGGGCATACATACACCGTTCAGGACTCACTGAAGTAAGGGCAGTGACTAAAAAGATAATGATGCAATGTTAGGAAATATCTCCTGAATGTACTCTTAGAAATGAAGCTGGGAACATCAGAGACAGCAAACTAATTGGCAAACTGGAACTAATTAGTCTTTGGAACAAATATAGTGGATATTTATCAACACAGAGACTAAAGTTCATTCCTTTTAAATATTTTCTCTCTGTTATTGTTCTGCTCCTGTTACCTGCAGAGAATATAAAGCACATGGAGTGAATCTGCAGAGCTGCCTTGACTTCAGGGTGTTTAATGTATTATTCCACTTTAATTCTCCTGAGGAGGCAGCTTGCTCAGCTACTGTGTGTTTGTATGATCTCCAAAACACCTGGACTGTGGGTTGTAGAGTTCAGGTTTTTTTTTTTTTTTAACCAAAACACTAGGTTACTCATGCACCAATAACACTAAACACCATCTTGTTATTTTAACAGCAGTGTTGATTTAAGTGTCTGAAGAGTTGTCCTGAGATGTAGGTGCACGTTTTTTTTTTCATTTTTTTCCCGCTCATCCCGCTCATTGCAGGAGCTTTAAAGAATCAGATTTATTGGATTGCTTTTGCCCATTTTTTTCCCCTAAAGTCAGCCCCTATCAGCTGACAGCCCTACAATTACAGATGTCAAAACAGGTGTTGTATTAAAGCACCATTCTAGAAAGTGTCTTGCTGTTGCTCTCTCTGCCTAAGCTTTTCATGTCTCGTGAAACAGAGAGGAGGTGTGCTCTCCCCATCTCAGACTTTGACATCTTTTGTGTGGGTTTGCATGTGGGAAAGCAGGGCGCTGTCAGAACAGTCATACCACCAATTTTATTTTAGTATTCTTTTTGGCCAAAGTGGTTCTGACTGAACTTAAAGAGATATTCCAGCGTAAAATTAAGTCAGGGTCAAACACACCGTAACACTGAGTTAGACACCCTCTTGAGAGATGAATGTTGCTGACCGCTTGCTTCTCTAGTTATAACAACTTTAGAAACGACCGCATGATAGCAATACACAGCGGTCTATGGTTTGTAGGAAGAGCTTGGACGAGTCCATCACTGAGTGCAGCAGGATGACGCAGCTCAAGGAAGAACATTTATGACCATAACCATTATCATTTTCTTGAAGTAGTAATCAGCATATTAACCATTTGGCACTGCAGACTCAGTAGTTCTTCTGCCTTAGTGTCTCGGTCTGATTGCATTTCCATGAAGCAATGATCATAAATGTTCTTCGGTGATTGACTTGTCAGATCATCGAGTGGCTGCTGGAAGAAAGTAGGTGAGTTGTGTTTAGTCTCTTTGCTAAAGAAATCAGGTAAAGCTAAAAAGATGTTTGATGGCTAGTACTATGGCTGAGACCCTGTATGTACTGTTGATGAAGTTAGGTGCTGTTCTGAGCATTATTTGTGGCTATAGAGTGGCTTTTTGGTTGAGGTTTGTTTATGGCTCCTCAGACCGCTGTGTATTGCTATCGTGCGGTCGTTACTAAAGTTGGTATAACTAGAGGAGCAAGTGGTCGACAACATTCATCTCTCAAGAGGGTGTCTAACTCAGTGTTACAGTGTGTTTGACCCCTAACTTAACTTTACGCTGGAATATCCCTTTGAGCATTACTAATGTGAAATAGGGTACAAGCACAGTCATATCTGACTGAAAGATGATTAAGACTGAATGATACTGACACTTGAGTGTGCACATATGGAGCAGAAATCTCATTCTGCTGTAAACCAGCGATTAGTGTAATGAATAGGAACGTTTCAAAGTAACTTATTTTGATTATTGGTTAACTGACTGGTAAGCTGCGAAAGATAGGAAAATACATGGATTAAAAGGTCAAATTGAGCATGATTTACTGAACACAAGATCACACTGTGTGTTAATAATGTCCAGTGGCTTGCCGAGTGTGGCCAAAGCCAGCTGAGATAGTACTACCTGCATTCGGTCCTCTAACACAACTCATGTCCACATGTGTGTGCTGTAAACACATCTGACTTATCAAGTTTAATCAGATCCAGCCTACTTTCAACTATATCTCAATCGTCTATAATAATCAGTTCCATCTCAAGGTTGGGCCTCGATAATTCATCAAACAATGAGCGTGGTCTAGACCTACTATTCTTCTTTGGAAAGCATCTTGGGATAACAACTGATGTGATTTGGTGCTATATAAATAAAGTTTGATTGAATGATTGAATTTCCTAGATCAAAATACTGACAAACAATGCTTTAAAACCTAAATTTATCAGCGACTACCCTGAAAACTTTGGTCCTTCTCATCACCTTTAGCTGTTCTCTAAGTTTGTTACTGAAAATACTTTATATTTTTACAAGTTGTCTGGATTTATTATGGCTTTTGAGACCTGGCTCTACCCCAGTGGTACCATCTCCTTAATGAAGCTTCCTGTTAACTTCCTGCACTTTTATCACCCCCAGCTTTTTAGACAGGGCTTTAGAAATGCTGTCATCCGTGGACGTAGATTTAAGAGCTGCATTTTGCTTTTTTTTTGGCTCCTCACTCTTTGAAGTTGTAGTTGCTTAATTTCTGACCCTTTTTATGCAGACTTCTTAAACCAAGTGGTTCTATTCATGAGTTTTCTAAGCCTCTCTTGTGATAACCAAACATAAAAAAAGACTACTCATTCAAAGACAGTGTATGTTTGCGCTAAAGTCAGGGTACCGAAAAAAGACACAAAAAACAACTGTATTGACTGAGCCAGTCAAACATTGTCGCTCAAAAAGAACGATTCAAATTAGAGAAATGAAAAAAGATTGAGACATTGTGGCTGCATAAAGTTGTACAGACATGGCAGCAGCACTGGGTGATAAATTTCCCACACACACAGACTATTCCTGAGCATAAATATATTTGCAGACCTACCAATTATTTCTCTTTCTCTAAATCTTTCAAGATTACAATCATCTGCTGAAAGACAAGATTGTTTATCCACTCTGTGGTCTTTGTGTACAAGTCACAAGTAGTGTGAGAAAAAGAGAGACATAACAGACAACAAAAGACAACCTTTCAACAGCACTAGAACTGGTGCTTCCCAGAAGGCACAGAGTGATCGAAAACATTCAGTTAGTGATAGTTCTTTTACTAGTTACTATATTCCCCCTTGGACTTTGTGATTCAGAGAGTGTACTTGAGGTATACTTAAAAAATAAAAGTGCATCCAAACAAGAAACAAAGTAACCTTGGTAGTACAGAGGTAGAAATGAAAAGCACTACAAATAACTTTTATGAAGCAATCTCCTCTTAAGACCTGGAGCAAAACCTGTAAAACAGAAGTTTGGTGGACCCAACTACCTGGTTTGTTTTGTGATAGATCCTCAGTAAAAGAACATCACAAGTGTGGCTCACAATATATGGTCCAAATAGTTTACAACCTCAATGCCAAGAAAGTCGGGACAGAAAAGCCAATAGTGAAAATACAAGACAACAAGACATGCAAGACAAATGTCCAAACTTGTACCATTATTGGTTTTAGGGGAAAAATATGCTTATCTAGGTTTGATTCCTGCAGCTCAAATTCAACCCCCATTAGTTGTCCTTGCACTTTATCTAATTTAATAAAGGGTTAAGATGATTGGTAAACCCTAAAGTGTGTTTTATCAATAGTTTATACAGCCTCTAAACCTTTTTGTAGAGGTGGGATCACAAATTAAAAAAAACCCTGAGATTGTGTCATCTATACAAGCTCAGGCTTGCTATTCAGACTCCTTCACAGAACAACCACAAGGGGAGATGACAACTGTCTTTACACAAATTCACAGATGTATTTACTCTCTGTCTTCACACACCTTCTCACTTTACTCCCTTCAGACACACAACTCTGGTCCGAGTGTCACAAAATGCTAAGAGGTCATCTCAGTGTCTGCGTTGCATCCTGCAGAGCCAGACTTGAGAAGGTGCTGCCGCTCGGCCTGAATTGGGCTCCAGTTAATGGTTGCCTCAGGAGAAAAGTGAAACCCCCATTAGGCTGCTACTGAAGGGTCGGGATGATAGGAACACCATTAACGCTTGAAGGGTGTTACCCAGAGCTAAGAGCAAGAAACAAACTGGAAGCTGCAAGGCGTGACAGAGACAGTGAAACATATAGAGGGAAGAAGGAGCTAAACAGGCAGCAAACCAGCAGTTACAAGGCATCTGTCTGTTCTTGTTCAAGAAACTAGTCTTTTTTATCAGAGCACAGTTGAATAGGTACCTTTAAACAATCATGACAATGTGGAAACAGAAACATACTGAGATGGACAGGAAAAAGGAAAGCTGTCAAACTGTCAAAGAAAAGGACGTGACAGAGATAAGTATCCATCGAAAAAGGAAGCTGAACTGTCCTTGTCTACACAGTCTTCATTCAGAGAGAGATACAGATTTCCTGCACTCCAGTCTCCTCCACAGTGAGTGACATTGTGAAGGTCGACTGCTTTTCTGCAGAGCTGTGAGACAAGTACTGGAGAGGAGGAAAATAGATAAAGTTTAATGAGTGGGAGGAGGAAACAGGCGGGCTCCCGGAGCTGCTGCACAGAGAAATCCCTCATCTAGAAAGACACTGTTATTCGTTTGATATTTCAACATTCAATTGTAGCTTCCACTGGGGGAAAATGTACTTTCTTGTGCCTGGTAGGGTGACCCAGACACTCAGTGACCAGACGTTTGCATCTCTGTGAAGTAAGTTTTTAATGAATAGCTGCAAACACATTTTTCTTTGACCCAACAGCCTCTTGAATTCTACATAATTTAAGTTTTTCCAACAATGTTCCTTTATGGTAGTTGGCTATGGGGGCTGTGAGTCCATAAAGTTATTAAAGCTGTTTTATAATGGAGATGAAAAAATGAGAGACGAAGACTGTGTGTTGTTGTGAAAATCAGCCATGTTACTCGTCAAAAGTGATGAACTATCCGGCTTGACCATGTAAAGCAGCGGCAGCAGAGGATTATGGACCAGCAGCACAGTAATAGCTGTTCATATCTTCCTATCTTTTATACAGCAGGCCCCTTTCTAAAGGCTCAGAAATAGACCTCGATTGTCGAAGATTGACAAACTCTTACAAATCTGAACATTTATACGTAAGGTTCGATATTTGCTTATAGAAGCTATTTTGAAAAACCTTATACAGATCTATTCTGACTAGCTTTTATTTAATATGTGGTTCAATTTAACTTTTAATGTTTCTGTTTTGATATTGTTCTATATTTAAACCAGATGCTGTCAAGATAAACACGTTACCACAAATTAATTCATCATAATGATTAATCTAATTAAGTGCAGAATGGCTCAAAATCCCTGAAACGTCTCTGGCAACGTATTTTGTCCAACATATTTTTTGGGCAGTTTGTCCAAGTAGTTTTACCATCACACATGTGCAAATGGGCAGTTGATCCAGTCGTGACTGGCTCTAAACAATTCATTATGGAAGACGCTAAACAGCACATTGGCCCTTTCGATGGGAAATCTGAAAAACCATGACCAAACAGTCGACTGACATAAGTGCTCTATTTTTATGCCTCGCTGGTGGCGTGGTGTAAGTGCGGCGTAAGTCAGGTCCCCCGCCAAGGAACATTTTGGTATTTTTGGTATTACACTCTACCAAAATACCGCTAGACCAGCTGTGCTCTGCCTGCACTGAAAGCTGACCAGGTTTGAATCGGCAAGCTTTCAGTGCATTATCCATGCCGCCGCCAGGCATGACAATGTCACTGTACCGGCTGATTCTGTCCAAATCTCCCCTTTTCTGCACCACCAAGCCCAGCTTAGTGGACCTCGGTGCACCTCAAACTACAAAAAGACCAAACCGGCTGTGTGCCGGGCTCCAACAGACGAAAATACCACTGCGCAGGGTGTGCCACACTTTGCCGCACCGCTGGCGGGCACGAAAATAGAGCCCAAAGTATTATCTTACTCTGCAGGCAGGAGTTTTCCCTTCCACTGAAGCACTTCCAGTCCAAAATACCTCATAAACATGAAGCATACTTTAATCAGGAATTTGGCTAGCACTTTGGCTAGCAAAATTTGCTCATGCAAAATAAAACAGAATAAATATAGATTAAAAATTACTCATATTTAATAGTGATGAATCTAAATTAATCCACAGCAACCCTGTGATTAATCTGAATTATTTTTATTTTATTACATTATTCAGTGCTTTAACTCATCTTAACTCTGTTTTCATTCTTTAATAACATATTTTATTGCATTTATGGCATGTTTACAACAATTGTGAGTAAAGTAAGTTACTCACATGTATGTGGACACCTGAATATTGTGTATGTACTTTCTTAATTCACATGAATAAAGCAAAGGAAGTGAGTATCACATTTAATGAGACACAAACTTGCATTTTTGTGTGTGTTTGCTTAACTCATCTGTATCAGCCAACAAGAGCTTGCAAAGAAGCAACTTTACGCTGACTTTTCATGTAATTCACTCACGCGGATGATTTTAGTTGTGTTCAGTTTGAACATTTCATTAGTGTGTGCCTCTAAATTAATTTCTGTTCTTAATGACTATCATGTTTTGATTTTTTTTCAATCTCGGTAAAGTACTTTGCATACCATTTAGTTTCTATAACATGTTCTTCATAATAAAGCTTGATTGATTGCTTGATTAACGATTATAAAAAATCTTCTCCACATAAAAGCTGTTGGGTTTAAAGTTCAGATCAGGGTTGATTTCACAGTCTACTCTGTCCCCTGGTCTCTTTCTCTAACTGTCTTTTTATGTTTCCCTGAATAGCAGAATAATGGTCTTGGACAGGTAAGCAGTCTGATATAAAAAGGATCCATACTATCACCATCACAGCTCAGTAATGAGCCTTGAGGGACTCTGGCATGACAACACCAAGTGACTGTATCACCCTGGGAGGACACGTGAGGAAGGGCAAAGCATGTGCTGCTGCATCATCACATCTGCAAAACAGTTTGTTCTGGATTAACTGAACAATGAGTGAACCTTTAAGGAGACATAATGAGGGTCAAAAGATCTGAAAAATGTAACAGGGACAGAAGTGCTGAATGTGCAGGTATAACCAGCAGGGTCAGTCATACCACTAGGCTGCAACATGAAGAAAATAATCATGTGGAAATGAATGTATTATTTAGACAGAATCATGAAGAATTAGGAGCTATTTTCCATTAGATTTAAGCCCAGTCTCTCTTTTTGCTGCATATTGAACCTTTGGCACGATTTCAGCTCAGAGTTGAATGAGTTCTCATAGAAAGTACAGGTCCAGATGTAAACCCCGAGGACGAGTTATGTGAAATGGAGCACATTAACCAGAATAATTGCTGTGCCATTAAAACAATACATGAAGTCTACTGCAGAAACAAAGTAGTCTTTCACATTACTCTTAGGCTTTAAAATATAAGTACTTTCAGAGCTTATTTCTCATGTTGAGGGATGTATGTGCAGCATGGGGCAAAATGTGTGCAGGCTTGACTGACTCTCCTTGCATGTATTTTCAGCATAAAAGCTACGTGACAGTGCTGACGAGGAGAAAGCACGGAAGAGGAAGATGAGGTGAAGAACAACGTCTGCATTTTATACAGTTTGTGAAAAAACAGTCAATTTTTTAGTAGAGAGTAAAATATGCTAACCATCTTCATGAAGCACAGACCTTCTTACCTCCTCTTTGGATTTCCTTTTAAAAAGACTTCATCTAAAGCCCTTGGGGATTAATAATACGAGAACATGGATAGAGAGGGATTTCTCAAGATTTCTTCAACACACCCAAGGTAAAGTGTAAACATTTTAACAAGTCTTCAACAGTGCTGGGAATGGCATATGATATGATACGGTTACTCTAGGATACTAACCAAAAGACACGCTGCGATGCAACACAAAACAACACATTACAAAACAATATAATATGAAGGAGAAACGATATGAAATGAAACAATATAATACAAACTAATGCAGTAGGATACGAAACCTAAGATACTAAACAATATGACAAAAACTAATTCGATATAAAACGACATGAAACAATGGGATAAGATGTGACGCAATAACTAATGTTACAAGACAATACCATCTACAATAAGATCATACTTGGCCCATAATATCGATGATATCATGATACATTGACTGCAATTATGGACTTTTTGCATGACTACCACTTAAAGGTGGGATAGGCAGGATCTGAGGAAGTGCCAGTTTTGGGGAGAAATCTTGAATGTAAACACTACCCCTCCCAACCAGTTTTCCCCTCAGCTCCTCCTTTCCCCTCTCTGCTCCAGCAAACCCCGCCCACAAACAGACGCTCCTGCTCGCTTGTATCGTTCCAATTAAATTCAGATATAATGCAGATAAATACTTCAGCTAATTACAAATGGGGCCCAGTCAACGTGAAAGTAAAAAGCATTGGTGCTACTGTAGATGCCAACAGACTACCAGCAAACACAATGTTTGCAGGACTTCTACATCTAGGATAAAGTAACATACTCCAGGACCCGAGGTAAACAGTTTAGCGGCCCTACAACACGCAGCAGGTCCCGTTTGAAAAGAAACACTTCTGTTACAAACACTTGGCTGACTTTGTTAAAGCGATTTACCTGTCCAACAGAAAGGTTACAGGGTCTGTAAGATCCCAAAGCATCCCCCGTCATTGTTGACCCGGCTTTTTTAGCTCTTGTCCGGGTGGTCTACAGCTGATTCTGTCGACACCTCCAGTCCACGAAAATACCAAACTGGCTGTATGCTGGGCTCCGGCAGATGAAAATACCACTGCGCGGGGTCTGCCACCCTCCGACGCGTCACCGGCGAACACGAAAAAAGAGCCCTTTAAGAACAAGACCTCTTAACTGCAGGTGTAGCAGTTCAGATTTACAGCACGGTAAATTCTGTTTTGCTTTTGGTGGTAAGTGAAATGGTTTATGCACATGCATATAGGCCTACTGTATGTTCATTGACCCTCCTTCTTTCCACAAACAAGGCTGCACTGTGCATGAACCATAATACTGAAGAATTCAAATATTTTTACCAGATGAATGCAGTGCAGTATAAGTGTTAAAAGCTATTTAAAATTCAATGACACAATTATTCTTACTACTTTTAATTTGGATCGTTAAAGTCTTTTTTTGCTTTCAAATCAAATCTCCCGCCCACTTCAATCACACAGGGTTTTCAGCCCCCTGACACCTACATGAAGAAGTAAAGAGACAAGAGGCAAGAGAGAAAGTTCAGCTCTAATGGAGATGCAAATCCCTGCTGCTCTGGGCTCCAGTCAGACTGAGTCAATCCATTTCAGCCAATGTTAAAGCCTCAAACAGAACCAGAGAGATACACAACAATCCAGCACACACACTTAGGGTGCTTTTATTTGCAGACATCAAACCAAGAGAGGAGAGAAAACAAGTTCACCTGATCCGGCACCGCAACTCACTTTCATCATAAATACTGACAGCTGCTTTGACACAAGGAGGAGGTGGTTTTGTGCCAGTGCAGGACAGACAGAGGACATGAGTTTAATCAACGTTGCGATCTGTTTCAAATCACTCTGTTGAGCTACTTTGAATTAACTGTTGCCATCAGTCTGCAAACAGACCTTTTATCAAATAGGGCAGGAAAAAGTCAAGTCTGAAATAGCGGAAAGGAAAATAAAAGACTCGCCCCAACAGAACATTTTCAGGAGTAAAGCATATGTGTGAAAGCAGCTCTGTAAACATCCGTCCGACTTTAACATCACTGAATATCAGCCGAAAAACTAATGACATGCTGGGAGGAGAGTCAGAATCTACAGCTCTATCTCTGGAGGCTTATTTTCAGAGATGAGTGGCAAAGTATCAGACAAAACTACACTCTCTCTCTTACACACTCACATACACACACTCACACAGACACATACAGTATCTATGCTTTGTGCACTGATGATGGACAAGAGACATAATGAGGAAATAATGATGATAATTAGCTGGAGGTTCTGTGCCATTAGAGGAGTAATTGATCTCAGAGTCTTTTACCTGAGAGGCTAACTGGTTTACAGACTGACCTCTGCTCACTTTAACTGCAGCTCATAACATAAGGAGGACGTTTATATGCAAACTCAGCCTCCTTCGTCCTCTTTCTCCTCCTCCATTTTACATGACCTTGAGTCAACCATAGGTGCAGTCTGAATCTTCAGTAGATATCTTAAATGCCACATGCAGTGACACTATCCTAAGTATTTGCGTCAGCAGGTGTATTGATTCTAAAGGCCAGTAAGTTTTATTGTACCTCCATTTTTGCAGCTAATACATCTCATACAGGAAGTACTGCACAACAAAATTAATCTTATTTAAGCTAAATCAGTGCATCCTGGTTCAGCATTTATCTTTGTCAATGAACCAGATAAACAATTCTCTGCTAATTATTCACAATCAGTTCCTGAAATACTCCAAAAGCTTGACTCGCTGTTTTTTCTCTGCAGTTCCAAATGATTATAAATCATGTTAGCATGTTTTGCTCATGAGAATCAAAATAACTTATACTCCCGGCTCATTAAAGGTCTTCTAGTATGAAAAACCCACTTTTGGGTGGTTGACACCCCCCCCCCCCCAACATGAAAAAATGTCATTCTCTCCCTCTCTTGCTTTTACCTCCTTTCTGAAAATGTGTGCGAACAGGCGAATGGAAAAGCTGTGCAGTTATGACGACATAACCGCATAAGCTCCCTCCTAGAAGATGGAAAAGGAGACGGATGGAGCATTTTGTCCGTCCTATCCTATCATTCCGTCCGCCTTTTTGCAAAAGCGGGGGACATTACAGACGGACGCACGCCAAATGGTGTAAGTCAGGAGAGATAACTATAACGTTCCACTTATTTTGGGTATTCTCCAAAAGAGATCCAGGTAACGATGAGACAGCGAAGACTAAGCCGTCAGATAAGCTAACCCACCTAGCAATGTAACATAACCCACTAACAAAGTAAGACAAATATAAAGACACATAATATTTGTAACCAACCATTCAGAAACATCCTGCTGCAGACGCAGAGTTTGATTTTTTTTCAGGAGCCTTTCCCTCTGGGTCAGATTCTGGGTCAAATTGGTAGGACTGAACCACAGCGCTTCTATGAGCCATCACACTGCACAGGCTGTAAACATTAGCGCATGGTATCGGATTGAAGCCGTCTAAACGAGGAGAGCTTTAAGGTAAATGAGAGTAGTGGGTACTAGGTTCTGATGTGTGTCCATATACCCTAACAACTTATGAGCTTCCTGCGGTGCTCTGTTTGACCTTTGAGACTACCGTACCTCATGCCTTTGGTGGAGCGGTTTTGAAAGTTCTGCAGCAGCTGCGGGAGGCCCAGCATGGCCTCGAACATGACGGCCAGGGAGCCCAGCGTCTCCACAAACACAGCCGAGTCCAGCAGCAGCAGGGTAATGACCGCACACAGCACGGTGAAGCCGAAGCAGAACAGCAGGTAGTCCTCGAACGCGCTCCACTTCCAGAAGTAGCGAATGTCCAAGTCTGGAGAGAAGAGAGAAGAACAAGCAGAAACATGCTTTTATTTTTCTGCTCTTTATCATCGGACTGGGAAAATGGACTTGGTAAGTAGGGTGAAGAAGTAAGAAAATATGAGGGTGGGAGTGTGGAAAATGTGTGGGAGGATTACACGGGAATAAAGCAGATAGAGCTTGAAGAAATAATCAAATAAAGAAACAGAGTATGTGCATGTGTGTGTTCGGTGCTATGGGGAAGAAGGTGCTTACAGTACATGGAAATGGAAACAGTAGAGCAATAGTGACAGACAAAGATTGAATATAGTGGGGGCAATATAGCCGGAAAAAGCCAGGAGGAGGAGAGAGCAGGAATAAGAGTATTTCATTAAAGGATGCATAGAAATTCTGCAAAGACAGCACTCCTAAATCAATACAGCACACATGCATAAGTGGATGGAACAAAGATAAATGAGATACTCTGAAGCTTTTACATTTCTATTACTTTGGAATAACCTGGCCTTTGGCATAGCCAGGTCTTCCATTTAGGAAGTTTATTACCATTGGTATGAAGCTATCCTTCCACTGACACAACTCCATTTATCATGTGAAGCTCTTACTTCTTGGGGGTAAATACCACAACCACAGCTGCCTCAAGCGGTGGTTATTTTTAAGAAAGAATAACTGGAATGGAAGAAGTCTGGGAGTACAAACCAGAGTGGTTCAGAGAGGAGCTATAAAATTATTATCTAGATACGATAAATACTCGATAGCTGAATAAAGAGAGACGTGTAGGGTTAGCAAATTCAGTGGAGCAAAAATTAGAAAATGGTGTTTAGGTTATAGTTTATGTATATTTGCATATAAAAATACATAAAAACACCCCAGTGTACATTACACAGAGTTTACCCTCCTGTAACCCCCTTTTTTCATTACAACAAACATTGCAAATTGAAAATCTATCACAATATTTTTTTTTCCAGAATTGCAGAATGTAAAGGATTATTTTCCAAGTTTATCTTATTACAGGAATCAAAACAACGTCCCTGTTCGTCACCTCCAAAGCTCAACTGCTGCTCCAGGATGGTGCTGAATTGACGTACTGGCTGAGAGTCAGTATCAGTGGACATTTAACCTAGAAGCTATTTGCCTTTCAGAAAACATACAGATATTTAGCAGCAGTAGATTAGCTGAGACTCTGATTGTCAATGGCGTATTTGTGACAGATGGTAGATGCTGGCAAACTCATAAGCCTCATGTTTTAGCTCAATTTAACCTTTTGGAAACAGAACAAAGGGATTTTGTATGAAAAACAGAGAAGATGAACCATACCACTGCTTTATTTTTTTTCTATTTCTCTTCTTCCTGTTTTACTTGAGCATTTTATTTAATAGTAACATCATCTTAGGCTGTGTAATTACTGAAAATGGGTTCTTACTGGGTTTGTAAATAAAAAGCATCTCAAGAGGTTTCAAAGTAATTAGTTACAAAAGGTTGTAAATCTGCAGTTTCCACCTGACTAATCATTTTTTAAAGTTTTTTTATGATAAAACTGGATGAATTACTCAAAGAAAACATTGAACAGAATAAAAGAAATGGTTAAACTGTCATTTTAACATAAATATATACATTTATATATCAGCCCAGTTTTTCCTCAGCTGGTCTCCTTGTAGGAATTTGTGAGAGGAAACATTTTGCTCTCTACATATACATTCTGGTCACCATCAGCTTCCTCCTCAATGGACCATAATGTGAGTTGATTGACGATCTCTCATTGCTTATGTATGACCATGGAGCTGTGAGAAACCAGCTGACATAAGCTAAGAGGAATTGATGGCTAAATAACAGCACATTAGTTAGTGTGTGTGATGATGCGTACTGCCGAGCTCCTGACTTCACTTCGTACTGCTGTTACCTTCCACACTGTATGAACAGTGTGTGTTTATTTGCATGTGTGTGTCCTTGAATTCTGCATGGAAGAGAAAATAATGTGACAGAAAGGCATAAAAACGTCTTCTCCGGTTGGTCAGTTTTTGCAACCTTTTCATCTTTAAAATGTCATAACACTGAGAGGGTCACACTCTTACAATTTAACAGCCACGTCCACTGCATTTTACGACTCCCGTTTATGACCCTATTTCCTGCATACCTTCTCTCTCCCGCCCTGCATTCACAGTCAGCTATTGATAAAAGCATGCACGCAAACAAACTCAGAAAATGTGGCAAAAAGTGAATTATGCAGTTTTCAATGAGCCAAGGTGATTCTGCATATTTCCATACAGTATTCAGCAAACCACCTGAAAATATGAGATTAATTTATAAGATGAAAAAGCAGTATATCCTTGAAAAGTGGTACCAGAGGAGGTTATGTCTCATAAGTTACTGCCTATAAAATGAAACTTAATGAGTCATTATTCCAGTATGTTGCTCGGAAATTAAAATTTTAATCTTTTACTTTAAATGAAGCTCGTAATGGTCAGCCACTATTGTATTATGCAGGACTAAAAGTGCCCCCTTTATCCCCCTAGCCCACTACACTCGCAGACTCTCTAAAAGTAGTCTTGGAGGTCAGCCATCAGTCATCAGGCCCCCCTCTTTTTGAATCACCCACCAATCAGGATCCAGGAAGCAGATGCCCTCTCCACCTATAGGAGGACTTATAACCCACCTGATTAAATTTTCTACAAATATCTCTTTGGGGGGTTTTGGGCTCCAATATATATCACAGGCTCTTGTTTGGGAAGTTCTCACCACCATACGCCTGGTTCTGCTCACAGTTTGTGCCACTGTTGCCAAATGTGGCTGAATGTTTGATCACTTTGTCCTTGATGGGATCAACTGTTATTGGTTTTTCAGGGCTGATACCGATACCAACTATATTAAGCACTAATATCTGTTGACACTGACAGTACATGTGAAAGACTTTCTGTCAAAATGTATAATTTATAATACAACAAACTCCTGCATGCGACTTTGCCTGATGAGTTTTTACCTTAAAGCTCTCCTATCATGGCATTTTTCATCAAGTTTAAATCAGTCCCAGAGGTCCCACAAAAGTAAATTTGAAGTTTGTTGTCTAAAACACCAGTTTATTTGTGGATATCAGCCAGCATGTACCCCCTTCTTTTGAGCTGAGTTTTTACATGACACTGAAGAAAATCAGATTATAGCCTTGCTCCGATTAAGACCGGATAACTGAAGTGCATGTAAACCTTGGTCCGACTATAATCAGAGTTTGAGAACTCCGATTGGAGTCGGAGAACGGCGATTAAGACACCCAGATAATGCGATTGGAATTCGATTTTCTCTACCATGTAACCAGCGTAGTTGGAGTATGATCAGACAATGCATGTGCGAGTGTGCCACGCCCCTGTAACCCCGGAACAAAATCACCAGAGAAGAGGAGTAGCGTGCACCTCATCTGCAGAAAAAGTATCGCGCACATCATGTATGACAAAAACAACGCTGCACGATGCTCCATCTTCTTGCTTGAAAATGCCCAGCAGCAGTTGTAGCCACTTCTGACGTCTGGCACAGACTTGCTGATGTTGTTGGGTCAACTGGAAACAGCACCGCCGAAAAGAACAACATCGCCCCCTAGTTTTGGGGAGGAGGAAACGTTCACGTCCATAATTTGATTTTCTCAGCTGCATGTATATGCCGACAAGGTAAAGTCCGATTTGGAAAAAATAAAAATAAAAATTATGAGCTTAGTCTGATTAAGCTGTGCATGTTAACGCACTGAATGATTTATACAAATGTCAAATCAAAATTATAATGCTCAACATAAAATACAGGAGGAAATAGTTCAAAATATTCATCATGACCTTTTCTTCAGCACTTTTTAAAACCCAGGCTGACCACAGATTCATTGGAAACCAGAGTATGTTTCTAATCTCGTTCAGGGCACCCCTCAGTGACTGTTTTAAGGTCTCTGTTATTAACTTGCTGTTGTGAAGTTAAGATGAATTCTGATCCACAGTTATAAGACTACTGTGACAGCTGCTCTCATGTATTATGTCTGATCACCTTTCTAATTTCCCTCTGCTCTCCCTGATCCTCTCTCCTCTGAACAGTGTTAACAGCCTTAGACTGGTCCTCAGCACAGGGAGACATCATTTAAGAGCTTTGGGGTACAGGATGTGTGTGTGTGTGTGTGTGTGTGTGTGTGTGTGAGTCTCCTCTTGCCAGCAGCTAACAGATAACACCTGTGCCAATTAACTCAGGAGCTGCTCCTACTCCCATAAGCCCCTCCTGCACAACTCTACACTGCAGATGGGTCTACACACCAATGCCACAAACTTACCCTGTGATTAGATTCGATGAATAAAAGTAGGCTTACTGACTGAATCAATTGATTTTCAGGCTTCTATTTGAGGAAGTAAAGCGTTAATTATATCTGCTTTTCAGGAACTAATGAATCTGCAAATGGTTGATAAGGACACTTGAAACCCTGCGTTTACTGCATATCAATACTGTTGTTTGAATATCTCTCTGTCTCTCTCTCCCCACTTTGGACTGTCTTTTATTTAAAAGGCCCCTCCATGTACACTATCATATTCCTAAAGACTGTACATGTACGGTCACACAGGTATTCAGCAAGTACACACACACACACAGACACAGTCAGGACTGGGACCTGTCCCATTACGCTCCAGTGAGCCGTGTCTGCTGTTGCATCATGGGACAGTCGGAGTGAGATATCTTGCAGCGTGTGCAGTGTGGCATGTTGGTGGCAAACCATGAAGGTGATTAATGACTTTATTATCGAGATTCACAAAAGAGCTCATTGCCCAAGTGCTGACAACAGTAAAGAGGGAGAACAGGGCGGAACAAACACACAGACACACATGTACACCTACTGTGTCACACCCTCACACGTATCATTTGTCAGGGCCATGACTTATGTCTCTTTTTTTAAGGTCGAGGCTCAGACCTAAGACAGAAGAAGAGCTGTGTACATATCAGCACTCAATTGAAGCTCCTCCCAACTCCAAAAATGTAAGAGTGAATAATGTAAACCTTACAATTCTCTATCACCACTAATGCGGGTGTATACTATTTTCACTGAGCTGGATCTGAGGCAGTGGCCAGAGCCCAATGAATGATGGGTACACAGTATGATGATCTTTGTAGTCCCATTTTACCTCTGCTGTGATCCACAGTGACTTAAACACAACACTGTAATCACGCCAACAAAACCACAAAGACCTTTGATCTGCCAATATCATGATATGACAAAGTCATTGCCTCCCTGTTGTTCAGTAAAAATGGTCTCTTTGGGACTCAAGTCATAGTACGGTGTTAGCATAAACTGTATATAGAATGGACGCTGCCTGCCTCCTTACTGGGTGAAGCCACCCTGAGAACAGCACCCTCTGGTGACAGGCTGCAGTATAGGTCATGAATCCAAAGGCGTACAAGGCTACTGCGCAATGTTGGTTTCAGGAAGTGGAGAAAAAACGTGGAATTACCGAGAGCTTTTTGGCTTCAAATCCATACAGTGGCGGAAGGTGGAACCAAGTTGTCCATGGCATATACAGTCTATAGGTGGTACCCACACTGCCACCACAGGAGTGGAGCTTCACTCCAACAGAAATAACCAACTACAGGATTGTTTGAATTAATACTGAATCAGGAAAATAATACTGCAATGCATTGGCGAATCAGTCCTCTCCAGATACACTCTTTACTCCCACACTCCATCAAATCCCAGTCACTTCAGCCATGGTGGCTGGCGGAGGGAGACCAGAAACTCTGGAGGGACTTGAAGCCACCCTTTATCAGCAGAACAAAAGTCTTTTTATCCATTTAAATGGAGCTTCAGTAGTAAAATATAAACATGCTGACAGCAGCAACAGAGAACAGTCGCATTTCCAAACTACTGTCAACTCCTCAGCAGAGCCTCCTGCTGAGTTTCTCCCATATTTCCGTTTCCTCTTTTTTAATGTAGCTCTCTCTCAACTTTATCAGCAGCACACACACACACACTCTAAACAAAAACTTTACTCTTGTGCTCTTAGCAGACAATCCAATCCATTTTTCATGCCTAAAGCACCACACCCGCTCCCTCTCTGTCTCTCTATCCCATTTCATCCCTCACTCTCACAGCCTTGTATGTTTACCTGCGTAATCAAATTGCCCCGAAGGGTATAATGAAGAGAGGAAGCCATGCATCATTCATGGACTCATCTCCTTTGTCTTCCTCTCTTATCATGCATCATCTCCAGCTTCCACCAACCTTTTTTTTTCACCGACCTCACAGACTAAATAGATGTTTTTTTCTTCACACACACTCCTCCTTGTATGCGGCGACTCCACTGTCACCCAGGACCAGACAGGTGGCCTGGCCTTTTCCTAGCAGTATCCTCCGCTCTGGTGTGTCTCCATACTTCAAAGACCCCAGAGACTCCAGAGTGCCATAAGGAGAAGGAGGAGGATGCTCTTTCTTCCCACAGACCCTGTGTTTACACAAAGCCCATTCGAGATCAAACAATTCAATTACTAAAGCGGACGAAGGAGCAGCCTGAGGATGTCAGTGCCCGACTGTGAAGTTACTCTGCAAGGATGTGAGGCTACTCAGGCAGGATAAGTCAATCAATTTGTGTAAGTGTGTCTGTTCAGGTGTGAGTTCTGAGCTTTATCTTGAGGATAGCAGCCGCACAGACGACAGAGACAGAGATTAGACATCGAAGGACAATGGAGAGTAAGTCCAAACCAGAACGAGAGCAGCCTTGAGTCAGTCAGAAAGAGTTATGGAGGCTAAACTCAAGGCATTTCCCATCAGGTGGAGCAGAGAAATCACAGCATGAAGCTGAGGGGAGATGAGACCCTGAGACAGAGACAAGGATAGACAGTGACAGTTAGAGCGCACAGAAGTGTGCTGACTCAGCGCTGACAGTCTGCAGGCACGACTCAGCAGAGGAGTCGCTCTGTGTTTTTAAGATGTCTGAAAGATGTTCCTGTGACACTGAGGGCTCTGTGTGCTGCAAACTGAGGAGCACATTCCTCAAGACATAAATCGACTTTTCAGATAGTAATCATGAAAGTTTAAAGTTAAAATAGTTTTCTGAGTAAAGTTAAAAAATAAAAAACCTTCTACAGGTTTTAAAAAAAAACATCTACAGGAATGCTTTTCCTGCATCTATGATGAGCTATGAAAACCCCTGACCAGTCGACTCTAGACCTTGCTATCACAATGATTTGTGTCATTTAGTGAATACTGATCTGGCAATTATTCTGAAAACAAACTGAAGGTTTCAGCATTTTTCAGTGCCTGACTTTCTCTCTAACTCAGTCTGTCCTATGCTGATCGATCCAGATCACCGGTGCTGAGATGGAGGCGAAGTAGAATCACAATGCAACGCAGAAGTGAAGCACTTACATTGACTTAAAGAAACTACTTGTTCAACTTACACTCAGACACTTCCGATGATTTAACCTAGTTGACCAAAGTTGTTTAAAATGTATAAAAGCATATGCTGTGAAAGAAGGACTCTGTTCAAGAAGTTTTAGTGATTATAAATAAGAAAGCCTTCACCGCTCTCTGCTCTCTGTTTCTTCCTTTTTCTCAGTCAGCTCTCTGAATAATACAAAAGCTTCTAAATAAATGTCTACTCATTAACAAACAAGGAGAATATAAAACACAAACACACACAAATTGCTATCCCAGCGGATTTCCTCTGGTAAACTAGTTCATATTTAACTTTGGAGCAGAGAAAATTCATGAATTCATGAAACAATGTCTGTTGCTGGTAAAAGCTCACATATGTAATACTGACTGAACATTTCCGCTGCATCTTCCTGCATTTTCAAAGGACAAAACAATCAAAACAGTGACTGCCGGACAAACACCTTATTCAATCTGGAACTAAAGTGGAGACAACGGTGCAAAGAGCCACCTCATTTCGATTTAAAAGCCTGATTCTTATGCATTAATAACATCTTTACATAATCTATTCCATTTCATTCGACCTCCCTCCTCCTAAACGGCAGAGATGCTGCCCTGAGAGGGGTTTCAAAAGGGATGTTACTCAGTGATGGAGTGAACCAACATGGACTCTGTGTGCAAAACAGACAGCTCGGGTCCAGCCATGCGTTACAGGGGCTATTTGTGGTAACACGGTCGACTATTTCTGTCCAAATACACACCTGCCTGCTCTCCTGTCTGCCTGCAAACTATCCAGTCACATCCTGACAGCATAGGGCTCATTCAGCAGCTACTGTAATCATGTCTCTAAAATCATACACCCGAACGACTGGGCTCTTAATAAGCATCATCAATTAAAGAAATTAAAAGCTCTGAGTTTAAGAGTCCTCATTTGCTCAATGCACAGAGAAACTCAATATCAGTGTAACTAATGAGTTAAACATATAAAAGAACAAGAAGAAAGTTACCAAATGTGCAGGACAGCGATAAGAAATGGGAAACTGCACAGACAGAGAGAAAGGACAATTGGGCTATTATTTTCCTCCGGGGAACACTGGATTAAGATGATGATTTTGTGCTGCTGTTTTTTTCTTTCAGCTAATCCTTTCCATGGTTTTTGCTGAGAAAGGAAATTTTAGATTAGGTTTTGACAATGAGCACACGCTGATGCACATAAATGCCCTTACACACACCCCCACCAAAAAAAACAAACACAAAGAGGAATCACAATTTAGTACGATCAGCAATCATTCTCTTTTAAATACAAAAACTTAGGAACATGCATGGATGTGAGTGTGCATGTGTGCAGTCAGTAAAAGGAGACTGAAGCATTCTGCTGGATCCCGCTCATCACATCAAAATATGAGTTTAGTTTTGGTATTTTCTGCTTACATGTTTAATCCAGTTTTGGATTTGTTGCTTCATTGCTTAGTTTGTGGAAGCACACCCTCTTTTAATCTTTCATGTGCAGTGAATTAACCAAATAAATTAAGTCTTAACAGTGAGCTACAATATCCCCCCAGCCCCAGACAGCTCTGCAGCACTTTCTCTCTTCAGTCACATCCTCCTAAACAAAAATAAGCTCTGTGCATCTTCTTATGAATAGCTATTCAGCTGGCACAGTCATTTGCATAATAATTTGTGTATAACACAATTCACTGATGCAGAAACATCCAAGTAAGAACTCCAGTATTGTCAAAAGTGTGTTTAAAGTTGTTTTTTAAGAGTTAGGCATGGTCTTAAACAGAGGTTTATAGTGGTGTATCTGATCACAGTGGATCTGTGATGGTTACAGATCAGCCTCTGCAATTCTGATCTAATGTGATCTATGAATCTGGGGATAATCAATTGTCATTGATACTGGGTATAAAATCTCTGTTTAGAGTCATAATGAAAAAAAAAAAAATCAATATGTGCACATAGGTGCTAGAGATGCGCCAATCCATTTTTTTCCGATACCGATACCCGGGCTGAGTGTATCAGTGGATAGCCAATACCGATCCAATACTACTGTTGAATGAATAAACTGTATAACTTGCCCTGTGAGTTAAGGCATCAGGTTTGACATTAGCCTTGTTAAAAAAAAAAAAGGTAACAAACTAACACAGATATAAATTTACTTAATATTATTTATTGACAAATAACAAATTGCACATTAGCACACAGCAAGGCTTTCATGTAAACATTTAGTGCAAAAGGATAGACAGACATTAAATGTAGAGTGAACTGAATCGCTGTTTTGTTGTGTATGATATGACTTAAAAGAAAAATAGACTGGATCAGAACACTGGGTCGACATCATTCATCAGCTATCCAATCCACTTAATTTGTCAATATCGGAGCCCATATCCAATCTAAATATCGGATCGGTGCATTTCTAGAAGGTACCATCAGCTGTTTAAATCAGTTCATCAGATCAGGGTTAGACTGTTTTTGTTTTTTGTGCAAAGTTCAAAAGAGAGATACACTATAAGTTTCTCACATCAATCATGGAGGGAAAGATGCTCTTCACTGTTAGCACTGACTTCTGCTCCAGTGCTAAAAGAAGGCAGAGCTCTCCGAGTGTGCTGGCTGTGGCTCTGCTCTGACCAGGATGCACTCTAGTTATTGTCAGCCACAAATCACACCATGACACTACTCCTGTTTAACCGCCACTGTGCCTAGATCGATGTTGGAGAATCAAATCTTTGTCATGTGAGGATTACGTTTATACTGTGTGCATAAAAAACTGAGAGAGTGTTTAAACTAGTAATGACAGTAATGCAAAATCCATGTCTTGGCACCATGTTGTGACACCAGTATTGATATAAAACACTGTACACTGTCCACCACTTGTGTGTGTCTCTGTGTTGTTACACATGAAGCCTCTTTAGCTTCTGCAAATGCTAAAAAGAAATGTCTACTCATACACTAGGGCACCAATATCACGCTGCTCTGGATGCAATAGCATGTATTTGTATGCAAATGTAAGTGCACAGGCGTGATGGCATTGTCGGTGACTCACAGTGTGTAAGTCGCTTTTACATTTGCTCCACGAGATTTGCACGACTGCATTCCTTCACCTCCTGTCAATAAACTGTTTCTGTTTAGTTCCTCTTGTTTACTGCATGTTTTACATCTAACTACAAAACAGCCCAGAATTACAACATGATTAGAGAAAGGAAAGTCTCCAAATCACAGTCAGGTCAGCGTGCAGAAATACTCTTTGGTCCCGAGCTGTCTGAGTTTCTGCAGAAACACCTCAGAAAGTGGCCCACTTTGACCCTGTGAGTGAACCGTGACTGTGTTTTTTCAAGACTGATTGCTTTCTGCTGTGTGTAAGTACTTTCTTTACCCTCTTGACCCAGATCAGTTAAACTAATGAGAGTATTGGCCTTAACGATCCTCTTCTACAATCCTACACCCACTTCACTGCTGTTATGCATTAATTAATTAATCTCTGACTGTCATCCCTTTGATACAGTTATAATACTCAGATGTATATCTGCATGTTCGAGTCAGTATATTCGCTTTTTTTTCTTTTGGGAATTGAACAACCTTCACAATAACAGGAGCCACTTCTCTGTGATACTCCAGTTTGTGAATTCAGACAGACAGATAAGGTCCATTCAAACAGCTTTTCTAAATATAACCAGGTGACAGTGTTCTGCTCCTCAGACAGGTAGATTGATGGCCTGCTCCCCTGCACGGTTGTGTGTATCATAGCTGAATGTCATGTTTCTGTCAGTGCAGTCAGCACACAGCGTCTCCACACCTAACAACATTTGTTTCAGTTTCAGGTCCGTTGACTTTTCTGGCACTCTGTCAAACTCACTCTGCCTCCTCCACCATCCAATCTACCTTTTAATATTCACTCTCGCCCCACTGCCTCCGTCCACTCTGTCCCTTAAAGTCACTTTCTGCCGCCTGCTGCTCTCAGATAAATAAATGGCAGTCAGCTGGTCAACCATGAGTGAGCAACATTACCAAAAATGACTCTAATCCTGTTTTGTGGTGCTGCAGATCAATCTTTGTGAATGTAAACTTATAAATGTGTCAGCCTGTTTTCTGTCCTTACGTTGGTCCATGTCAGCATAGGAAACAGACTGTTGATAAGTTTAAATGACATCACACATGACAAAATGATAATTTCATGGATCATTATTCTGTTCCACAAATAAAACATGAATTTTCTAGTTAAGGGTCTTCAGAAAGAGCTAATCCCACATTGATTTGAGCTGTTTTTGTAATAGATTATTCATGAACTGATATGTGTTGATGAGTTGAATAAGACTTTTTAGTATTACAGACCAGCTGTTAAACTGAACTTTACAGACGCCAGCCTGTCTACGAATGTCTATTGCTGAACCAAAATTAAAAAATAGTTCTCTTTAAATGTACAAGTCATATTCACTCATGAAGATCAAGTCATTATTGATTATACATTGCAGATATAATATCCCCTGAACTCTATATTAAGGAAATGTTTCTGGTTTCTGCGTATCAAGAACTACAGGAAACAATATCTGCGGTAGTAATAAATAAATCGAGTATTACGACCTTTAGTCGACCTTAGTCGACTGTTAGTTACTACAAAAACACAGACTACGTAAGAGATGCTGTATAATTAGCCTAGGTTTGGGGTCTTGTCTCTCCTGTGTAAACTACAATAAAATACTAAAGTTTGACTTAATCGGGTGACTAAAAGTACTGATTAACAAGTCCTCTAAAACTTCGGTAAAAGTAATAGTGATATTAAATTTTAATGTGTAATGAATGACTCAATTTGTTGTGTTGAACTTTGAATGACACAATTTGTTACGTTGAGCCTGTAGACAGCTGAGTCAACTGTTAATACAAAAGCAGGTTTCTTTATGCTGATGGTAGCACTTTTTTTTTCTTCCATCATCACCTCAGGATTTCTAATCAACTTTACCATTGCACTAACTTTATGCAAGAATTATCTGCAAACAGCTGCTAACAAGTCAAGAAATTTAAACTGATGGAGAAGCAGCAAGTAGCCGCTTTCCGCCTTATTTACCAATGGTTATGTAGAACAACACCAGGACAGCTTTCAAGTTAAAGTGAGACACCAGAGAAGAGTGGGTGCTGTATGAATATGAGGAATAAACTGAGGTACACAAATTGCATTATTTTCCACACTGACATTCCTCAGTAAGAGACAGGATGAATAAAACTAGCTGTGATGATATATAGTTTATAAAATAGCCTCTACAAGATGTTCAAGGATTTTTTTAAATTTTTTTTTAATTTTCTTTTTTCTTTTTTTTTCTTTTTCTTTTTTTTTCATTTTTTTTTTCATTTTTTTTTTCTTTCTTTTTTTTTACTTCAAGTTCTTTTTAACTTGAATGAAATTGTTTTTTTTCCACTTCTCCAGCTTTCTTGACCTCAGGAAGTATCTGGTTTGCTTCCAGACAGAGGGTGGTGGTTTGGTGGTATTTGATGTTGTTATTTCTGCAGGTCCTGTAGTTTCCACCAGTTCATCAGAGTCCATCATACTGGCTTTCTGGATTTGGAGCTGTTGTTTTAGCTCCTCCAGCTCAGTCCTGTATCTCTTCTCAGTTTCAGAAGCTGTCTGCTGCAGAAAAGCAGTCTCCTCTGTCATTTTCAGATGCACAGCGTCCAATTCAGCTCTCAGACTCTGGATGGTCTGTTGAAGGTGAGCCTGATTTTGTTGCTCACGCTGAAGAGTCTCGACCTGCTGTCTCGCAGAAGTGAGGTGACTTTTATACTGGGAGCTCAGCTCGCGGTATGAGATGGTTATCTCACCCAGTTCTTCAGAAAGGGCCATGTAGTCTTTAGTCATACCCTCAACTTGTGCAGTGATCTTCTTAATTTCCTCACTGTGTGCCGCCTTTAGCTCCTCGTAATCATCATGAAGATCTTTCCTCTTCATCCTCTTGCTTTTGTCCCTCACCTTCAGAGCAATCCTGTGTTTGGACAGGGTCTCCTCTGAGCTGTGCTTTTTTAGCATGTCCAGCTCTTTTTGGGTCTCCTTCCATTTGTCAAAAGCCCTTTTCGTGTGATTCTTTTGTAAGACCAGCTTGTCTTTGGTCTCCTCCATCTTCAGGCAGAGCAGAAGTCTTAGGTTCCTCTCCTCTTCACAGGTTTCCCTCTCTCTCATCAGCTCTTGAGCGAGCAGATTCGCATTCCTGCGGAGCTCCCCGATCTCTCTGTCCCTTCTGTTGAAGGACCAAGTCAACCTTGGTCGGGTTGATCGCAACATTGTCTTGGACGATTTCTAGTCTTAGAGTTCTGCTGCTAATAGATTCGCTTGTCTGTTTCTTGAAGTTCAGTCACTCGCTGAAAGGTTCAAACGATCCTACCCTGGACAGCCGCTCTCCTTAAATACATTCACTACTGATGATGTCATGATGATGTCATGATGATGTCATGATGATGTCATGATGGAATTGCTCCTGTGTATGTGTATCTCCTGATGTTTGTTTATATTCGATTTGGTTACATTTAAATGTAAACAAAACCACACCCTAAAACAATCATGTATTTTTCAAACCTGCCGTTAAAGTGTATTTGAGTCTAATGGACCCATTCAGAGAACATCTGACCATATAGACCATGTTTACAGAGAATCATGGTCACTTAGTGTGTTTTTACACCCTTTTTTACACCCTTGGTGACCCTAAAGTTGATAATAGACCCTAAAGTTGGATAATAAGTTGGACTGGTCTAAGAATATAGGCTACATCTACAGAAAGAGGCAGAGCCGCCTCTTTTGCCTGAGAAGACTCCGATCAATAGACATCTGTAGTAAGATGCTGCAGATGTTTTATCAGTCTGTGGTGTCTACAGTGTTCTGTTCTACGCTGCAGTCTGCTGGGGAGGAAGCATCAAACACAAAGATGCAAGACGTCTTAACAAACTGGTGAAAAAGGCTGGCTCTGTGGTTGGACTCAAGCTGGACTCAGTGGAGGATGTGGTGGAGAGATCTACACTGAGGAAGGTGGAGTCTATTCTCAAGAACATGGGTCACCCACTTCACAAAACCTTGATGGACCAAAGGGCCAATGGTGGTGGACGGCTCCTCTCTCTTCACTGCAGGACAGAAAGATTTAGAAGATCTTTTGTACCAACAGCCATCAGGCTTTATAACTCTTGTGTAAATAGTAGATAACTTTTATAGACATATTACGTGAGACAACTTTGGGGATCAATAAAGTCCTTGTTATTCTTCTTATTCTCAAAGGTCCTTAAACACTAGAGCGTTTCTTTTGTGCTATTATTTCGGACATCAGTGTTTGTTTTCGAACCCGTATGAGCTCAGGATGATTTGATCTGATGATCTGGATTTTCATAGATTTCTAACTCTTGACTTTTTGAGTTTGACTGTCTGATTTTTTTAAACAATTTTTTTCAGAACTCTGACCCTTAGACTAGAACTCTGAGAAAAGATTCAGACGTAGAAATTAAAATTAGGATGAAAAACTGGTGGCCCAGATCCTTTCTGTGGGCTTCAGGGTATGTTTTTTAATGACAAGTCAACTCTACAACTACAGGTTTACCAGGATAGAGTAGAAGCTCTGTATACATAAACCCCAAATTCAACTTGAGTTTCAATGCTTATTCAACATGCTGGTTAACATGTTGAAAGAATATAATTGTTAAATAACTATTCAAACTGTATCTTTAAGTGAAAACTGGGTAAACACAACATATCAAATGCTAAATCTGCAAACTAATATTGTTTTAAGTGTGAAATATAGAGAGAAATTGTTGTAATGCTAGTAAAAAAAAACAACCACAAAAACAACAACAACCCCCAGACAGCAGTGCATCAAAAACAGACCAGAGACCAAGAAAACCTCGTCTTTCTCCCTCTCTCCTGCCTTCTTTCTTTTAAAACTCCTCTCTTTCTCCCTCGTTCTTCTGCACCCAGAGCAGCAACCTCCATCAGTGCGCACCAACCCAAGATAAAGAAAACCCTTCACTGGCATTGTCCTTCACTTGCCCTGATCGTATCTATATAAGCTTCAGTGTCTAAATCCGAAAATGTCTCAAATCTTTTCAGATCACTCAAGGTCAGATGTGTCTGCTGGAGTTTCAGTTTTTTTAAGCTCCAGCGTACTTTCTTTGAAGTTTCTTTCTTGTTCACATTTGTTGTCGGCAGCAAAATAAAACTTGACATGTTTAGGGAGATAAAATGCCTCCTTATTAAACCTCAAAACAGACAAACAATTCTGCTACACTTTACCCAATTCATTTTTTAACAACTCTTTTTCTTTAATTTACCCCTCAGAAACCTCACTAACACCGTAAACTGTCATTTTCACCTGATGGATATTAATGACCTACCATCAAGAAGTTCAAAACCCACTTTTCTTTGGTTATCTTGTTGCAGACTAGAACATCCAACTCCTTCACACACCTGAAGCTGTCAGACTGAGGTTGTAGAAGTCGGTTTGACAGTAAAAGAGGAGCAGAAAACACAGTGACCACTTTCTCAAGATGCACTTCTTATTAATGTAACAACACAACAAAATAAAGCCCCTCAGTCTGCAGACCCCACCACGCTTCGATCGGGTCCTGCATGCTGGATTAGGATTTAAATGACAGTTATGAGATAAAGCTTTTAGCTTTCATGGCTCGACAGATTCAAACAAGGTTGATGGTTGTTAACAAACCAGCTATTTTTGGACAAGGCTGCAGGAAAATGGGATTGTTGGCAGTGTTGCCAAAACGCTGACGTGTGCAACATGAGTCAGAGTGTTAAGTACAATGACGCAGTCTTTGACATAATACATTATTTACATGCTCCTGTTCTAAAATTACATGACGTTTTTTTGTACACAAGTTGCTTTGGGCTGACTGAGGTAAAACAGCTTGTCTGAGTGTTTTGGGGTATTTTGTTCTCCAGCATTTCAGGTAAACTTTACAGGAATAAGAAGAGGTGAGGGGGAATTTTAGTTCTGTGATTTCCCTCAGGCAAGCTTTATGAGCTGAGCTGCAGATTTTTCTGAATGAAAGTAAAAATGACTTTGTTTCCTCCTAGAAATTCACAAAAAAAAAGGGGGGGTGGGGGGGGGGCAGAAATGAAGTTTTAAAAGCATGTGTCAGAACACATGTCTGTGTTTGTGCTTCTTGCTGGAGTCCTTTATTATAAATAGGGGTGTCCCAATACAATATTGATATCGGATGCCACCTCACAACAACGGGGTGTACTAAGGTACAAACAAAGTAGCAAGGAGTAAAAGTGATGTTGGCCTTGTGGCAGTAGTTTGTTTCAGAATCAGAATCACTCAGCTGCTATGTTTAAGTCTGAAAAAGACATTGCAGCTGAGTGAAAAACTTGTCATGCACAATTTTGTACCAGTATTGGATCAATATCGGTATCGGTCAATACTGATGGCTACAATATCAGTATTGTATCGGAAGTCAAAAAGTTGTATCGGGACACCCCTAATTATAAATAAACAATAAGTACTGAGATGCGGTGACCTCGGTGCTGAGGGTGTCCGAGAGGAGATGAAGCATCTCTGGAGTAATCACACAGGAGAGCATGACAGAAACAGGAGGAGAGGAAACCAGATTAAATACCAGCGGGTTGTCTTGTCCCTCACTTGTTCTGTCTCTCTTAAACACCGTCAAAGACAAATCACAGCAATATACAGCAACTACAGCTTCTAAGTCCTCTGCTTCTCTTCCTCTCTGTGCCTCCTCCCTTTTTCACCCCCCCCCCCAGTCAGAATGAAGCTGTGTGTGAAGGTGATTTGGTCAGATAATGATCAGCTGTTGACCAGATGGAAGAGTCAGGGGTCCAGATATGGACACAGCGACACAGGGGAGCAAAAGGTTCCAAATTGGGGTCTATGAGGGCAGACAGGTTATCAATGGGAGCTTTTCTTCCAATGGAGATACGCAGGTGTATATAAAAGATAACACAAACAGAAAACAAAGTCAGGGGAAAGCAGCAGGACTATTATCAGCAGCAGAATTACACTGAATCAAACCTGTGCAGATTGAACACAGTGACCTTCAGATCTGAAATGACAGTCTGTGGAGCAGCAGGTCTAGTTGTTCACACATGACAGTCAGTTTGTTCTTAATCTTATTATCAAAAGAGACTGTTTGACTTAATGTCTATTCCACACTGACAGCCCATTACAGTTCATACATGAACACAGCATATCACATCAGTGTTGCCCATGGATTGCAAAAATACTATAATCACTAAGCAAAACAGAGCACTTATGAACATGCTTGATGTAATTAATCTAGAAAGCACACACTCAAGTGCATTAAGCCTTTTACTCCATCTAATCACATCATTTAACGGCTGTAATCAATCCTGCTAATATGAAGTGAGCCTGTTAACACTTGATGATTCGGCCTGGAAATAAAATACATTTTATCGTTTAATTTTTGCAGGGACTGCTCAATTAAATACAATTTCATCAGTGCTAGCTTTCAGCTAAATTGCATCTTGGGAGTAGGAAACATGAAATAGTGCTTGTATGGAGGTTAAGCGCTTCATGACACAACACAAGATTTAACAAGTAGTGCAAATACACCACAGAGAAGCTTTTGAAGTGATTAACTGTGAGTTTGTATGAATGAATATAATGGAATCAAATCAAGGAAACAAGGTCCTTCACATTTTGTCAAACTGTTTGGGTTTTTGTTAGCCAACATATCTCCTAATGTTTTGGATAACTAGCTTGATTTGAAGCTGCTGTGAGGAACTTTTGGTCTGTTCTGGTTTTGGCACCCCCCCTGTGGACACCTACCCCTCCTCACACAACTGTTTCAGGCATCAGTACAACTGAATGCTGCTGTAGTCTCATTTCCTTTTTAAGTGTAATAATGAGGCATCAGTTTCACTTTTGGTTTATTTTCTAACCATATAAAAATTAAGGGAAGTTCAAACGGATCACTGACAGACTTAACTTCTTTAAGATATTAACTCTTAAATGTTGGAAAATAGGACTGCAAAATTAATGACATTGAAAATTAATAATTAACAGCCACTCCTTTAAAAAGACGCAGAGGAAGAGTTTTGGCATTCAGCGGTTTAGAGTGGACAAGTTAATGACAGAGACCAGTTGAATGAAACTAAAGTAGCGGTCTTCCTCGTCCCTTCATTAGGATACAGTTTCCTCATCAGCCAGTCTGAGCTGACAGTAATTAGCGGTGCCTCATTAAAAGTCATTATTTAGACAGAATGTCCATTTACCTTCCCCATTACACAACTGGCTACTCACCTTTGTATGAGTGTGTGTGTGTGTGTGTGTCTGTGTGTGTGTGTATGTGTGTGTGTGTTCAGTTACCAACCAATGATTATGTCCCCTGCACCTTACTGAGACAGTCCCGTCTTTTAGCTGTGCATGCAACTATAGTTCAGGAGAATGGCAGCAAGTGTGAAGCAGAGGCGCTATCAAAAGAAAAATGTTTACTTTATGTTCTGTCTATGTTTTTGGAGGGCGACAGGGATGTCTCACAGATAACTTGTGACAAACTGTGTCAGCATTGATCATTATAAAGTAATGTAAAGGTTAGTAGGACCAATGAACCCTAATATCATTGTCTCATTTCTACGTCGTTTCTTCTGCCTGATTAAGCTCACATTTGGAGGTCTGAACATGTTTCAAAAAGTCATGAAACTTCACACATTCATCAAGCCTTATAAAAATGTGGATTGCTTCATCCTGTCTTCACCACAAGCCTCGGTCTTCAAGGCTGAGGCTGACAGTCAAACACCTCTGGATCTGCTCCTGCCTGAGAGTAGAGGATGTCATTATCTTCCTGTTCAACTGTGTTTACGCTCACCTGGACAAACTGGAGAGCACTGTAAGTCATATTTTCTCACTTCCTCTGTGCTTTTGACACCATCAGATCGGTTCTACTGAGTGAGAGGCTGACAGTGATGCAGATGGAGGCTACCCTCTTGTCCTGGATTATTGATTTCCTGACTGGAAGACCACAGTTTGTACGCTTATAACAGTACAAAGTGTCAGACAGAATGGTCAGCAACCCTGGGGGCCCACAGGGGACAGGCCTTTCCTCTTTTCCTCTTTACCCTCTACACCACAGACTTCAACTACAACACAGAGTCCTGCCACCTTCAGAAGTTCTCTGATGACTCTGCTGTAGTTGGATACCTCAGGAAGGGTGATGAGGCTGAATGCAGGACTGTGGTTGATCATTTTAAACACATGATGGAAGCAGAACCATCTTCAGCTCAACATGACAAAGACTAAGGAATTGATAGTGGATCTGAGAAGGACAAAGACACCATTGACTTTTGTTTCTATTCAGGGGGTCAGTGTGGACATTCTGGAGGACTACAAGTACCTTGGGTGTACTTGGACAAGAATGAAGCTGTCTACAAGAAGGGGCTCAGCCGTCTCTACTTCCTCAGGAGACTGGCGTCTTTTAACATCTGCAGGCCCATGCTGTGCATGTTCTCTTAGTCTGAGGTGGCCAGTGTGATCCTGTTTGCTGTTGTGTGCTGGAGGAGCAGACTGAGGGTAGCAGACGCCAGCAGACTCAACAAACTCATCCAGAGGGCCAGTAAAATTGTGGGGGTAGAGCTGGACTCTCTGACGGTAGTGACAGAGAGGAGGATGTTGTCAAAGCTACATGTAATCTTGGACATCATCCAACACCCACACCATAACGTGTTGGTCAAACAGAGGAGCTTATTCAGTGTTAGACTCATTTACCATAAATGAACCACAGAGCGTCACAGGAAGTCATTCTTACCTGTGGCCATCAAACTTTATGATTCCTCCCTCTGAGTGTCATAAAGTAGCTGTAGACTTCTTCACAACATATAATACATTCAACTGTGCAATCGGTTTGTAAACTGGTAAAAACTTCAATAATCTAAGAGTGCAATACTGATAACAACATCGTTTATCAAGCTAACTGTACAATATTTTGTTTAACTGTGCAATGCTTTGTTAAACTGTAAAAAACGCTGTGCAATATCCTACACTACAAACTGGTTTTGTATTCTCTTATGCTTATTCCCTAAACACTCTGTGCTTTGTAAATAGCTTTATTTCTAATATTCAGTTCTTTTTGTAATTTCCCATTTTATTCATGTTTGTTCCTATCTTCTATCCCCCCTTCATAATATTTGTATTTTTGGTTGTGGTTGCGGCTGGTTTATGGCAAAATTCAGTTATTTCCAGCTCTGGATTATGACCCTAACAGTGCTCACCACAACATTCAGGCGTTCAGAAATCCTTCTATAATCAGCGCCAACAGGCTGTATGTATGTACGTTTGCAAAGGTCTTGATTATTTTCCAATGGCATGAGGCACAATTGCTTTTTATTTACTGCTTGTTTTTCCATGCCTTTTTGCACCTCCCTTTCTTCATGTGCTCAATACGTTTTCACCCACTTCTTCATTTACAGACATCTATGGTTTGAATTCTTTGCACATGGTGATGTGATTAATACTTATTTCAACCGCTGTATGTGCTCACTTCTCAACTACAGTCATAGTGTCACCCTGTGGACTTACTAGCTTTTACAGTCTGATCCAAACTTTAGGGTTGATGATGGTCCCATTCTGAATGCATAAACATAACCCTAACTGTATTAGACATAAGCAATAATAACTCCCATAAGTCCTGTTAAATAAAGCTTTATCCTTTATGTTTTTGTTAATACACTGACATAAGGATTCCTAAATACCATAACTTTGCCAAAGTCATAGCCCTACCTACTGCTAAACGGCACAATGGCCCATTCACTGTCACCATGTCTGTCACATTTTAGAGCCTTTGCACAGTAAAACCAACAAATTCAAAAGAAAAGATAATTCTGGTTTTCTACAAATATCTGTAAATTTTGTCTGTGAATTGCAGGCACAGTCTTACGGTGACTGTTTTAACAGTGTAAGCAACATTGATAAAGAGGTGACATCCTGAAAATGTGTTTGCAATACAAACAAACATAATACCAGATGGCAGTAGGCTTGAGTTACTAGCCGGGGTCAACCATTTTTATCATTTTCTATGTGAATTCAACATCCTTATGATGCATTACACAAAAATTTTAATACTATTAGGCTTTTGTGCATGCTAAAACATCAACACCATCTTCTAAATGGGACACTCATACAGGCCTTAACTCCGAATCAAAGTGTTGGTATTAAAAAAAGAAATAAAAGAGCTTAAATGTGAACAAATTAAAACTTTTTTAAACTAAACCAGCTGAAACAAACTTTTGCTCTGACAGAACCAACATCTATTTATACACAGCAGTTGAGTTTTGCAACATAAACACTCTTTTTCCAAATATATATTAGATCTAGAATACCAACTGAAACTTGAAGCTGCATGCTGTCACAAATAACTCACATAAATCAGAGTGATCCTGCTGGGTCCTCTCATAACCATCTTTTCAGGAAACTCTAAAATCTGATCACGCCGTCTCACAAATGATGGATGAGGGCTGACTTTCATTTTTCTTTTAAATAATGCAGATGAATGAGGTTTAAAGTATTAAAATATGCCCTGCAGTGAGGTTACATCACTGTCCACTTGCTTTATTCAACTGTTCAGACAGAGGGGGAGACGAGAGGTGTTTAACTGAGACAGAGTAGGTGAGGAAAATCATGGATGAACAAAAAAAAAAGGTGGAGCAGAGATGATTAAGACAGAGAGAGAGGGGGAAGGAACAGAGAAGCTATCCAAAAATTGATACAACTTTTCAGAGGTAAGTCATCAAAACACACGTCCTGCCTTCCTGTGAGATGTTCTGAACTCTGCCGCTTTAAAATGTGCAACTACATCAGCAACTCCTCTACAGGTCAAATATATCCTCATATTACTGGCAAATGATAAAAAGAAAAACATGCATCATACATTTCATACTGTCATTTATTGTTTTTGTATTTTAAAGTATTGAGTATTTTAATCATAAATGCTGTTGTAGTTCTCACTTCTCAGATTATGTGGTGTTTCAAATGACTCCATTCAGTCACCAGGCCTTGATGTAGACCGTGACAGAGTCTAAATCTGACTGTTTTTTTTCTGTATGTTAATGACTGTGTGAGCAATTTTATCTACGTTGTTTTGGGTTTTGTTTTGTCACTTGCACAATCACCACAAGGGGGACTTGAGGTAAATACGCAGGTAAATGCTACAAAAGGGACACAGGCGAAGCAGTGATCTTGGGAATGGAAAGAGCACACGGTTTTTACAACCGATCTTTAACACCACCCTTACCCTCATCAAGTACATCGCCATCATAGTAAGTTCAATGTACCTAATTTATTTTTTTATTTTTTCATTGGCTCAATAAATGGCAAACAAATAACTCAACAACAACCTCTGTTTGGACATTAGACTCTTCGAAGCACATAAAAAACTGACCCCTGCACCCAGACAGTGACTAAAAATCTGATCAGAATAGTCACTACAAAGACTTTTTATTAGACATGCTCTGAATGAATAAAGGCTTTTAAAACCATCGTTGATCCAAGTAAGTGTGCTTGTAGACAGCCCTACAGGTTTCCCCTCTTGGATGGTAATGCTATTTTCTTCAAGAGCACCTGACTTAACTGGCTTTGAGCGCATTTACCAATGTGAGCACACTGTAACAGCTCTCCTTGTGTGACTCAAATTTCATAATTAAGTACCAAATTATAAACTTGCAAATAATTTTAGAATTTCCCCATCTATAGTCACAGAATTTCATTAAAAGCTTCTTTTCATCTGGAGAAATCAGTCATGTACAATGACTCCACTCCTGCAGGTTGGGCTGTGTCATATCTGTCTGCATAAGAAAAAGGTCATCATTTAGTGAGCCTATGTAGAGTCACAATTTACAGTCATCATAAAGAAATAAATTAAGGGCGACATCATTTTCAGCCCAATCACATCTGTACATCCAGACTGATTTGAATCTGAGCTCAACTATCAGTGATTTGACAGAGTAGGGGGTTAAAAATTGTAATGTTTAGCCTGCTTTAAAATGAACTTGTTTTCAGCTATTTGATCAGCAGGAGCCACACAAGCCTCAAAATTATTTACCTAGAAAAGTCTGCAAAACTTTAAAACTCAAATCATCTAGTTGTGAGTATCTCTGGTATCCTAGTTTTTTGGTGACATGGCTCTTTTTCCAGCCAGTTCATGTGCGACCGTGCGTGTGTGTGTGTCCTGCAGGCAGTGATGTTCTCTCACAGACAGCACGGTATGACATGCTGGAGACCAGTTAGATAAGTCTATGTGAGTCCTGAGTCTGGCTGACTCGGTGCCCGGGGCACAGAAACACCTCCCCAATTAGGACAGCAGCTAAGCAGGCATCCGGCTACATCCGCCGCTCCACACACAGCTGCAAGTTCCTCTTCCTCTGCAAAATGGATCATCCCAGTGTTTCTGTGGAGTTCAGAGTTGGAGAACTTTCTCTGACAGGATGTGTTTTTAATTCAAGGCAGATCTGGGATGGAGCCGCATTTCTCCAGCAACAACAATGACTCATTAACTCAGTGATGACTCAGGAGTAAACTGGCACAAGAAGATTTAATCATGCTAAAACCCTTTAGGTAATTTATATTTGGCCCGTAACTAACTGAGCTAAACCAATTACTTAATAGTTCGGAGTGCATATTTTCTTTTAAGGCAAGAAGATTTGTGTTGTTGTGTGAGTGGGAGGCAGAGTTTTCTTTTAATGAGGGAGCCAGAGGTTTTTTAAAGTTTGACACTTCCACAGTCCCTCTGATCGGGGCTAATAAGGGCACAACACGCCAAACAACAAAGGCTTCAAAGAGCGAAAAAAGAGAAAAGGTTGAGGTTGATCTTATTTTGCATTCATTGAAGAAATAATTGGCTCAGAGCTTAAAGAAATCTTCTCATGCCACCTCCTGACTTTGCAGAGCCAAGGACTCATTTGCATTAACTCAACAACAATGGCATGACTGACAGAGCAATTTCTCTAAAGCTGCTGGACTGTTAGAAAACTCCTCTGACAACTTGAGTCAGCTATAATTTCTCTTTGGAAAACCAAGACCGGAGCTTCCAAGGACCCTGGTCAACAGTTTTAAGGTAAACATATTGATGCATTGACCTTCTGTGGTCACCAGTGAGTTTCAGCAGATGGTCAGAAGGAAAAGGCCAACATGTCCTGCATGTGCTCTGCATTGTAAACAGTCCAATCGGCAACGTCAGAAGAGTCCTAATCAAAGATAAAGACACAGCTAAATCTACTCCTCCAGATGTTTCTTAGAATTAAACACTGTTGGTTCATCTCATCCCCTGAATTAGCATCTATCCAACTTTATGTGAATACCATCAAATAATAGAATTCATAACTCTGCATTTGTTTAAATACATATTTTCAGGCTTTTTGCCTTTATTTAGAGAAGACTAGACAATGCACAGAGCAGGAAATAGGATGAGACAGAGCAGAGATTGACATGTGGGAAAGGGGACCACAGGCCGGAAGCCAACCCGGGCTTACCGCTCAAGGCATCTGATTGTGGGCTGAACATAGACCATAGGCCAGCAGCAACCTTTGTCTGCATTTTACACCAGTGTAGAGTTGCATGATACTGGACTTTTACTAATATCCTATAAACTGCCAATATTCTTCAAACTCACTTTGGCCAATGATGATATAGCCACATCTTTTATTTTGTTGTTATAGGAACACAACAAACATTTAGAAATGCACCTGTTTCTGATACTACTTCTGTGCAGCTGACGTGTAATCCCTCTATACTGTAAAAGGACATATGCAAAACCTTTTTGCCAGTAATTTTGTCTGTATAAATTTTCACTTCTGTTGATAAAATGATTAACTGTTAAAGCTATTGTCTGTTAATATCGTTACCATGCTGATAATGTTGTGCATCCCTAAACTGATGCAGCCCACTTTTGGATAACAAACAAGGTATTACAAGTTTGACTTACACTCCAGATTTTACGTACTTGTATTTGATAGGTCTTTGCCAAAATGACAACATCATGAGAGAAGGTAAAAATGATCATTTTGTCAGGTCTGCCCTCAAAAGGAGACTGAAACAAATGTGCTTGTTTGTTGAATTTCGACTTGCCAGCTGATCATGTCGAATTAAAAAGACAGCGACTAAAACAGAGTGTTTTAGAAGAAAGCTGACAAAATTATATTTTGAGAGAGAAATTTTGGGTTTTTAGCCTTTTAATGCCTGGAACCACAAATTATGGCCAGAAAATTCAAAATTTTGGGGAGCTGAAATGTTTATTTCACTTACTACTGAAAAGCAAAAAAATAAAAATGTCCTTAAAATTTAAGAAATATATGTATTTATCTTGATACATTAGATGTTTTTGGAAACTGATAAACCACAAAAGGACATTTTTATCATTTATTGGACTGTATTCAGGTGTTATTTTAGTAATTTGTTGATCATATTGATTTGATAGAAGTATCATAAAAGTATGTATCAAATATGATACAAAGGGCATTAAAGGGTTAAATATTTAAGAGGTATCATAGAGGGAGAGTAAAGTCTGAAAAAAATGCATAATACCCCTTCTTTAACAGTAACCTGGCTAAATTGGAATGATGAAGCATTGGGAACTGTTCTCAGAATGATGTTGAGAGATGGGAGCTGAGAATAAGGAGCTAAAATGTTGCTGAGGCTGATTGTGTTGCTCCCACAAAAGGACGGTTTCTACCGCACAAATCAAAATAAAAACCTCACTGTAGGTAAGTCTGCTTCATATTATTCACTGTTGTGTGGAGTAAAAGAAATATGGAGTGAAATTGGGGCGTCAAAGAAAAATAAATAAATAAACAGTCATGCAAATTGTAATTCTGAAGATTACACCAACCACCTGGCTAACTGCTGGTTCTCTGCCACAACCAAGTTTTCACCTCCTGCAGGCTGCAAGAAAGCACAACCCCCATTGACGCGGAAACCGCAACAAAATGACTGTGCTTTCCCTCCACAGGGGCGCTGCACTTTGGGAATGTGTGTTTAATGTGCTTCTTGGTGTGTGGCTTCAATAATTGAGCCAACCACCAGCCACAATAGAGCTGTTACAGGCTGCAGTGTGCTTCAAAAATGTATGAGCCAGACCAGCCGGTCAGACCAAAGAGAGCGAAGCAGCAGTGATTTAATTTAACCCTCCACACATCTGTGGTTTGGTAATGTCAAAACAGCAAGTCTTTGACAAGCCTTATAGATATGTGAGGCATTTCTGCAGCCAGAAAGTAATCAGAGCAGAGAGCTGTAATCTTCATCACCTGAAATGTCGACACCACAGAGGGTACATGTTGAGGGTGAAATTACAGCCTCATGTAGGAGTTGTTCAAACATCAAAAACAGAGAAAGCTTGACCATAACAACAATCTTTTTTAGGATAGTTACAGCAGCAAAAAAATACAAAATAAAATTCAATATAAGAACAAGTAAGTACAATGCAGGCTAAAAATACTAAAAATACTAAGTATATACAACAAATACAGACTAAATATACTAAACATCCTAAGAGAAAAAAGTGTGATATGAAGAACGTGGGCTATTGAAATGAGTAATAAATATGAAATGCGGAAGACACAGATGGGATGATAAATAAACAGACAATATTAGGGTGCTCAGTAATGTGATGTGGTAGGAGTTTTAAAAATGGACTATACAGCAGACAGATGTGAGTCCTTGTCTGACAGATGTGAGTTACTAAATAGAGCTATAGCTTGTGGCAGGAAAGATTTCCTGTATCTGTCCCTTCGACAGCGGAGCTGCACTAGTCTGTTGGAGAAGGAGCTCCGCTGTCTGTCCAGAGTGGGGTGGAGAGGGTGGTCAGGGTTATGATTATCTTAAACCAAGACAACTCAATAGCAAGCATTGTGTACATTTACTTTTGGTTGATTACCAATACATCTAAAGGTCCTTACACACCGGGACCATTTTTATCGTGCGATTATTTCAGACGTCAATATTTTTTTTCGAACCCGTATCCTGTCAATACAAGTGTTCACATCAGCAACGTTTTCCCGTTCTGCGATATTGCGGCATTTATTTTTTCGGATTGTGGTCGATTTTTCAAAAGTTTTGCATACTGTGTGTCCACTTCTGACCAATCAGATTGCGTGTTGTTGCGATGTCTGATTTACCGGTATCCAACATATCCAACATATCCGACCGACTGATTGTTTACGTGTCGGAGAACAGAGTGCATTTTGATAAAAAACCTCCTAAACCAGGCACCAAGTTCTCTTCTTTTGGGTAACACTGGATGCACATATGTGCTACATTTCTTTTTCTTATGAGAAAGCAAAAGGAGTACCATCACCAAGGATTCGCCATCACTTGAAGTTGAAGTAGACACCATTTTTGTCCTCTCGCTTTGCTGGCTGTTAAGGGAAGGTCCCGCCCTCCTTCTCCTCTGATTGGCTTTAAGTGCTGACCGTTTGGCTTGACCATGTGATGACGTTTCCAGCTTTTCTAGCCAATCAGAGGCGAAGGAGGCGGGACTTCCCCCGAGAAAAGTCTTCCCTGGGATGCGTCTTTTCCCCCCCGGAAAGTCGCGAAATCGCATCAGGCTTGATGTACATAGTCAGGCGCGTCAAAATTCGCCTCCGAATATTTCGTGATTTCACATTCTATATTCGCGTCGGCCCCGGTGTGTAAGGACCTTAAGGCTGTTGCGAATAAAGATATACCATCAATAGGACGGTCCATCATCCACTCAGCAATCAATCGAAACACAAAGACTCCATGTTCGTCTAACAGACACCCAGTCAACCTGATACAGACGTCTGTATTGACATGCAAGCTATAAATACACATACCTGTACTTGCACAAAAACACCCACACACAAAATGGGAACACAAAGATGCTGTTACGCACACTCTTACACAAATGCCCAGAGACTCAGCCCGCTGCAGAAACCCAAATGTACTATACACAGATCACACCGGTACATATCACACAACCTCACACACACGCACATCTGTCAGGTTACATGGTGAGAGTGGATGATGATAGATGATGTCAGGTCGTCTCTCTGTGCTGGTCTAATGAGGTGACACACTGTCCTGACTGACACAACCAGATCAGCAGGGTCAAAGACTTGTTCATGAATTACTAACCCACATCCATAAATAACCAGGAGGTACCGGGGCAGAGCCTCAGGGAGGAGCCCAGATATATTCATAATATTCAATTTTACATTTGAAGAAAAGTGAAGTTTTTATTCAGTTTGAAGTGAACTTTACCGGGGTCAACTAAAAAACGTGGTTGGATTCAGTCCCTAACCAGAGACTTTGCCGTTATAACCTTTGGATCCTCTGTATGCTCTCTCCCTCTTTCTGTGGTCCTGATGGAGAAACACAAATGCCAGATGCAATCATCCTTGGCCTGGGTCCATCAGCTGGATGAACACTAGGAGTGTAAACAGGCAAAAACCTCAAGCAGACATAGACTCATGTTAGGCAGTCATCTGCTGCCTCTGCGCTGGGTTGAGAGAAGGGATAGAGGATGATGCAGAAAAGGGGGGTTGAGGGACAGAGATGGGATTGATGCACGTTAGCTGAAGCAGCAAGAAACCAGATAGGTCCACCGCAGGAAAACGTCTGCAGCAGCAATCTAGAGGAACCTACAGCATGATGGAGCTCAGGGACTCCCAACAAAGACCGTGTATTCATGACTCTGTAGGAGCCATAATGTTGCTTTGCTGATGGGTTATTCTGTGTTCAATTACTTTTGTCTGGTTGCCATTGCGGTATGCAGGGTTTTAGGTCACATGAGCACTGTGGTTGACAGCTGATAGGTTATATTAGTGGCTGCTTCACCTGCACTGGGGTTGAGAGGTGAGTCTAGTTAGCCGTAATTTTTGTTGACCACTTCTGTTTTTTTTGGGTTTTTTTGCTTTGATCCACATCACCAAAAGTGTACACATGCACCATCCTATGTGTGGGTGTAAATCCTAAGCCACTGTTGTGTTATTAAAACTTACAATACTTCTCTAAACTGAGGATGCTTCTTTGGAACAGCAGCAGTGTGTCGCATAGTTATATAGGACCTATTCTCTGCCTCAGGTGACTTTTTAAAGGTACTGGAATGCCGCAACAGACCCTAATGGGACACAGTGATTCAAAGTTAATGACACATACAGAGAGAGGATGGAGAAGGAGGGAAAGGTGCTCAATGTGCCAATATCCCCGGCGGTCTAAACTGATGGCATAACTCAAGAGCTGGCCCAGGCCTGAACCTGACAAAACTACATCATGTGACTATATCCATATAAGATCTGTCATTTTGTTTCAAAAAATCAACTAAAATAATATCAAACATGACATAAATATGTTTGGAAATGTTCATAACCAAGTATCTGCTAATGACGATACTATGCCAATAATAATGCATTAGATTTATAGCGCTTTATCAGAGACCCTCAAAGCGCTTTTCATTGGATACATCATTCATTCAGTCACACCCTGGTGGTGATAAACTACCTTAGTAGTCACAGCTGCCCTGGGGCAGACTGACAGAAAAGTGGCTGCCAATTTGCACCTACAGCCTCTCCGATTCACAATCATTCACCAGTGGAGGACACACACTGGGAGCAGGGTGGGTTAAGTGTCTTGCCCAAGGACACAATGAATAGACTAGGGGTAAGGGGGAATCGAACCACCAACCTTTGAATTATTGGACGACCGCTCTAGCCGTAGCCCAGCATCCTTAATAAAAAGTGTTATTCAAATCCGGACTGGCTGAGCACAATTAACCATGAGAGTCGCTCTTGGGTAGGGTTGGGTATCGTTTGATTTTAAACGATTGCGGTTTCGATTTCCGATTCCGGTTCCTAATGATTCTCTATTCCAATTCTTTTAAAAGGCAGGATATTTTTTTTAAAAATACATGGTTTAAATGAGGGTGCTAACCGGAGTTCTTCTTTTTGGATGAAATTTCTGAACTTCTCCATGAATTTTTTAATTATATTAACTTTTTAAGAACTTTACTATGAATTTCTCACGGGGCTATTTTCAACCAGAATATAAATATCAATTTTTGTTGTCAGGTCGTTTGTCTATGAAAAAGTACAAGGGCTAATGTTAGTTGGATATTTAAGTTGACCCACCATACACAGTGCAATTTGTTTGCCGCTTCAATGTTAGCAGAAGACAGAAGTCATTTATTGTTTCACTTATCTGATTCTGCCTGGTTAGCGGAAGACCGGCGAAGCGCGTCAAAGACGGGCCCTCAGGTATTTCTCCTCCATGAATCCTGAGGTGTTTAATCATGTTGGTCATTCACCCTCCTTTGCATGATATAACTGTGTTGCTAATGTTGCACTGAGATAAGAGTTCATTCTTCCTGCTAAAGTTAGCCAAACTTTTGACCGCAGCCACTGTGGGTTGCAATGCACTCTCTCTCTTTGTCTCTCTTCTCTCTCCGTGTGGCTTCGTCTCATACGCTTCATCCTCATTGGTGTTCGGCGGCTTCTTCTTCGTTGGTGTTTAGTGGCGTCTTCCTCGTTGGTGTTCGGCGGCTATTTCTTCTGGTCGGCGGACTCCGGCATCGAAACTTGGAATCAAATTTTTTAAATTTGAACGGTTCTAGGAGAATCGAAATGTTAGTCCCGGTCACCATCGATGCTCCGGACTCGATGCCAAACCCTACTCTTGCGTTTTATGATGAGTGAATTCAGAAAGGTTTGTTCACTCTGTCTCGCTGTTCACACTGACTGCTCTCAGCAGGCCAAACAAACCCTGACAATCCATTCCTGTTGACAACTTGACATCAGGCCAAAAGGCAGAGCCTCTCCTCAGTCTTTCTTTTATGTTTTTAGCAACATTCCTGCTGCTGAATCACAAGCTACAGTCCAACAGCAGACAGACAGAGCAACCAAAAGCTTTATTACAACTGTTAACTCTGCTTCAAGAGGAGGTTCTTTCATTGGGGTTTATCTGCGAGCTCCTGAAAAACTTATGAGTAAAAAATTATCTCCACAATTCCTCCTCTGAGTCGTTTTATTTTTCTTCTTTAACATTCTGCCCGAGTAATTTAACAGGCTGCTAATACAGCACCTCTCATATACCTGACTCCATTTGACTTGCTAATTAGACTTTGCTGTTATCTGGGGTTTAATTAAACACACTTGGCGTTTAAAGTAAGCAGAACACTTTCCTGTGTGCTTTAGAATATGTCAATGCAATTGGTTGGGTTCCACAGTGTGTGTCTTTGTGTCGGAGTTAGTGTGTGTCTGTGGGTGCATAATTGTGTTTTTTACACTGGAACGGCCCCACTGCAGCAGATAAGAGTGAGTGGCAAAGTTATCATACTCAAAGCTGCACCATTCAGTAATTGCTGCACTGTGACCACATGTCGTATATAAACGCAACAACCGTGCGAATATGGCAGAAAACCTCACCTGAACTGAAGGACAGTCATAGAAATTCAGCTCAGAAATACCAGTCAAAGACTCACCTTCACCCTTAAAGTGGTTTTCTGACTCAGTGGCTGTTTACACCTGATTGAACATGCAACCTGTGATCACACACATTCTCACATCACAAAAGGACAGCCTGAGAGGTTTTAAGGACGCATGGAGATCCAATTACTCCGACAATATTCAGAGGTGACCTTTACTAACATCACAGACTGTATCAAAAAGATAACTGACATGACAGCTCCCCAGAAAGTGCTGTAGATTTCGGGACAGTGATATGTGGGAGAGTGGCGTTTTGGTTGAGGTTTGTTTATGGCTCCTCAGACCACTGTGTATTGCTATCTTGTGGTCGTTACTAAAGTTGGTATAACTAAAGAAGCAAGAAGTCTGCAACATTCATCTCCCAAGGAGGTGTCTAACTCGGTGTTACAGTGTGTTTGACCCTAAATTAATTTCACGCCGGAATATCCCTTTAAGTAAAAAGCACTAAACCCCTGTTGGTAGATATGTGTCATCAGATGCACTAATTCATTGAAGGATGTATGAGTAAGTTACATGAATAAGTTGGTTTTCATCATTTTTAAGCATATGGCACGATAAGTGATTCAACTTGGTCCCCAGCTCTCCATGCAGAGCAGCAGACAGCAGTCGTTTTACAGAACAGCTCTGGTTTTAATTTATGAGGCAATAAGCTTCTGGAAACAAGTGCAGGTTATCACTTGTTCTTCTCAGGGTGAAAAAAAAGCAGCACAAAAAAGTTCATTTAGGAGCTGATAATGAATTGAGCTCCCGGTATTTAGACAATCCCTTTCCCGTGTCTGTCTGCTGCATCTCACCTCTCCTGCAGAGGTTATCTTGAACAAATTGAAATTGCTTTTACCACTCGAGTGCAAACAGTTTTAAGGATGACCGCGGGGTCAGCGGGAGCTATCAAGAGTCCTATCTCTTCCTCCGTTATGGTCTGCTAAGCTCTCGCAGACTCCCACAAACAGGATGTTAAATACAAATTGTGGCTCTTAGCTGGGTGACTCATAAAGTGGTGTTGTAGGCGAGAGAAGAGCAGAGAGTTGGTCAGCCAAATATGGAAAAAAATATAAAGAATATGAATTCATGCAAATATTATAGATCATAGAGTAAATTTACACCTTTGATCAAGTGTGTTTAGAGTTTTCTGATGGTGCTTTACCCTGTCCAGCCAGAAGAGGACAACACTGTTCAATTTTATTCTCTGGGGGTAAAAAGGAAGTCCCTCAAATCTTGATTTTTTTTTTCAAGTAATTCACATAACTATCAGACAAAATCAGTGCCCAGTTCTCCGGTATCTGGTGCCTAGTCCCTTTCTCCAGCTGTTTCTACTTTCACTTGTTCAAAGTGACTCCTCCTGCACTGAGCCTGACACTTTGCCTCAGGTCACATTTGTCTTTGAGCATCATCTCCCCCCTCCGTGCCCCTCAACCTGCCTCCAGTTCCCCGTATCATAGGCCAGGACTGTTAATGTGGCACCCCGGGGCGATCGCTGGAAGTCACTGCAAAGTCAGGACTCTGAGTCAACTCTGCACATCAACAACAGAGGCACTGCTTATAAAGCACGCACTATACAAACACAGTAAATTCTACAAAATATGACTTTAGTTTGGTTCTTGATCTGCAAAACAAAGTCCCTGGGAATGAAAACACGAACCTCACAGCCCCTTTGAAATATTTCAAACAAATATATTCATTTGGAAACTTTTCCGGCTGTTAGATGGACATGCTGATTAAGTTCTGCTCCTCTCCCTGCTCTCCTCTCTCCTCCTCCTCTCCCTGCTCACCTCTGTTCCCCGGTTGCTGCCTGCTGTAGGATATGTTGAAGATATACCATCATCACTACAAATTTAAGAAGGAGCAGTAACTTCCTTTGCCTCCAAACTTGGTTTCTCACTGATCTGAGCTGATTATAATGAAGTAAAAGTGATGCTGCTGTTAAGAAAGAGAGAGAGAGTCCACTTCATTCAACATATAGGGTCTAAGGGGGAGCGACACAGCAGACACCCTAATATTGTTCAGTCTCTGTTATTAAATTTTAGGATTGAAGGGGGGCCATAACCATAATTGAAACTGAAACAGACCAATTGCCTTGCTCCATTGCAGGATCAAATGAATTTCAATATGAAGGCACCCTGAAGATTGTGTTGTGACCAAATAAAGAGAAATTGCAGACGAGCTCCTGTTCGAGATTTTTTTTTTTTTTTTGTGGGACAGTAGGGGAGAGTCCCGCCTCCTTCGCCTCTGATTGGCTAGAAAAGCTGAAAACGTCATCACACGCTCAAGCCAAACGCGGGCTGTCGGCTCTGTACATTGAACAGAACATTATCGCACTTCTGAATCTCCTAACCCTTACCTTAACTCTTATCCTAATCCTAACCCTTACCCTAACCCTAACCCGACAGACGATGACGTTTCAAAGCCACAGGGAATAACCTATCGGAGCCCAGCACTTCTAGCCAATTAGAGGCGAAGTAGGGCAGGACCTTCCCCTTATATCCTCCAAAAAAAAAAAAGAATTGCCTCCTGTTCACCTCCTCTGATGTTTGCTCAGTCTATCCACCTCTGCCTGTTCATGTACTTCTCACACCTTGTACCAAATTGCAAATAAAAGCAAAAATAAAAATTCCAAACTCCTTAAAACTCCAGGTATCACACTTCGTCCTCTTTCTTCCCTTGTCAAATTACAACAAATGAACCAAAGGAAAGAATGATGTGACTTTCCCTATCAGGAAGACTAACACTTTTGTCACAGTGCTAACACAAATAAAACTCTCTTTCTCTCTCTTTGCTGACCTTAAACTTTGCAGTAACAGCAACATCATTATCAAGTGAATATCTTGATGTATACCAGCGTACGAATACAACACACACAAAGAGCAGTCATTCAATTCTTTCTGTCTACACCCGCTCTGACTCATTATTCATAATGTCGGTGACCTGGGGAGAGTTGATTACAGGTGTGATTGTACTGATTCTCATTCAGCTTAAAAAAAAAAAAAAACAGGTCAGGTGATGGACATGCCACCAAGGAAAATTATTGCAGATCTGACTCTGTGTTCTTCTCTGCATAATTCACAATCCTGGTCTGCTTTCAAGTCGATATAAGCTACAGCAAAAGTCATAAATGTGTTTGAAGGTAAATATGAGACCTTCTTTAGGTGTCCTTGCATTATAAATAAGAACTTAAAAAGTCAGTGATATGTGGGAGGAGAATAAATCTGGCCTATTTTAACACATTTCTTTAGATTTGTAGGAAAGTTGTGCCTCTTGTTTACTTTTTGTTGTATCACACTCCTCTCATTTCTACAAACATGGCTCCACCTAACCCTTATCTTCTATCTCTCAACATTTTTTCACTGTTATTTTCATAGCAAATATCATCTTTTTGTCAAGAGAGCGTTGCATAAACAAACCACTAAGGAAAAAAAAAAGGACATCAAGTAGAGGGGAACCACAGCCACAGGTCTGGTGGGAAATGGGACAATCAGGCTCAGGCTGGTACCAGGTTTTTGAAAAGGGTTGAGTGTTTTTTTTGTTTTTTTTTTAAGTGTACATTACAAGAAAAATCATTCAGCATCACAGCAGCAGCACACAGCCAGCTGGACTCTGCAGAAACAGCTTGGTTGGAGCTCATGTAAATCAAAGCAGAGGCCAAATTTCGTTTGCAGACAGCTGGATTTACTACATTAGTAAAGTGCAAGTGGAGTCGTGTAAAGTACGGTTTGCTGATTGTTCCAGTGGAATGGGATCTAACAAACTGAGACAAACCCAGCACGTCGGTTGTGGGAGAATAATAGAAATAAGAGCAATTTTTATAACTGTTTGCTGTCATCTACTCTTTTATACAGATAATCATTTACAAAAGAGATTGGCTCTTTTGTAAAGTTATAACAAATCCTAAGCAAAGACAGAGCTGTCACAGTATACCAGTACTGATGATGATTGCTTATTAGAAACCCAAAATATTATAATCATGTTGAAAATAACCATTCAGGACCTATGTTAGTTCACAATACTGATCCATTACACGAATAACTACATGTGATAAAACACAGGTGTGACCACAAAGCAGCTGGAGCAGTCCTCTGGGAGATGATTAAACACTTTTAAAACCGATGGTCAAAGATTTCTTAAATGTCGAAAAGCAACAACAGAGTTTGTGCCAATTTGGGTTACTAATCAGCAGGAAAATTATACCTAAAGTTTTTTGACAATTTTCTTTCAGTCCTAACTTGTCAGAAGTAGTATATTTCAAAATAAAAGCATCGTCACAAATGCAGGAAAAAGCAACTTCAACTCAAGGCAGAAAAAAACAAAACAAAAGCATGACAAACAAACATTTCATGAGGCTTCGGCAAAGGAAATTTAACTCACAGGGCTAGCAATGTGGATAAATGATAAACATGAACATTACCAGAAATGAATGAGGGTGATTAAAAGTAAAGTTTATAAAATAAAATGTTACGCCACCCTTGTGTTGCCTTTCCTCAAATGACTGATTGTGTTGTTTTATTTGCAATCAGCTGAACTTTTGATTAGTTCTGCTTTCCAAAACCAAAAACCAGCTAAATCTGGCCAAGTTCACAGAAAAACAAATTCCCTGTGTGCACCTTAGTGTCTGAGTGTCTGTGTGTGTTTAATAAGTAGAATATGAGGTCAGTGAGCAGGGAACAAATGCTGGCAGGGGGCAGTAGAATCAAAGAAAACTCTGGTCCAGCACACATGGACTTTGGTCTCAGATGTCTCTTCTGAAATAAGAAGTTAGAGGGTGGATGATGAGGGGAAGATTTGGGAGCAGATTAAATGACACCCAAAGGACAGCGAGATGAAAGAAGAACAGAGGAGGAAGGTAGATGAAAACAAAAAGGGAACAGTCAAAGATTGTTGGGCGGGTTTTTGGAGTAATAACAGAGAAGAGATCTCAGCATGAAGGATCTTCAGATACAGTAAAATAAAACATGTATCTTTGGAAGAGGAGGCTACTTTACACAGAAATAAGTCCAATCTGCTGGAAAGACTCAGTCATGGAGGGACGAAGGAGGAGCGCACATTGAGGACGAAAGGCTGATCTATTCTCGTCTTGACCCCACCATCCCCCATCGGACAGACTCTGAAACTGGACCTAAGGCCCACCCTCCAGAGAGGGGCTTTATGTAACTGGGTGGTGTGTGTCAGTGAGCGCGTTTATACTGGCACTCACGTGTGAGAATCTGATCCTGGTCTGCATCATTTTGAATCTCTGCAACCGGCTCTGTTTAACATACAGAGGAGACAACAAGGCTCACAGGCGGACTTGTCCAATGCATCTGAAACAAACACTGAGCACCTACAAAATCATCCGCCCTCGCAGGAAACAAGCCATCCAACACAACTCTTCATAAATGATCACAGTCGATATGAAAAGTTTAAGCGTGGGCTTTGATAGAAAAAATAGTGCTTATGATGAGTAATACCACAGCACTGAGCAGAGACAAGAGAAGCACTGATGCAATGATCGAAAAGATCATTACTCTTATGAGCAAACAAATGCACTTTTCAATCAACACACTGTTAAAGAATTACAGCCACACAAACACACAACACACACACACTTTTCTTCATTCCGAATCAAACACTGCAGTAACCAATGCCTTTAATAACACACACTGCTCAACAAGATCAGAGCATTACAAGATCCCGTCATTTGATTTCCCTGCACAGGATGTAATACAATAAAAAGTACACTTTTCCTGAATGTCTTTCCGCTCCTTTGAAAACCAAACAACCATAGTACCAATAAAGTTAAACAAGAATCAAAAAACATATATCAATAAAAGTCAGCGCTTTACAGAGAGGGACCCTGAAAATAATCTCTACACACACAGATACAACACCCACAAATACACTTACAGAGCACACACTGGATGGAAATACTGCTCTATACTCTTCACCGCCTTAATGAGATTTTCAAGCCCTTTTTTTCTCCCCACACAACGTAAACACACACGCACACACTTAGCCACATAAACACACACATATGCCTGGATTAGACAGAAAAAGGCTGTTCCCATAAGAGGCATCACAGTGATGATAACAGCCCCTGAGTGAGCACTTATTTTTACATTACTTATCTATATCTATACAATCATTATTTTCATTAACCTTGTGACTCTACTATTAGCAGTCTAATCTGTACACACTCTGAGTGATGAGTGACTTTAACACAGCAACTCACCATATTAGCCTTTCCAACAGCCCCCTCTTTTGGCAGAAGCAGGAGTTGATGCTTCAAAGCTGCTGACGTGCAAAAATACTGTATGTGTCTTGTACAAGTAAGACATGATTCACTGTGTGACGTGACTGGGAGGGGGTTTGGGTTAGATTGAATTGAATTTGTGTGTTGACGTAGTTTTTGACACAGAGTTGGCTTAAGTTCAATCAATCTCAGTTATGTCATTTCAGTCAGGCAACTCGTGTTTTTATGCTTTAAGCTGTTTATTACTGCAGAACATCATTTATGTTTGGCATCTGGGCTTCAACTAAATATAAAACTAAAATAATAAGTTTGTCCATTCTGTGTTCCTGTAGACACATTGTGAGAAGCCAACTCTTAATGTAGAAAAGTTAACTAAACAAAGCATTTGCTTCCACTCAGGAGATTATGCACTGATATAAACATACTTCTGAATATTATACTTCATTTCTACCACTTCACCACTCTGCTAAATGCTGCTAAACTACACGACACTGCTTGATTAAACTTAACTAAAATAAATTAATGCCTTTAGTTTGGGGATCGCGGCTCCTCTTGCTCTAGGTAACAACATGCTGGAGGCAAAACTAAATTTCTAACGTGTCATAAATTTATCCGACCACTCAGGATTCGCTCAAAGTTCTATAAATATTTAACTATATAATATATAATATATATAATATAAAACCTAAATACAACACACCCAACCTTTGCCAAGAAATTGGAGAAATGAAGAGAACACTACCACCATGTGACTCTTTTTGCACAACATTGGACTTCTGTTATGTTATAAAGGTAGATTTTTGAAGCAAAGGTGCCTACACAAGGAGTTAATAAAGCTGGTTACCTGAGAGTCGGTGTTGCTTGGTGCTCACTCGGTTGGTGTTTTGGACTGAGCAGCAGAGATGGAGCATGGCAAACATGGTGAGGATCATGACCACGCTCTGCAGCAGCAGGGTGAGCTCAAACTGCTTCCCTATCCTGCAAGGACAAAATAAAAATGCTTATCACTTTGCTGGAGAAATGTATAACATCAACCTTAAACACAGTATCAAAGACAAACCAGCATGAGTAACATGTGACTGATCTTATTTAGTTAAAAAGGCTTTATTAGGGATGTTTCATAAGCAGCACAAACTTAAAATACTTTCTCTGTTATGAATAGTACAAAGCCCCACCAAATTCTGTTAAGATTTTTCATTGATTTTTTTCCCCTCTGATTCTTTAACCCAAACGCTGACCTCTCCTCCCTGATGTACAAAACAATTTATGAGGAAGCCTCAAAGTTGACAGTGTGGCCTCAGATGCTATAATAAATCAATCTTTTCAGATCCTTTTTATTTATTTCTGACACCGTGACAGATCTGAGGGATGACCTTGCAAATGGTCTGTGTCTTCTAAAGGGCAAAAATAAAAGGAGTGAGATTGAAAACAGAGAAAAATCAGATCATTTCAGTCTCTCTTCCTCACCAGAAGAAGATCCTCAGGATGTTCGCTATGAGCAGAACCAGGCAAACTCTGGTGGAGAAGCCCTCGCTGTTGTTGCTCCTCTGGATCTCTTGGTACTGTGGCACATAAGGCAGGGCTCCTCCAAACACCATGAGGCAAGATGCCAGCCAGGACAGCAACGACCACGAGCCCTCAATGTCCTCATCCTGCAGAAGCAGCTCTTCTTCCATCACGCTCAGAGACGCTCACAGAGCTCAGAGGTAGGACAGGTGACTGTTAAAGCAATGAGAGAGTTATCATTACCAATGAATCTTAATGTAATGCGAGGTCAAAATCAAGACCTGAACAAGATCTTCAAGGGCTGTTAACAATATCAATAACTAGAAGTTCATGGGACTGTGAACTGATATCATGAACTGATGTGTGTTGATTAAAAACAAGAGTTACACTTGCAGTCCAGTTGGGTCACATAGTCATGTGACATCTGGCTCCCCAGATTGAGTGACACAAACTGGTGCAAGAAAAACATGCCCAGAGAGGGTAGATACACTCACTGCAGAGCCAAAGAAGCTAGAACTTTTTATTGAGCATTTGTGAATCAAAAGGCAATACAGACGATCCTCAAAAAGCCAAATATCTGCTTCCATAATTAACCCCTTGTGTTTAAGGCTACTTTGTAGAAGAAAGCCATACTGGTGTTTTTACTGGCACCTTTAACGAGTATTTATAACACATGCAACATCTGTATCAGCCTGCTGATCCATTCAAGCCATCAACAGAGTGTACAGTGTACATGTATGTTTACAAGTATGTAATGACTGAAAATCCTGTTGATGCCTGACAATAATCATTTCATCATTTTAATGGCTGAAACTAGAGCAAGGCCGAAAGTGTCAGCCTTGCAGATGAGGAAACAGCCACATGAAATATTCCCAATTAGTACTACATTTGACTGTAAAAAGTTAGCAGGATGAGATTTGCTGTTTAAATATTTGAGCATGTAGAGAACAAGATAAGCAAAGACTGCACTTTTTCCACAGGGGAGCGCCAAACCGACATGAACTGAAAGTTCCTCACAGGAGCTTTATTGGGAAGTATTTTACCTTTCATAGCATCTGTCACTGATTTAAAGAAACACACATCCCAAAGTGAGACAGGTTTCAGTCAAATGTTTGACTGTCAGTTGACTCTGTGACCTTCACTTCCCACCAGCCAGCTGAACCACATCACAAATAAACTACACATCATGTGATGAAACTGCAGCAATAACGGAGGGAATATGTTACTAGATTTAGCCCTGCGGGCTGAACAACTCATCAGTGTCACAACTCTGACCACTCTTTCCAACCACAGTAAGGTAAACAGAGGGTTACAAACTGATTTTGTAGGCAAGAGCCATCCTGCAGGCTGGACGACTTTTATATTAGCCTCTATGCAAAGCCGGTTGTGCCTCAGGGAGACCTTACAAACAATTTTATACACACTAAGGGGCTAAAATATTCAATAACTTATATTCTTGTGTTGGTTGTATTACAGCTAGTTTGGGAAAATAAGCTTTTATGTAATTTGTAGGTCATATTTTGTTTTCAAACCTCTTCCCAGTATATAAAAAGTATTCAGTACATAGTAGGAACGTTTTAAAAGAAGTACTTTTGATTATTTCTTAAGTAGTTTAACAGAATATATTTTATATATTTTCAGTATCATCAAAGTAACTGTACTTTTACGGGAGTTCAATCTTTGAATACTCTTTTAAACCCCTGCAACATAAGCTCACATAATACCTAAAATGAATGTCTTGTGCATTAGCAGATGCATGCAGCCTGACAGGAGTGATAGATGATAGATGAAGAGCAAGGTCAAGATGTGAGAGCAAGTTAGAAAGAGAGAGGAAATGGAGAGCAGGGAGAGGTTAAATAACCTACAGCAAGGGGCAGAAGTGACAGTCATTGAGGGCATAACTCAGGTCTACTGGGTCAGTGGCTGTCACAGTGTAGAGATAAGTCCAAAAAATAGAGGTCTGTTTCCTCCTCTCTGACTTCACTGTGGGTTTCTCACTCTGATAAATATTTCATCACAAAACCCTTAAAGCTGTGTCACAACAAGTTCCTTAAATACTCTTATTCTCAAAATGATAGTGTTTGTGCCAAGAGTTAGCAGTCATTCTCGATGGGATTCAAACATCAGCCTGGCACAATGAATGAGTGGTTCAATACTCTTCAGACAATATGTTTTACTGATTATCAACTCCTACAAATGGAAAGAGCCAGAACACTCCACACACAGTCACAACAAGAGTTTAAGTTTTATACTGCAAGGTTTTTTTAACTTAAAATTATTATTGTCACATTACAGATGTGATTTGAATCATATCTGTAATGTGACAAAACTGTTAAGTGCACAGTGTACAGTGCAGCCCTGTGCAGAAAAGAGTGAAGATGCCGACAGCTCATCTCTTCAGTAAGTCGCAACACCAGAGCAAACTGCACGGACTTGATAAACTTAGAGGGTGTGTTTGTGCTTGATCATTGTTAATGTAATATGCTTTGTAAATCAGACCTGAAGACAAAGCTCTCAAAATGCTGTCGTTGTAAATAGTCAGTTGGTGGGCTGGTATAAAATGTTGAAATCCTTGACAGGCAGTTGTACAGAGGCCACAAATATTCAATACTGTAACTTTTCAAACCCCTGCTACCCCCAGCATAGTTTATATAGTAATGCACAAGCAGTATATTGCCGAATATTGTTCACAGGGTCATATTATGCACGAGACTATATAACAGCAAACAACTGTTTTTCAAAAACTGTACGGATCATTTTCAAGTGAAGTGAAGATAAAAAACTTACTCTGAAATTGGAAAATAGAGCTAGGATACTGTCTCTTCTTCGTCTTTCGACGCAATGCATGATGGGATGCCCACCACACCGTTGAGTGACCATTGGATGGTCACTACATTTTGCAATGCTTTATGGAAAATTTTTAGTCGCCTACATTGGAATTGATCACTCAGGTTTCAGACACCCCTCAAAATGGCGCTAACCTCCATATAGTCGCCTATATAGGGGTTAGGGATCCATTTCGGACACAGCCTTGGAATTGAAATTTTAAAATCTGAACGGTTCCGGGAGGCGATATTTATTTTTTGTAGGGTGGTAGGGGAGAGTCCCACCTCATTCACCTCTGATTGGCTAAAAAAGCTGAAAACGTCATCACACGCTCAAGCCAAATGCGGGCTGTCGGCTCTGTACATCGAACAGAACATTATCGCACATTATTTAAATTTCTCAACCCTACCCCTAACCCTAACCCTTACCTGACAGGCAATAACGTTGCCATAAGGAATAACCAATCAGAGCTCAGCACTTCCAGCTTATCAGAGGCAAAGGAGGGTGGGACCTTCCCCTACCATCCTACAAAAATCGAATGTTAGCCCTGGTCCCCATCGATGCTCAAGACTCGATGCCCAACCCTAACTAAAAGGGCACCATAGCACAATTTACAATTGGTTAACATAAGGCATTTTTTTCTTAATTTTGGTTGACGTGCATCCTGCAGGAGCTTTTTTTCATGTTTTTATACCAGAAGGCATCAAAAAGGAACGATATACGTCACATCTACACGGTGTGCACCTAGAGTGCACTTCTTTACATATTATATACTGTGAGGCCATTTGGATGGTGCTACTTTTTTATGCTATATCCACAGGGAGGGCATCCAGAGGACACTTTCTTAACACCGAATGTGCTGGAGGGCCATCCAGAGAGCCTGATACACAACTAGAACAGCTACCACAACAGATTCTCATGGACTTTCCATGGAAGGAGCAGAGAGAGGGCATCATATGTTGTTGACGCCAGGAGCATGTAAGAAGGCACTTCTGCTGTATTTCTTCAGACATGAGGGCCCCTCATCCCCACGCGCCCCCGTAAACACCCCTGCTAATCTCATTCATGACATGCTTCTGATACCAAACAAATCCCTGAATGTGAATACCTACTTGGAAATAAACATGATTCCCACCCTCTGAGGTAACTTCATAGCTCTGAGCTGACAGATAGAGACACTAAGTGTGGTTATGGTGTTGTTATGGTTTGTCAGATTTCTTGTGGTGGTGTAATAACAACATCATCATAAGTCCCTGAATCAGGTCTAAAACCTAGAACCAGAATGCTGAGTCCTATGTTTTTCCTACATGGTTGACAATCAGTGTCAGCTGACTAGTCACTCAGAGAAGCTTAAAGAGTCGGTCAACACCGCTACAACAACATCAGTCATGGCAAAACAACAAAACCTCACCAACTGGTTTTGATCACTCTCAAGGAATGAATGTGATAAGGGGTTGCCTTCCTGGGCACTGGAGGACAACAGTAAGTCTGAAACACTCTTAAGTTACTTGTTGTTTTACACAGCTGTGAAGCATGACAGGCACACTGATGATGATTCCCTAGCTGAGAAATTGCAACTCTGAAGCAGTGTTAAACTGATGGATTTAGCAGAGCAAAACACAATTTCTCAGCTCTGCACACCTCAGTAAAGAGCTCTCTGTCACTTCTGTAGAGCATTAGCAGTCTTCAATGAATGCAAAACTGCAGAGAAGCCTTTGAGTAACTTCTATAAATGCCTTTTACAGGTTTCCTACAGTTAAACATTACTCTGGGATTTAACAATCAGGGGCGTCTTCAGCTATTTCCTCCTGCTGAAGTTGCCAAAACGCGTGAGGCCACCTCTAGTAACTGAACAAGCTCTGTTATGCAAGAAAAGCATAGTTTCGTGGGGTTGGGTCTTACATGCCTTAACATACAGACATCAATTTTTGGCGACTGGGTAACGAAAGCAGGAGCACAGACAGTCAAAAACCGCCGGATTAAACCGACACACATTTATCAGTACACAGTAGCGGCTGGAGTGTGGTTTTATCACACTGACTGAGAGAAGCAAACGTGGTCTGAAGAAGTCTGATACTGTTGTTCAAGAGTAATGCACGCTTTAAATAGCGTGCCCACATCTCTCTCACACACACATTGCTCTGCAGCTTGTTTGCGTATCGTTCCGAGTGCGTAATCGTTCTTATGCCAGTCTAACCAGCAGGAGTAAGGGTTTAAATGTCTCCAGGTAAACCATGGACAACCTCTGACTTTACTCACCAGCCGCCTCCACTCACTTCAGCTCGCCTTACAAACCACAAACACGAAAGTTTTAGCGTCACTGACGGGCACCACTAAGTTTCTGATACCAACTCGTGCTCAAGGAGCGGGAGAGGAGGAGGATAAGAAGAAGCGTGCACATGTGCGGACGCGCGAGCATAGATATTTTAACCGCTGTGCACTATGCAGACTGTGTGTGTGTGTGTGTGTTTCAGTGTAGTAGCCTACAGATTTACCAGATTCATGCATTAAACATGCAGGTTTTAGAGTCAAATGAGATTCAGTCTAACCGGGAGGAAGAAAGAAATGAGGATCAATGCGTCTTCTTGAGGTCGTTTAGGGTTAATGCTGTATAATAAATGCTCCTTATTCAAAACTCATGTACCCAGTCCTGCACTGCAGATTCAGTCACTGAGGCGCATTCCAGGAAAGTGGGCGAGTTGTGCACCAAATAACCAGGGGCGGAGCCAGACTGTGAGAAGGGTGGCCAAAGGGGGCATTGGCCTTTGCAGTAGTGGCATAAATCATGTACATGCACACAAATGTTTTTCATTTTTCGTCCTTTCCATTTAGACTTATCATATCATCTTTGACTACTAACATTTCAGTAACCCAAAGATCCCTGATTCTAATGTTTTGACAGAAAAAAGTCAAAGTGGCAACTTGGAGTTTGTGTTCATATTGGCGCCCCCAGTGGACAAAGCAGTACCCCTTCCTCACCCCTACTGAAAAACAAAACAAAATAAGCAAACAAACTAAACTTCCAGCAGTCTATTACAAAGCTGTCCAAAAAGTGTATTTTATTACAAGTTCCACCGCTTTCAATGAAAAAAGACTGTTATTCAGTTTACATGTTTATATGCACAGTTAAGTCAAGCTTTTTTTAATGGCACAGTAATGGTATTTGATTCGACGACTGTCCTTTACCCAGTAGCACCAGGCAAAAATGGTTTTATTGATAAAAGTATGTCCACCCCCGCTACACTAGGTGGCAATATCTCCCCTTTTAGATTGTTACTATTGGGCAATATCCTGGCTGACCTACTGTGTCACATGCCAGAACAATCAACAAACAAGTTAGCATGAGGCAAAGTGGCTGTATGTCCAACAATGAAATCACTGACAACTTTACAACTCGGTACCAATCGTACTTACCATACCACCATTTTCACCTTTTAATAAGGTGAAATAAGTACAAATAACATTGAGCATACCTATAGATTTTACTGTTTGAGACTTAAGGTCCTTAGACACCGGGGCTGACGCAAATATGGAACGCAAAATTACGAAATATTCGGAGGCGAATTTTGACGCGCCTGACTATACACATCAAGTCCAATGCGATTTTGCGACGAAAAAGACACATCCCGGGGAAAGTCCCGCCTCCTTCACCTCTGATTGGCTAGAGAAGCTGGAAACGTCATCACATGCTCAAGAGCCAAACGGTCAGCACTTATAGCCAAACAGAGGCGAAGGAGGGCGGGCCACAATGTTGAGATGGCTTTTTGTCATGATAGCATGTACTGAGTCGGGGCCAGTACCAGATAAGTACATGAAACTATGGTAACAACTGTTAGCTTATGTTAGCACAGATGAAAGTTAAAACAAAGACGTTTAGCAAACTGTTAAAGCACACAAACTATCGTCATATGGGAGATCCGACGCTATGACTCTCCACAAATTGTCCTTCAGGTCGTTATCTTTGTAATATTTGTGTTTTTTTTATTATCAAAAAGCACTCTGTTCTCCGACACATAAACAATCAGCCGGTCGGCCATGTTGGATATACCGGTGAATCAGACGTCGCAACAACACGCAATCTGATTGGTCAGAAGTGGACACACAGTATACAAAACTTTAGAAAAATCGACCGTGATCCGAAAAAATAAATGCAGCAATATCGCAGGATGGGAAAACGTCGCTGATGTGAACGCTTGTATTGGCAGGATACTGGTTCGAAAAAAATATTGACGTATGAAATAATCGCACGACAAAAACGGTTCCGGTGTGAAAGTATTAGTTTTAGTGGTAAAAATATAGAAGTGGTAATTGATGTTATTTTTCGCAATTATGTTGTCCCTGACCCAGTCTTTTTATGTGTTGCAGGCATGCATCAAGTTTAAAATGAGTGTATATTGTGTATTTGAAAACATACAACATACAAAACATAAAACTAATTCTCAAGTTGGAGGCATCATAACTTTCAAACCACCAAAATCTGTTTTTAACATCAATCACACAGAAATATTAGAAACATAGATGTATTTAGATGTATTTGATCATTTTTGTGGTTGTTCATGCACTTTTGCAGAGTTGTGTTTGTTTGTTAAAGTGAAGGATAAAAACACTGTTAGGTTTTTTTTTAAAAATGCACAAGTGAGCTTTTATTGTCCTGTTCTTCATTTTTACACAATGTCAAGTACTGGGACCTCCTCACGTATACACTCGCACATATGCTGCTGAGGTCCTATGAGTTTCAGATCTTAAAGGGTGGAGTTCGGTGATTCGGGATTGGCCCATAGACTGTGTATATAGTCTGTGGATTGGCCCATATAGATCGGCCCCGTTTTCCACAATTCTGAACTCTCGCGAGATTCTCTCTCAGTTGCTGGTACTGTGGGTGGTGCGATACGATACCAACAACTTCAAACAGCTCCAAACCTACCTGATAGCCAAATAATCGGTGGAGTACCTGTTCTATTTCATCTCTGTTCAGGCCCTGATAATCACACACACACCATGGCTGAGACGGATCCTAAGTCTGTGCAGGACCTGACCAATGTGGTGAGTCGTGATCGATATAGGGAGCTAACGTTAGCAACAGTAGCTCTGCTAGCAATGAATAGAGATGCTAACCATGTTAGGCTAACATTAGCAGATGATAGCTAAACAGAAAACATTTCTACTGCATTTGTGCCCATTTTGTCGAAATTATACAGCGAGGTTGTATGCGTATTGTGTTTGTTACGGGAATTAAATGATAAACCAGCAGCTTTTGTTTTGATCCATCGCGTTATATAAGGGTCAGTTAGTCGTAGCAATGACATCAACATAACACAACCGAGTGAACGGCAGAGAATCACACATACAGAAAGAAAGCTAACATTTAAGATAATATTAAAAATGATACTTTTCCTTACCTCTCAGCAGCTATTTATTATAATTGACACCGTTGCTCTGGATAACAATCAGGATTTTAACTTAAATCTGTGAACGGTACTCTGGGTTGTCATGGAGATGAGCTCCATAACTTTTACCAACACCTCCGCATTTGTTTAGTTTGCGATTGCATACTTATTCCCCTCGTTTGGTTACTGTTTAACTTGTGAATATGTATGCACTCATTTAGAAAATATGATTAATGTAATTGTCAGTCTGATAAGAGTGTGGTACAGAGGGAAATGTACTTAGAATGCAGACTCCTCACCCTTGCTTTTTTACTCACATCAAGTGCTCTTTTAGTCTCATTCAAGGAGTCCCAGATGTCTTTCTAGATGTTTTTATATCTCCTGTTATATAAGCTGCCTCTTGGCTGCAGGATAAGGTTCAACTGAAAGGCTGTGGCATATTAGGCATACATATTTAGTAAGATCAAGCCTCTATATCTCCTCTATAGTCAATTATTGATCACAAAAGTATGAGAATGTAAATAGAATCTTGATTGATTTAAAGATGGAGAAGAATGAAATGAATGAGGAATAGTTACAGTTTTTTTTATGACTAGAGAGGAAATTTGGTGATGAAATAATAAAAAAAATAATAATAAAACATGAACGTGCAAAGAACTAAAGCATTGATAGAAAAGGTACTTAGTGTGACACACACATGCAGACACAGTCAGTGTCCGAAATGGATCCCTAAACCCTATATAGGTGACTATATGGGGGTTGGCGCCATTTTGAGGGGTGTCCGAAACCTGAGTTATCAATTCCAGTGCCCTATATAGGCGACTCAAAATTTCCCATAAAGCATTACAAAATGTAGTAACCATCCAATGGTCACTCACCGGTGGTGGGCATCCTGCATGCATTGCGTCTTGCCATGTTGTGTCGGAAACCTCCGTTGATTGAGTTCACTACATAGTCAACTATATAATAAAACCCCATATGGGGGTTAGGGATTGAGTGATTTATTTCGGACACAGACACAGTCATCTCCAGAGACCACTGTCAGAACCACATCATGCAAAATATGGACAAATAGCTCTAGTACCAGTACAGAATAGTTTGCTTTTACAGTACATCTGCTGTTCAACATGCGTGTGTCATTAAAAGAAGAAATGTCTCCCATGGTTACCAAGCTTCTATAACGTTTCCAAGGAAACTGAATACTTTTGTTGTATCTTTCATAGACCAAGGACTTAGACCAAGTTTTTTCAGGAGCAGATATTGTTTGTAGATTATGCTCATCATCATATTATTACTCACATCACGTCTTTAATGATTGAAATGTTTCTGTAGATTGAAATATTATTGTGCACTCACTGTACCTATGCTGTTTACTCTGCAGGTCCAGACACTTCTGCAACAGATGCAGGACAAGTTCCAGACCATGTCAGACCAGATCATCGGGAGGAATATCCTTACTCATGATTTATATTCCTGCAACCTCTTTTTTCATGAATGAAATAACCATTTAGAGTCTGAATATGATGAGAGCCAAAAATCTTTCTGGTGATTTCTTGCATTTCTTATCCCTTTCACATTCCCTGTTCCCTCAGCACAATTAAAATACAGTATGATAGATTTGCATACACTTAATTAAGTCTGGTCTTTTGTTAATTACTGCCTTAACTGCTTCTTTACTTGATGAGATGAGCACGCGTATTGATGACCTGGAGAAGAATATCGCTGACCTGATGACTCAGGCTGGTGTTGAAGAGATAGAAGCACCTCCAGAAAAGGCTAAAGAAGGTCAAGGCTCATAATGAAGGTAAGAAGAAACTGGCACGTCAAATATAAGAACACCTATTAAGCTTTGCCCAGGATTTGTAACTCATGTCTTTTACAGTCTCAGCTTTCATTTTACACTTTAAAAGTAGAGCTGTCGGTGCAAAAGTATTATTGTGATTTGATTGAAGTTGAGATTAATGTATTTATTTCTTATGATAGGGTCTCTTTTACAGCACACCATAATTAAGCTGTCTCTCCTGTTACTATGATGACAGAATATATAGACACCACTGGGCTGTTGAATGCCATACTTTGCTGCCAAATGGCTCAGTTGACAAGTCAGAAGTAATAGCATATCGTGTCAGATACTATAAAACATCACCAAAGTGCTTTATAATTCAGCTACCACCGATGAATTATGGATACAGGAACAGCTAATCAGACCGATGTCGGTAACCAGCTGCATCTAACTGGCTCTGCACACTCTCTTGGAGTGTGCAGAGAGACACAAATCAAATCTGTGGATAAAACTTAAGTGAGGAAGGTGACGCTTAGTGCAAACAAAACTGAACTTCTGAAAAGTGCGAATTCTGGTGCTCTAACAGGGAATCACTGGACATGCAGTGTTATCATTTGTTCAAAATGATTCATTCTGGATTTCACCAAATAAGCACCACACAGGTGTATTTTCAGTGTTTTCGCCTTTGTTTGGAGAGGAGAGGACAGGACAGCAGAGTGCAGAAAATAGTAATAGTGCAGAGTGACATGTAGGAAAGGAACCACAGGCTGGGAGCGAACCTGGGCTGACCGCCTGAGGCATAACCTCTGTAGATAGGGAGCTTGTAGACTGCTAAGCCAGAGCCTCCCAACTCTCCCTAAGTTTATTACCATAACTTAGACTTGACTTAGACTTATCTTACGTTGGTCAAAATCCCCCAACTGTGATTGACTGCAGCAAAGTGATTCCAGGGATAAACCTCAGGAAGGAGTACAGCCTAGTAACTTCTGCCTGTCGACACTGTGGCTAAAAACATTGCAACTAATCAGCATGAACTATGTTTTTGACAGGGTCTTAAGTTCATTCCATATACAGAGTCTAGGGGGGGTTCTTTGGCATGACAGCTTTAAGTTGACATTCAAGGAGGTGCAGTTTTAGCATATCAGCATCTGTGTCATTTTCTCATCTCCAGAGGGCTGCTGCTGAACAGGCCAACAAACCAGGCAAATCAAACAGATTCATTCTCAAAGCCATAATAAAGTTAGAAAGTGTGGTTGTTTTAGACTGTTGTGATGACTGATCCCAAACCAGAAGACTCTCTAAAGCTAACTGGTCATAGCTCTGTTGCTTTTAACATGTACTGTGGGATGATATTTAGCATCATCATTCAACTCCAGACTTGTAATGTTTGTCAACATTAAGAATAATCTGAAAGGCGAAATCAAATCACTAAAAATATAAGTCTGAATAATTATTTTGCAGATACACTTTTTTAACCTATCCTGATGTTTTAAATTAATTCCTCCTGTGTCTTCAAATTAATCCTGACTACAAACTGACCTAAAGTATTTTCGTGCTTCTGCAGGTTCTTAAACAACACGGCGTGAAGTCGGTCCTACTTTCAGGAGCAGCAGACTTTCCCTCTGAAGATGACTTCTATTGATTTGGTGTGTCGTAGTGTGAAATGCTTTTTTTATATATTGAATATTGTGATAACGGTTACAGTTATGTAATGACTTGAAAAGTTTAAACCTTGTTTGTAGAGTAGTGTGATATGCCCTCTAGAACTAAAACAGCCTGTGTGCAGGAATGCAGTTTATGGATTTTGTGTGTTGACCTGCAGGTTATTTCTCTGCCATCATCTATCATGATTAATTAGATCCCAGGAGATGATGGCTAACGGGGACAGTTCTGCCTTAGTCTGTGCTGAGAAGTACATCCTGCAACCTCCATCCTCTCATCAAGGGAGAATGGGTGCAGCAGACATCTGAATCCTGCAGTATTTCTAAAACAGCACTGCTATTTTCAACCGATGGATGCATTCCGATTCTGATTTTCTTCTATTAAAGCTATTTAATACAATGCTGTTTCTCATGTATATTACATAATAAATATTTGGCCAGGTGCTGAGTGAATTTTTAAAAATATTATAATCTCTGAGGTGCTCACAGTTTTTCTGTATTTATTTTTTCAAACCAGAGTTGTATTTTATCATGCAGATTATCTTCAAGTTTCAGTGTTGCATGCTTTATTGGTCTGCATTCTTTATAAAGGATTGAAATGACATTTTTTTAGTAGAACACCTGAATTGGTAATCTCTGTTTAATAAGTCTCTTTGAAGCTTTTGGATTTACATTCACATTTGTGTCATGAGAAGGTTTGTTTGTCAAAGGTTCCTTGAAAGTTGCATTTTGGCCAAATATAACCACTCATTTGTTATTTGTGCATAGAAGGAACCTTTATTAAACTAAGAAACACAAAATGTACATGCACAAAAAACAAACAACAAAAGCAGTTTTGAGAAGAAGTGCCAACAAAATTTGAAACAGAAATCAAAAAGTGTCAGAAGAGAGGTTTTTGCTAGAATTAACCACAGAGAAACTTCAATACTCCATGAACATAATAAGTGATGTTCTGTTTAAGTACTGTATGTACTTTACTGGTTTCATTAATAGATCTTTTCATCAACTTCTAAGACTGTCCTCTCTGAAGTTTGAGATCAGAATTCAAAGTCTGCTTCTGTCATGTCGATGGCCCAGGCAAACTTGTCCCTATGGGTCTTACTGTAGACTTTTTCTATAGGTACCCCCATGTTCTTACACCTGAATGCATGGAAAAAAAAGTTTGTTCAGTTAACACTGTAAAATAAATATTCAGTTTGAAACACAAGTTCACCTTTTAAAAGGTCTCAAAATTGTTTTTTTTAAGAATCGGAGGTATGAAACAAGTGGTGCTGTGCCTTCAAACAGGAAAAAGTAGGGTCTCCATGTGAATTTCCACTCACCAAGCCACTGTGATGCGAGGGTCCAAGTAGTTCAGCTTGGAGGTACCCAGTGCAATCTGTTTGTTTTCCTCTTTGTCAGTTGCCTGAACCTCCATCTTCAGCAGCTGCTCCTCGCAGCGTTTCACTGCTGCCTTCTTACGCTCCACCAGCCTGACACAAAACGCAGGCAGGTACAGTAGAGTCAAACACTTCTGCCAAAAATAAGACCTACTGTTCTCTCCCTAACATGAGAAAGACCCATTTTTTGTCTGGGTGCAGCTTTGTTAAAAATATTTCAGTATAAGTTAGGTGAAAACAAACATCTACTGCCGCCTATCCCTAAAAGATAGGACAATAGGATATAGTTTTCAAAACACTTCAATGGTGACTTTGATTTAAAATATAAATCATCACTGGGAAATACTTTCTTTTAGGAAAATTATTTGCTCAGCGTGAATCAGATGCCGCCAACATGTTGAAAAAGTCAGAACAGTGGTGACAGCAGAGTAAAAAAGGTGTGAAATAACAAAAAAAATATGGTGGAATATCTCAGAAATCCACGAGGATGTGACAGGAAAGCTAAAGATTAATTGAATGATTAGGGATACAGAGAGAAGAAAAGTCTTTCTGAACTTAAAAGAAGAGGGATTTATCATTCTCAATGACTTTACTGATAAAAAGATCAGCAATTTAAGATTGTTTTTAACGTTAATTCACCCCATAATCTGAGAAATCATCACCTACAACAGTGGTTCTCAAGTCCAGTCCTCGAGGCCCACTGTCCTGCATGTTTTGGATGGTTCCCTGCTCCAACACACCTGATTCAAATGATCAGCTCGTTATCAAGCTCTGTAATGGATTAATAACGAGCTGATCATTTGAATCAGGTGTGTTGGAGCAGGAAAACATCCAAAACATACAGGACAGTGAGCCTCGAGGACTTGACTTGAAAACCACTGATGTACTCGATATCAAAAAACTCAAAGAGTCTGAGGAAACGTCTGAAGGGCTGAAAACCATTACTGGATGGCTTTAATGTTGGGCTGCACGGAGTCGCACTTGGTAGATTTTTCCGGGTCAGGTCGAGTGTTTTTTACGTGCTTCCATCTCAGTAAGTCAACGCGACACAAACTCAAAACTTCCATACAAAACCTCGGACATCTGAAGGATTTTATCAACTCCCCCGGACAGTGCTGGACAGCCTCCCAAAAAGAGGACATGTCCAGGTAAAAGAGGACATATTGTCACCCTAGGAAAGCCAAATGATGAAACTATATTTGGAAATCAAAGATGCTGCATCCCCTTCGCCAAAGAAGAGAGGGGGTCTGTGGCTTATTCCTGGTGAGCAGTTCAAAAGCCAACATCTCTGATGGTGCAGGGGAGCACCAGAAAACCCTGACATTCATGAAGACATCAGGAACGCTGGAGATAGACAGGCTTTTGGAGCAGTATTAGCTGCCAAAGAGACATCTGTATCAGAGGAAGCATGCTTTATCTCAGTGAGTAAATGCCAAACTTCACTCAGATCCTGACTGGGACCAGACACATTTTATAATGGTCAACTGATATTAGTATTTGAACAGTAGATTCAGATAATAAGAAAGCTGTATAGCTGAAACAATGCTGGTATGATGTTTTTAGTGTTTTCCTTTTGCATTTGATGAAATAAATAAATCTAATAATACTGTTCAATGAAGCTGAAACTGTTAGGCAGCTAAAGTCCTGCATAAAAGGGGAGGACGGGAACACTTCAGTTACAAAATGACAGTAATAAATCAAAGATTTGCAAAGAAGAGTGTAAAGTCGAGGAGATGCAACAGAAAAGTAAACATAACTCTGTCCCAGCCTTGGCAAATTTAGATTTGTTCCAGGTCCTACAGCAAGAAGAGTAGTGGAACAAATCATATATCAAAATGTGGTTTGATCAGGATCGGTGAGCCATTACTTGTCTTTACTATTTACAATTTCTTTGTGACATAGTGTAAGTCATGAAAAGCTATAGACAAATTTGGGTTGAAGGCAATGCAGGGTTCCTACACAGTTGGAATTTCCATTCTCTTCCATACCCTACATTTTAGAACTATTTTTGGAAATACCTTCTTTACTATTTTAGAAAACATTATCTCAGAACTGTGGTAAAGTCTGGAAAAATAAATATTTTTCCATACTTAATTTTTCATTTCCCATACTTTTTAAGACCTGGAAATTGATCAAATTTATTTCCAAACTTTTCAAACTTGCATAGGAACCCTGTCGATGGGACAAGTGATTTTTAGAGTTTTTCAAACTTCTGCTGTTCCGGCTTTCACCTAGAGACTCCGTTTATACTTTAAAATGTAGACACAGGTCTCATCTATTGGTGTATTGATCCATGTTATGATAGCTATTATAGTTTTTGATCACTCACTGCTCAATGAACATGATCAATTTTGAGATTATTATGGGTGTGTATTGCATGGAATGTTCACGTCAGAATGGGTGAAATCATCGGCTTGAGTGGAAGAAGTTGCGTAAAATTGTCTGAAATTTTTCTATTTGCACGATCTTCCCAGCCACAAATTACACTCTACATGCATGTTTTTGTTTTGTTTTTTTCACAGTTGTAGACACACTTGTTGTTTTTGCACAGGCCACCCCCTAGAAAAAAAATCGCAATTATTGGACCTCAAAGACTTGAGTGAGACAGAAAGTCCATGCATCCACTAAATGATGTGACTGTCCTGAATACTTAACCATACTTTTTTTTTAAAGGAATAACCAAATCTGATATGCTGCAGAATATCTGCAGATAGCTTTTGATCAAATTTACACAACAGTCCCTGAGGTCTGAATATTTAGTGAACAAACTCCTCTATCAGACATTAAGGAGAATACAAATAGAAAGGCAGGAGTCTATCTGTGTGCATCTTACTGTGTGGTAGCAAACACAGAATTGCCAGCAGGGAAGCTCATTTCTGTGAGTGAACAGCAGGAGGCCTCCACCACCACAACAAACAAACAAACAGGATTTTAAGTTTTAGATCTAACACGTCCTAAACTCTGAACCCACAGCTCATTATTCACAGCAGAGCAGTGATTTCTGATGTCTGGAGGCACTCAAACATGCAGGGTGCCAATATATTATGGTCTTGAGATTAAGAGATGTTTGCTGTTTACAACTGCTGTCAGTCATATTAACTCTTTCACTGCCACAGCGTGCTTTCTTGCGCACCACTTTCATACACTTACGTCTGCAGCTTGGGGTCGGAGCTGCCTTTAGTCTTGGCCTCCTTTTTGGCCTGTTTCAGCTCTTTCTTTGCTAGGGCCAGCTGTTCTTTACGAGCTTCAATCTGAGTGGAGTGAAAAAGGACAAAGCGGGCATTCATGTATGGTTCAAAATATCACTGACTATGCAGCAAAAGCTCAGTCCACAGCCTCTTATGTTAGAAAACTCTTATAACGATGCAAAATATCAACCATCTCTGCATAGGCACCGTGAGGAAAACGTAAATGGGTAATAAATGAGGTTCAGGTGTTCCTACCTTGGTCTGAAGGTTAGCCATGGACTGATCAAAGGTCTTTGGTGGCGCCCGCTGGTGGTTACAGAGAATAGCAACCGCTCTGTTGGCCCTGTTGTAGGCCAGTATTTTCTCTGCCACACTGTCTGAGTCTTCAGAGGGCGACAAAAAAGTTCAATTGAAAGGACCATCCCATCAAACACACACTTAAGCACAGAAACTCAAAAAGACCAGAATCATGCCCGTCCATCCTTTTTGAGCTTCATCCGTTTCTCCTGAGTCCCACACAACAAAAGCCAAAATCAGAAGCCAACCTGTCAGCCGGCTCTTAGTGGCAATTCAGAAATGAGAAGGGTGTGTGACACCTCTATCTCTAAATGAGAAAGTGTGGCGGAGGCAGCCAATGGGGCTCTGATAAGAGGTGGAGACGCGGGCCTCTGGTTGCAGTGATAATACACTCCTGCCACGGCTGGAGAGGCTGGCTGATGTCAGGGCATCATAGTATCAAACCAGTTAAAAATAGCAATTGTCAAAAGTGTGGCATTTCTATCATGGACTTCTGTCACACAGGTAGCAGGTAATAAGACAATCAGAAGAGCCTGAGAGACCAAATGCTACAGTATTAAAGTGACTACCCGTCTATGGTGAGGGCTGTGATCCAGTACTCGAAGAGGGGTATTTTGGATCTTTTGGAGTGGGGCTGTTGGGGGTCCTTGTCAATAGTTAGTGTGTTCGCCCCTTGTATTTAGAAATCAGTTGGAGAACTGGAACTGAAGCTCAGACGGGGTCAATTCAGCTCATCTTGAACTCTAACAAAAGCTCTACTCATGGTGCTCTGTTTGGGAATTTTTCAGTAGCCTAGTTTGCTGTCAGACAGTCTTTTCAGTTTGGCACCGTTCTTGGACATGACGCATAAATGTTCCTCTGCCTGCAGGGCACTGATCAGCTGTTCTGGTTGATAATCTCCAAGTCACTTTTATATATTGTAAAGTTTGATGTTGTTGCATCTCAGTTTGACAAACTAAAGCACAGAATAACTGAGATTATCCCACAGATACAATCACGTCTATAAAGTTTGTTATTTCAGCTCTTCAAAAACTAACACTGTATTTTTGATGAAGTTAATGTACCTTGAAGAGCATGGGTTTGGTCATTATGCAAAATGAACAAATACACAAATAAATGAGAATAAATAGAGAACCAAAAGCGTATTCCCTTTCCGCTTTTCTTGTTTTCCGATTGGACATTTGAATATTGAAGAACGTGAGTGAAACAGCTGCATTTAGTAAGGCAGAGACCACCTGGTGGTACAGACTGCAGCAGCAAATGAGCTGCTGGTTTCCTCCGATTCAGAGTGTCCTGAAAATCTGTTGATACCAAGTGTTTCTCCTTTCTCTATGTACACTAGGGTGACCATACATCCTCTTTTACCCGGACATGTCCTTGTTTCTGGGGGCTGTCCAGACTTGTCCGGCTTTGTCTGGGTAGGTTTATAAAATCCTTCAAATGTCTGTAGTTTTGTACGTAGGTTTTGTGTCACATGGACTTACTGAGTTAGAAGCACATAAAAGACACTCAATCCGACCCGAAAAAATTTCAAAATTAACTTTGTGGGACTCCGGGACTCCGCCCCTGCGTAGTTGTGTCCTCTTTTTGGAAAGTCAGAATATGGCCACCCAAATGTACATAGTCCTCATCACACTGGTTATAGGATTAGTTCTCAATCCCTTGCGTCTAATGTGTGTCATCCTCTCTTTCCTGCTCTCTGAAGCTGTCAATAAAGCCACAAGCTCACAAAATAAAAGAAAAAACTCCCCTCTCCTTCAGCCTGCAGAGTCTAGTTCTTCCTTTGGAAAGATTTCCTTGTGTATCCTGTAGAACATAATTGAAAATTGGAGCAGTATGACTCAGTCCTAATTTATGGCTTTCTTTATATTAACATTGTTGTTTTTGCTGCGCTTTAAGTTGTCTGTTGTGTTTCAGATTTGTCTCTTCTAAATTCTTGTTAACTTGGTTCGTCGCTGCTGTTCCATACTGGTCTGAGGAACTTTGGGTTTGTGTTGACACTGGAACTCTGTGTGGGCAAAGATATACCTCTAATAGATTTTCCGGAACAAATAAAAACAGTGTTGATGTTTGAATGATGATATCTATCACTCACTTTGAGTATTTGCAGTGAGAAAGGTTAAAAGAGGCAGTTTTTTTTTTTCAGCCTGCTGTCAATCATCTGACCTGACCGCCACATCCTCACCAAATTTTCAGCTTTAAAAGTTACTCCAGGGAAATGTTTAAGCTCAGAGCTGACGTGCTTCTGAAGGACATAAAGAGAGATCACTATCAGATTCAGTCCGTTTCTCAACCTGTGGAAATCCCTCACAGAATTTAAAAGCTGTGTAGTGTTAAAACAGCAGTGATTCTGGGCTTACTGTTGGTGAGCTCTTTGAGCTGCTGCTGTAAAGTGATGGAGGCGTTGTATGTCCTGAAGACCTTGGCAGTCAGACCTGGCATTAGGGAGCTCAGGTGCTTGTTCAGCATAGTTGTCTGTGGTGAGAGATGGGAAACAGAGAGACAAAGAACAACACACTCTCATCAGAGTGCTCTTGAACAAATGCAGTCGTTGAGGAAGCATGACAGCAGTTGTATGCAAACTCTACCACTAGATGGCACTATGGTATCACACCACATTGATATTTAAGGCATCTGTATTTTACCATAATAAATAAAAACACATGAAATTCCATCTTTAAATTCATGATCATCATCTTCAACAAAAAAAAGAAAAAACAGTTAAAAATGATCTTAGGAGTATTCCCCGGACATTTCTGCAGGTATTATGACAAGTTAGAGCGTAGTCTGTGGTGAGGTGACCATTAGCTTCTGTCAAACGGCTGCAGCAGAGGCTAAGGGGGCTGAAACAGAGTTAACAGTGTTAACAGGGCTGGTGTGAAGGCTAAATAAACATGAGGCTCCCTGAATACACACTGATATGGAGTGCAAACATGTGGACCTGGAGAAATAGATAACACACACATTTCTAAACACAGATGAAAGCACGAGGAAAGAATATCCTGATCAGCCTGCCGGTGCAGCGAGTTCACAGCTCCGGCCGGCCGCAGGAATAATTCAAATGAAGATCGCAACAATACTGTGGTCACTTTAATCAGGGCAGGGTCAGGAACAGGGTGTCTGGAGCCACAGAGTTGCCCAAAATACGTATGCGTGTATGTATATGTGTGTCTCACTGCAGCAACCCACTATCAGGAAGCAAGAGGAAGCTTTCTGTGTATACACGCCCATGTATTCATGTGCTGGAGGGAACACAGGTACACTCAACCTTATAAATGCACAGTCGCCGTCGTGCCTGCCTTACTAATGAGCCTGCTACTTCTGCCCCTGCAATGCTAATGATGGTTCCTGTAAATCCAAGGGGCAGGTATCATTTCTCCCACACTCCCAGCTCCCCTGACTTCATGTGTTCCTCGTGCACAAATGTGTGTGTTTGTTTGTGTCATGCCTGTCATCTCTAGAGGCATTATTATAGCGTATCATTACTGTCGTTCTTATTTGCTTTCTATAATGTAGAATGCAGAGTACTGCACTTTCTCATTAACATACTGCCAACCAATTTGTGGTGAAATATTGACTGTTGAGATTCTAAACTAGCAATGATGACCTGCTTTTCATTTCTCTCTCTCTGTTCAATTTATCCTGCTCTCTGCATCAGTTCCCTGTAAGAGAAGAAGAACTCCTGTCAAGCAGCTGGTGGAAGAGAAACAATAGAGGAAAAGCAAACTAATGATATGTGCCAAAATAAAAGCTGCTCATAGGGAATACACTTCCCTGGAGGAAATAACTCAACATATTTGAACTAGAGGTACTAAAAGAAATCCCCTTTAGGTTACGGTTAACCTGAAACAGCCTTCACTGTGTGCACTGTTTCTGTAATGATGTGCAGTTTGTAGAGGAAACTACCTGACAAGCCTGATAGATGCTGGCGTTTTCAGCCCAGATCTGACGCTTAGGATTCAAGTTGATCCGTGTTTGCTGAGTTTTTGTGCATGGTGCGGGAAAGGAAAGCCTTTTCTAAAACACCATCGGCATGGCAGAGCATTTACAAATCAAACTGGTTTGAAACTGCTTTGCAGAAACATGTCAACTCTCCATTGGAGAGACATTACCTGGATTTATTTATTTATTTATTTATTCATTTATTTAGACAGGACAGTACCAGTTCATGGACAAGGAGAAGAAGACATGATACAAGAAATATGTATGTCTATTCTCATTGTAAACCAGCCGGAGTTAACTAAGGCTAATTTCCACCAGTTGTCCTCAGACAGAAAAGCAACAACAACAACAACAACAACAAAAAACAGGAGGAAAAAACAAACAAACAAAAAAACAAACAACAAAAAACAAAAAAAATAAAACGATAACGATATATATCGAAAATTAATTTCCCTCAATATCAATATAAAACATTGTCGATAGTCTGCATTCTGTCATGTTTTGGTAGGGTATAAGAATAGCCTATGAAAAGGGAGTTGCTCCAGGTCAACTTCACGCTGAACCAATCATGTGCTGAATTAGAATCAAGTAGCAAACAACTGCGTAGTAGCAGGCTGCAGCTACACGCAACCATAGCACTTTAATATGTGAAGCCGACAGAATGTCAGTGAGAAAAAAAGAAAATGAGTGCTACCCTCGGCAGAAATGCAGATGTTGTCGCAAAGTCAGGGAATACCTCAAATCTTTTTCACCACCTGAAGCAGAGTCACGCGGCAGAGCACGCACAATGCAAAAGGTTGCAAACCCCCCGAGTAAAAAGCCCATGGTGCCTGTGCAGCCGAAACAGCCGACCATTCAGTCCGCTTTCTTTAGCGCAACGCCTTACAACAAAACGTTGAAGAGACACAAAGACCTCACAGATGCAGTAGCTAATTGTATTGCAAAAGACACGCTACCAATAAGCACTGTTAAATTTCATTTTTTATATTGTAATATAAATCGATATCGACTGATATGATGAAAATATATTGTGATAAACTTTTTTCCATATCGCCCAGCCCTAACCCCTGTATATTATTTGGTATTAATGGAGCCCTCCCTGTTGTGAATTACCCATGATGTCAGAGGGTCTCAAGCATCCTCATACCATCATGGATTCTGGCCAAAAAACTGTGTGCTGAAAACAAGCCAGGTGGTCCCTCTACTATGCAAAGTCGAGGATATGTGGTCCATAATTTCCAAAAAATTGTTTCCGAGTTTGATTAGTCACGCACTGGTTTCCACTACAGAGTCATGTACATTTTTAATGCAGTGCTGCCTGAGGGCTCAAAGATCAAGGCCATCTGGCACTGAGTTGTGGACTGATTATTTTGTTCTAAACATATTAAAATCAACAGATTCTTCGTACTTTTACGCAGATAAACATCATTCTGATATTGTTAAACTATTTACTCTTTACCTCAGAGAGACTCAGCTTCTCTGTTAAGTCCATAGACCGTATATACTATGGACAACTTGGTTCCGCCTACCGCCTGTATACGGATTTGAAGCCAAAAAGCTCTCTGTATTTCCAGGATTTTTCTTCATTTCCTGAAACCAGCTCTTTTTCAGTGTTCAGCTTTCTTAAACTAATTGCTGACATAAACTTTAAAAAGAGCCTATATGTTAGAAAAAGAGACAAGCAGCCAGCTTCAACATCAGATATTTTGTCAGAATTTTCCCCCCACTTTTTTCCACAATTTTTGCAAACCTTTAAATTCTCCTCTTACCAACGTCGTATACAATGTTCCCTCTTTTCAGAAATAAGGGTTGTAGACAACAAAACACAACATAAACAAAATAATGTGTTTCATATAGGGAGTGCATAATACTTGCCATTTGAATCCTAAGACACCTTATTAGCATACAAATAGGATAATGCATTTCCATGTTTTCAACCCCGCCTCCTCCTCCAACACCACCACCACCAACACCACCCTGTACAGGCGTAGCAAAATTATTCCCTATTCTTTAGGTATGTCTTTGACTGGTTGCGTAACATCTGTAAATTACTCTTTGTAAAAGTTATGGGATCTTGTCACATACACTTCACATTTACACGTCACATACACTTCTACTTCTGACACTTGTTGTGCTGACACCTGAGTTTCACACTTTGATTCCCTCGGGCTATCCTCAGGTGTGTTTTGTTTCTCTCTGTATAATTTTGACTCCTTTCTCTGTCAAAGGTTCACAGCATACACAGGTGTGAACTGACACCATTGAACATTGTGTACATTGCTGTTAATGACAGATGTGAGACAACTTAATAAGAGAAGAAAAGATTCGAACCACTCTGAACAAAACAAAAAAGTCGCTCTGCAACTCTAAACCATGCTCACCAATCAAACAAGATCAGCTTCAAACAATCACTTATTTTGGTGACTGAACTTCGCAGCAAGTTGCTTAAATCTCTCTCCCCTCAATCTCCTTTTTTGTTTAGTTAACATTTTATCCATGTCCAACCATCTTCTCTTTCAGAAAACTCAGGCAGAGATGAGAGCACCTTCACTTTCATCCTTCTTCCTCCAGCTCTTCATATCACCATGACATCCCACTACCTCTCTTTCACCTCCTACATTTTTCCAGCCACTTTCCTCCTCTCCCCTCCAACTTCCCCTCACCTAGACCAGCTGTCACTTTCCCACAACTCTGTCGACTACTCTACTCCCCCACTCCCCCACTCTGCTCTCTTGGTGGCCTGGCCTTTCTGTGTGTCAATCAGGCTTGCCCACAGCAGCCATTACCATTCCACCTCCAACACTCCCTGACATTTCCTGACACAGTGGAGGGCAGAGAGCAGAGGCCCTGCACTCCATCCTTCAATTGCTCTATCTCCTCATCTCACTCTCTCACTGCTCTCCTGTCCTGCTTCATCCTATTCCTCCCTGTCAGTCCTCATACTCCAACACGTGGCTGTTTCTCCTTGAGCTTTTTATGTGCATCACTTATACTACATGTGTCTGCAACTTGTACTAACACACTTTCTCTCTTTATCACACTGCACATGCACGTGAAATCTGAGTGAGTTATTGTGTTAATGCAGCAGATGATGACCAAGAGCGTTCACCATGAGTAGGGGATAATCATACTGTGCAGCATTTCTCTGTGAAGCACTCTTTCCTGTCTGGTCTCTGCTTCCTGTATATTGTTTTGTCCTGCTGTTGTTGCATTAGGGCTGAGAAATACGGGATAAAATTAAAATCAGTTTTTTTTTTGGTTTTTTTTTTCCCCACGATATACTCAAGTTGCGATTTTTTTTTCTTTTTCTTTGACTCTTACAGGACCCTGAACGCTGATTCATCCATTTGATCTATTCATTACACAGCTGTAGTTTGTATTTTGTAGAAATGACCTTGTACTGTATATGTTGTTATGGTACGAACAAGGAAACAGCAACCAGTATTCCTCCTCCTTCTCTTGCATGCGCCACGCCAAGTTCAAACCTGGAACAGGCTGTACATTTTCTGAGATGAGTGGATTTGATAAGGCATGTGAATTTTAGTCTTTTTGATTCCTGACAGCATTGTAAATCTTTTTAGGATTAAACTTCAGTGACATTTTGGCATCATAGAGGTTGTGTACCTTGTATCTCAAAGGACCTGCTGTGCTGCAGAATATCATACAGTTTGTGATGAAGTTTGTCAACCAGCTTGTGAGAAGAGGTTTGACTCAAAGTTTGGCTTAGCTTCACTAAGAAAAGATGATGATACAGCAAAGTGTTACACATGGGGCAAAGATATTTCAAATGAAGGCAAAAGAATGTCAGATATGTGGAATCATTTCGTTCAAAGTACCAAGAATATGAGGAAAGGCACTGTATTTGCTGAACAGCTGAACTCAGGCAGCTTTAGAGACGTCTCCACACACTCAAGTCGAACACAGTGTTAACATCACATCACTTGGAGTATGAAGATTCTTATCTACGACTTCAACTTCAAAGATTTCTGGTTTATAATGTGTCTCGTTGACCTGTCCTTTAAAGGAAGAGTTACATTTATTTCATAAAAAACCTTGAAACAGCTGGAAGTTCAACAACAAAAGCCTACATCTCCCATGGATAAGGACGGGTAATATTTACACTTGAAATACTCTACATATTTTTACTCCTCAACATTAATTCAATCAGAATCAAGAATTAATCAGTAATAAAAATTGTGGGCTTAAACAGAATCAGAGTAAGAGCTGATCAACAAGCAACAAGCAAAAATACAGGTAAGAAGAAGAAGAAAAAGTAGAATTAAAGGAAGAAGTAGAAGTAGAAGAAGTAGATGTCGAAAAGAAGTAAAAATAGAAGTAGAAGAAGAAGTAGGAGAAGTAAGAGTAGAAGTAGAAGAAGTAAAAGTAAAAGAAGAAAAAGAAGTAGCAGTAAAAGAAGAAGAAAGAAGTAGAAAAAGTAGTAGTAGAAGTACAAGTAGAAGAAGAAATAGAAGTAGAAGAAGTAGTAGTAGAAGTACAAGTAGAAGAAGAAATAGAAGTAGAAGAAGTAGTAGTAGAAGTACAAGTACAAGAAGAAATAGAAGTAGAAGAAGTAGTAGTACAAGTAGAAGAAGAAATATAAGTAGTAGAAGTACAAGTAGAAGAAGAAGTTAAAGAAATAGAAGTAGAAGAAGTAAAAGTTGAAGAACAAGAAGAACTTTCTAGATCCCAAAGGGAAATTCAATTGTCTGTCATCTCATGTCTCTTGTCATCCACTATTTACAGTAGAATCTTCCCACTCACTCTTACTTTTTTAAATGCACAAGCTCATTATTTGAAGACTGTCCAGAAAAAAAAATTCTCAAAAATGATAAGTTCTTCATCACAGTTGGAGAACAGCAGCCCCTTTCCCTTTTTTTCTTTTGCTGCTAACATGGATGAATTATGGCTGTGCTACACTAACAAGTCAATGGCCATTTGAAACACCAGCAAAGTTACTGCATTGAAGGGTGGTGGTACACTTACATAATGTCACAGGAAAACTGAAACTTTGCTTTAACAGAAGACTTGTACTAAATGTCAATTCAGTATGAGTCCTTTATGAATTTGATTATGGGAAAGTTTCAAATAGCTCACCATCATTTTGTCACAATTTTGAATGTTTATTCATGAACTTGTAATGCATGTTTATTTTGAAAGCTGCTGCTGCTCTTTCTCATACAACTCTGATACCAACATTTAATTTATTCAGTTGTATTATTATTATTTATTCAGGAACATCAAAGTCATGGCAGATGTCATCTTTTTCATAAATACTGATCCATGTCTCTGTCATACTGTGTGACAAACACGGTGAATTAGTTATCAAACACTGGTAACCGTGGTGGTGTTGGCTTGTAGTTATTCAGTCCAAATTTCAAAAGGCTGAGCACCAGGGTGAAAGAAGTCAGATCAGAGCTTCCCTACAATCTGCCAGCCTGGGGTAAAGCCTCAGATAAACAAATAAGGCTGATCCTGTTTCATAAAATCTGAGCTCACTCAGAGAAGCCTCATGCATGTCTCTCTGCAGTGGACAAACGTGTGAACAAATGTGCTATTCTGTGTGGCCCTGCTGTCTGCAGATAGACGGAGAGGTAGAGAGGACACTAGATTTTTTACACGTGGAAATTCATCTACCCACTATGTTCACTTTCAATTTTCAGAGGCCCAGTTTCATTTTTATCTGCCTCAGTCTATCCTTTTCTCTCTTTTGAAACTCCCTCGTCGCTTTCAGTGTCCCAGCTTCCAATATACCTCCCCCTCTTCTCACCTCCTATTTCCTCTCTTTACTCCTTTCATCTCTCCACACCAATAGCTCATCCTCATCCAGTCTCATCAACTATACCTTACATGGTCCCTGATTTTTCCTTTGCTTCAGCCTTCTGTCTCTACAAAAAAAATAAAAAGAAATTCTTTTTCCTTTCACAATCTGTCTCTGCCTTCTCTACATATATTGCACACCTCGGGGGAGTTGCTCACACATTTTACATAACCTTGGACAAATTCTTGCTTTTAACAAAGAAATGCAACGCTTCATCTGGCCATGTCTTAGAAAAGGTTTGAATTTGAACATCCTTGGCAGCTTGCAAGAATGGAGACATGTCAGAATTACAGAAGAAAAAAAATGAACTTAGTAAGATACTCACATTAAGGCGGTCAAAGAGGTCGTCCCCAGCCTGCTTGTTCTCCATGAACAGCTTAAGATCCTTAAAAACCTGAAAAAGAGAACATATTATGAATATTTTCAAGTAAATCTAACACAATTTGAGGCTATTTTTTGAATTAATACCTAAAATTGAGAGTTGCATTTATGATAAAAGTTGTAGATTGCATACAGCACAAGAGTGCGAAAGGAGGCATGTATGTACTTCAGTTGTAAAAACTGGGCAACAAACAGAAAGGGATGTTCAAAGTTTTTTTTCATAAAATGAGCTTCAAGAAAATGACTGGATGTTGCCTTTCTAACAGTGTGTAAATATAAAGAAACTAGTCAAGGTGGGACAAATAAAAATAACAATTAAGGTAAATCATTTTAGACATGTCACCAAAAAAGGGGGAAGATATCAGAACAACAGAGAGAGCAAGTAAGAATATACAAACCACGTGGTTTAAAAAACAGGGGTACCTCAGGGGCCAGTGCTTAGTCCCCTCTTCTTCTATTCCTATTCTTCCTTTTAATAAGCCAATAAAGCTTCTTATTTTACAGCTCAGTAGATGATACCCAGCTCCACCTGTCATTCTCACCACAGCAAATTTCCCCACTGTTGGATTTATCTCATCTTATTTTGCAACACAGTGTCTCAGCTCAAATCCCATCATGCCTTGCTGACATTTCTAATTAAATGAAGAGAAAGGCACCTTCATCTCAACCTGTCAAAGACTGACTTTCTTGTCATCCCAGCCATAGATAGATAGTTCAATAACTAGCTTGGATCAATTACATTCAAGCCCAACAAACCTGCCCAGGAATCTGGGTGCCATGATTGATGACCAGCTAACCTTTAAGGTTGTGCTGATCTGCCCTGTAAAACCTCAGGAGGATCAGTCTCCTCCTGATAGAGCATTCAACACAGCTCCTGGTTAAGGTTCTCATAATATGCAGCATTAACTACTGCGACTCCTTGCTGGCAGGTCTCCCAGCGTGCACTTTCAAAACGTTGCATATAATCCATAATGCAGCGGCACCAATAGCCTTCAATTCATGTATAACTCGTTTGATTTTCAACATAAAACCAAAGATGAAAAATGAGAAAAGCAGTTGTTTTCTAAATATTCGTCTCTAAAACAAAAATGAAAAAACAGATAACAGCTCGTTTTCTGATTTCAATTTTCTTCAGCTTAAATGAAAATGGGATAAATGGATAACGACAGTTTTATCTGATTTAGATTTTTTCGTCTGGAGAAAGTTTTGTGACCCAGAAGTGATCAAGAAATGGGCTTTGGCATTATGGCTGGACTTGAGAATTATTCAGAGCTCATCTAGCACTTTTTTTAGGATGGCAAAACTCATGCAGAGATTTCCACCAGGCGGCAGGAGGCAGGAGCGCCAAGGTGTTCTGAAATGTCCATCGTCCGTCAGAAGGTTCTGTGCCCAAAACACGGGAGAAAACGAGACGTATCAAGACACACAAATGAGGGTGGTGTGTCAAGCCGTTATCCATTTTATTTCATTTTCATTTTAGAGAACAGCAATCGGAAAACGAGCTGTTATAGGAGACAAATATTTAGAAAACAATGTTTTTCTTGTTTTTTTTCATTTTTTCATTTTATTTTGAAAATCAAATGAACGCACGATATACAGATTAGCCGTCAACCAACAAAACATGTCACTCTGTAATTCACTCCCATTTGCCACTCACATCAAAAACCCTCCCCCTTACTTACATAAGAGCAAAAAGATAGCCCCTGCTACCTGGAATCCTTGAATGAATTCCTTACCACTTTTAAGCTACAGTCCCTGGAGACCCAGCTCTGCCATAAGCCCTACACACTGGGCTAAACTCTACTCCTCTGTGGTCCTCAGTGGTGGACTGAATAACCCGACGATATTTTTGTGACAGTTTTAGATTCAGCTTTTTGTGAGTTGCTCTGCACTTGCTAGTTTGGTGCTAAAAAAATGTTGTACTGATAATGGCTTAGATAGTAATGATGATGAAGAGATATCTTTGTAATTATTGTTTTAGTTGATGAAAATTTCACTTCTTCTCCTGCAAAGACTCTTGAACCAAAAGGGCCTCGAAGGTTTTGGTTGACACCTCTGGGTCTCTGAAAAACTCCAAACTTGTACTGTCTGTATACATTAAATTCACACGATAGCAAATCTATTCAGCTATTCGAAAACTTAAAAATGCAGACACACACACATGGAGGGGACAGTGAGTGTTTTTTATGAGCCTGACTTCATTTGTCCATCTCAGAGCAGAGCCGGACGAGTGAAACTGGCACACTTAGGCTGACAATTCCAGCCACTTCCTTGGTTTTACAGATGCACGGTTCCCAAAATAAACCAGTAAAATATGCACGACGCCAATTAATAGCGACAGATGTGTTGCTTAATAAAACACACTGACATATTCACTGGCTGGTATGTGTGGCAGTTTGTTTCCCCTAGGGAAATGAACTGAAGAGATAAAGTAAAGTGCAAGTGCTTTTGCGCATAAAAATGTAAATCAGCGTCTGTCTAACAGTCTCTGAGAAGCACAGACACCTAAAGTGAGCTCGCCTAATTGGTTTAGTGACGAGTCGTATGTAGATGTGTGTGTGTGGGTGCGTGTTTGTGTCAGGAAGGGACATAATTATTTGGAAAATAAATACATGTTTAACAGGTTGAGTTTAGCAATCTGCAGGTGTCCCCACACTCCTAGTCTATTTGATTAAGTCATTCGACAGTCTACCTGGTGTTCTATTGACTAATAAGTAGGTACCTGCCTTTCAAGAATAAAAATATACACAAGTGGGGTATTATTCAGTCAGCTCTTGAGTGTTTAGAGTCAAAAAAGTCAAACAAAAGTGTGTTTACATGGATGCATACTGCTGATTAACAATATCACTTTGTATCTTTGTTATCCAGAGACAACATGTTTGTGGAAAATAATGTACGGCTGCTGTCAGTGTCATTTTTATATTCGTGTCATGATTTCCTCCATCATATATATGGAGATTTCTTTGCAGTAGCACTATATCGCCTATTCAGTACAGGAAATGCTGTGTGTGTATATATACAGGCCTTGGTGTAAGATTCAATACATTGAATCCACATCAGAGTTTAGAAGGAGAATTCGTTCCTTCCATCCTTCATTCCATTTTATTCCAATTGACATTTAGCAGCAAGCTCGCTGGTTTCCCCGGGAATAATGATGCTAAAATATGCAAGCGACTAATTAATTTTAGCTAATGTGTTGCTTTTGAATGCACTCATTTGAATAATTATATGTTCTGCCAAGAAACAAAACACTTTAGCTGTCAGGTGCTAACATTTCTTTCTCCATCTCTGGAAAAGAAGATAGCATGGGCTGCCACCAGAGGAGGGGTTGGAAATTTACATATGCATACATGCACACTCACACAAATGTGACAGCTGTTTGACAGACTGCAGACAAAGCAACAAGGTTTGGAAAAATAAAAAACAAAAAAAGAACGCAGCCACATTTTTTTGTTGTTGTATTTTGGCATTTTCTGACCTGCTCCCTGCAGTAAACATCAGCACTTGTGGTATCAGATTAATTCACAAATGACAGGAGCTTCTGCAATGACTAATTACTTTCTCTTCTTTTAAATAATGGTGTTGGCAATGTGTCAGACTGACTTTGGTATAAACAGTAATGACAGATAACGGTATAAAACCTTTATACAGGAGTGTCAGCTGAGGATCAGACTTGTACCAATCTAAAGTAGTTTTCATGTAAGTAAACATATTTAAATAATTTTTCTCCAACACATGTTTTTTTAAAGTAGTAACAGAGTTGGCGACACTCCAGTGGTAGTATTCTAGTTTGAGCTGCAGGGACTTCAGAATTCTCACTATTCCGATATCTGATTAAATCTGATGCTGGGACACTGAACAGCGGCAACCTTCAAAGTTAACTCCAAAGCCTGTTTTCATAAATATTCAGACAATCCTCTTCTAACTTCTCTTCAACTTTTAGTCAAGACTTGTATGGGCTGTATTCACAGAGCTTCTCCATCTAAAGAGCTGCTTCCCATCACAAAATGTTTAGAAATTTTCTATGAGTCACAAGTTTTCAAAAGAATTTTACCTAAAAGTTCAGACTAAACTTTCTAAAGAAAAAGTTATTATAAAGCATCTTGGCTTTTTGAGAGCTTCTGGGGAGAAAAACTATTCAGAGGTGTAAAAGGGACTTGTGCTTTCTCAAGCTGAAGAGGAAAAGCAGACAGATTCACGTCTACAAAAACGCTAGAGAGGAATGTCAGGGTCTCTTCAGGTTTAAAAAAGTCTAATGTCGGACTTTGTCAGACTTTTTAAGACTATAAAGACCATGAATAGAATTTAAGACACACTTTACATCCATAAACATTTAAGTATGAAAAAAGTATGAAGGACGTGAAGGGAAACAGGAATATTTTACATGACTTCAAATCAATCTTTATTTCTATGGCATGTCATTTATTTCTAAGTAGAGTTAATGCATTTTTAAGACCTTTCAAAATCCTATTTACATAAGATTTTAAGAGAATTTTTGACATTTTAAGGCCTCACATTCAAATAATTGGTTTTTGACTTTTTAAGACCCCTTGAGTACCCTGAATATGATTGAGAGCAGTTTCACTTGCACGATCTTGTTGTCATGACAGGTAAGCCTTCTGTAGGGAAGCTTGTTACTTAAGATGTAAGAAAACCAAGAGGGCAAACACTAACATCAACATCAACTTAATCAAAACAGCAGTTTTAAAGGTTCATATTTACAGTAAGATGTCACTCTGTAGTCGTTGCATTTTTCAGACAGAAAAACAGACATTTCTGTCTCATGTGGGGTAACGAGCAAGTGCAGATCACTCATTAGTTTAGATGTCAACCATATACGGTTAAAATGGTGCGTAAATGAAAGAGTAGACCAGCATGTGAAAAAGCTGCAGCGGAGTAGCTGATAGTCGATGTCAAGAAGTCAAATGAAGATTCGACCCCTTATATGACTAACAATGCAGCTTTGATTTGACTCATTTGTCTGCTCCACGATTTAAGTCCTTGATGTAAAGCTTCACAATAAATGTAAATTATATGTAGCTCAAAAGAGAATATGAATAAACTTTTTCGCTATTATTATGTTGGGGGTCTTTCAGTGTATTTTCTGTTAACTACAGATGAACTCCCTGGATAAGAATTGGATCTGGGCCGCTCACTCAACGTGGATCTACCACAGCAAACACTTACCAGGACAACACCGTCTGTTTCTAAAGCAAAGCTGAATTATTTACATATGAAACACCTGACTAACTTTGTCCTTATTTGAATAAATAAAGTATGTATTCCCTTCTTGCAGGACTGATTAATAAGTTTATACCTTATCCAGGAACACTGAAAGTCATTCACATTGTTCACATTGTCTTAGTTTAAATGTTCACATAGATTCACCAAATCTGACCATCTAAGAAAAACCTTCACATTTCAAGTGGAAGGGAGACCTAAGAGATAAAAAGGACATACGACATTGTCAGATTTAGCCAACTTTAAACTGGAATTGTGACTATGAATCTTTGTCAAAGTTAACTTTGAATACAATGAATTTGCGGCACGTCAAGTTTAACATTCAAGCTGATGTAAAAAGGAGAACTCCTACATCATCATGAATCCGCTAACATGAACATATAATCCACCAGAGGAGCAGAAAGGAGCAGAGCAGCAGTTCACCAGATCTAACAGACAGACGAATTAAACCAGCACAGCCACAGGGAACCAATCTACAACTGTGCCCCGAGGACATCTCTCAGTTCCCTCTCTGCCTCAGGCTCTGTTCGTGTTGATATGTATGCAGGTGACCTTCTCTGCAGAGACTTCTGCCAAAACCCAAAGGGCAAATTTGAGATTATTGTAATGACATATTATGATTCGGTGTCGTATAAACAGGCCCTGTTAGTCTCCTCTTCACCAGGTTGGAGAAAAAGGATGTTTGGTTTCTGTGTTTTAATGTTAGCAGAATCATGTTTTTAATCAAACCGTGATGGCATATGCAGAGGTGTCTTTTTGTGCTCTTTGTTGGGGTCTCTTACCCTCCGGATGACGGGGACCTTGTTGTAGTAGCGAATGGAGTCTTTACCCAGGAAGTCGAATTCCACCACACACTGGTTGCCCTCCAGTTCCTCGTGGAGGGTTATGTGCTCGACACGAAGAGAGCAGCAGCCCACCGTGTCCGCCGTTTCTCCCTCCTCCTTCTCGTTACCAGCTCTCAGTGCCAGCTTTAATTTGGTCAGAAGACACGGAGATCATCGTTAGACAACTGTTAAATTTATGACACTCCAGTAAGAGAAATAAAAAGAGCTGCATGAAACAAAAAAACACATAAAAGCCAAGTTTAGGTTTAAAAAGTCTTCAGCATGGGCAAAGCAATCACAAACTCAATTTGTCAATTTCCTCCATGCAGAGTGACAGAATGACATAATTAGCTCGGGGTCGCTGGCAGAAAACGGCTAAATGTGATCAATTTTACTCCTCACAAAAGGCCTGCCATCCAACTAAGCGAGAAAGCAGAAAAGGCAACCGAGACACATTGCATTGATTTCCGATGTTTTCACATGGCTCTAGGTGAGCCCTAAAGAAAGTCTGTGAAACTGAAGCCGGTTTATTTCTCACACAGGTGTAAAAACAGGTTCAACCTTCCTCTCCTACAATCTGCATCTTGATTACAAAGGTTTTTCTTGGACCAACATGAAAACCTGACCTTATCTATGAAATAAAGGGCCACAGCTCTTTGCCGATTGACCATCTCCTTGGATTTGAGATCCTGGTGGTACTGGTTACGGATGTCGTCGACACATGACTTCAGTTTTCGAGCAACCTCGAATTTCTCCCAGTCTTTCTCGCCCTGTATTCAAGGGATAAAAGGAGAGGAGGACAGATAAAGAGGGGTGTGTAAAAAGAGAAAGTAACAGAGATTAGGAGAGGGAAACTTTGAAAAAAAGATAAGTGTGCAAAGCTAAGAGGAGGAAATGGAGAAAGAAATGATACCCAGAGCCACAAAAACAGTCCCCCCAAAACTTCATATCCAAGTCATTTTCTCTGAAAAGCCTCTGATCAAAACATTCAATATGGTAATCATGCCATGAATACAGGCTGTTAAATCACACAAAAGAAAGGAAATGGGAAGACTTACAACTAAACAACTTTCATGACAAAGCTCTGATTCCCTGCTGGGTGCTGCTGCTTATTTATTAAGGCCAAGACGCAATTTAATCCACAATCAGTTTACACACATGCGCGCACACACATTGGCATACTGTCATAGAGACAAACAGTGGAATTACTTAACCTTTGCATGTGAAAGATGGAAAGGAGGAAGAGTGAGCAAACAGAGGAGCAAAGTAGAAACGAGAGAAGACTGAATAATGAGACGACACACACACTTACCATACACTCACACACACACACTCACACTTTGGACTCACATTTCAACCTTTTTGTTCTGGTCTATTTCTTTTAAAAAGACTCTTGAGACCAGATACTTTCTCACTGTTATAATAGGCGATGATGATGAAACAAGCACATTGTATTTCTTTTTAAACCCAAATGTCAGATTGAAGTGAAATAAAATGTGGCCACATATTACTTATATACTCACACACACACACACACACACATACATTTGAAGTTCATCTTTTTAGGCTCCCCACCTCCTGTTGTTACACTCTGGGACTCTGTTTTTCTTGGGTGTATTAGAGTTATCTAATCTTTTAGCTTTCTTGAAAAAAAATTAAAAAGAAGGCATCATAACTCCTCCTCAGTTGCTGCTTCACTTGTCCTACTTTTGTGCAGCTCTGTTCATTGTGTCTCTATCTTTCATTTCCCCTGGCGCTGCAGCACTGAGTCACAGCTGGATTTAGTCGTGAGGGTTTCACTCACTTTGCAGATAAATGGCAGTGAGTACTGACATTATTTATGAAACCAAAATAAAAAAAGACAATCCCATTTCCAGATTGTTGAGAAAAAATGTCTTAGACTTCCTTTCCCTTTTTGACAGAGACCGAGTTATAGAGACCCAACTCTATTCCTTACTGTTTTCAGCTACGTCTGTTAGCATCTTGATCTAACAGAGGTTGAGAACTTGTGTTATTGAAATATGTGAAGAAGGCACCATGAAGCTTTTTTCAAAGAGATGAAAAAAACTAAGTAAAAAGTATCTCAAATCTTCATCTTTAGTTTCAAACACAATCTTAATTTTGATCCTCTGACTTGAAAAACGCCCTCAAAGTTCTTACTACAACTCATGTTTCATTTCTATAAGCCCACAGTGAAAATAAAGGTGTGATTCATCTCCACACTGGTTATGGTGTAAGTGTCTTTTATGTTTGATGCTTGTGTGGAGTTTCTGTGCCTGTTGGCAGCAGACTGACAAGGATACCTTTAGCTTAGAGTTGGCATTGAGCATGATGTATTTAATAGACCCCTGGATGTTCTCTGTCCAGCTGGCCAGCCATGTCACAGTGTTGTCATGTCGAACCTCCTTCCACTGGTGACCAGCAGGGGGCACTGGGATACTGGAGTCACTGACAACCACAAAGAGAGAGGGAGAGGGAGGGAGAGAAAGAGTGTGTGAGAAGCTGCAGTATCTGGATAGGGAGCCTGGCCACCCAACAGAGATTCAAGACTAAAGCAGCACAAAAAAAAAAGGGGTCCTTCAGTTCAAATCTCAGTCTTTTCATATGAGCTGCACAATTCAAAACCACAAATGTATTTACAGCATGCCAGGAAACTTGGAGAGAGAAAAATCAATTTTGCTAGAGCAGAGCTTATTTCGACAGTTACTTGAAGGTAACACAGATTTTGGTCCAAACCTCATCTCTGCACCTTTTGCAGGAGTTTAATGTCAGAGCCTTTCACCTTAGATAAACTTTCTCAAACACTTCAAACTAACATTTCGGGGAAAAAAAACAACAACAAAAAAAAACTTGGATGGCAATTTTTTCTTGGTCAGATGTGCCAGACTTGAGCATCCCTACAATGCAGCACATCTTAGTGTGTTCTTTGAACCCTTAGTCTTGATCTAACCTGCTGCAGTTGATGATCACATCCTCTGGTTGGATCCTTTTCTTCAGCATGCCCTGTTTGGGATGATCGCCTCTGCCTCTGAACAACCCCGGAGGCTCAATCTTGAAGTTGCCGATGCGCTCTTTGTGGTGGTCGAGCAGACAGTAGCCAAATTCATCAACTATCTTCTGGTTTTCTTCTTTTACAGCCTGCGTTAAAAATAAAGGAAAGTTGCCAAGATCCTACCGCTCAGACTCTCTCGAGACGACATGAGGCTATAATGTTATAAAAATGTACACCTGCATGTTAAATGAAAAGTTATTACCTGTTTCTCCTCCTTGGTCAGGTTTCTCCTAGCCTCTACCTTTGCGACGTGCATGGCATGCATCTCTCCAAAGTTGCATTTGTTGAGATCCTGGATCAATTTCCTCTCCTCGTGGGTCATTTCCTAAATAAAAAGTAGTAAATTGACGTTTTCCTGTATCTGCATTTAAAGGGATATTCCAGCGTAAAATTAAGTTAGGGTCAAACACACTGTAACACTGAGTTAGACACCCCCTCAAGAGATGAATGTTGTCGACCGCTTGCTTCTCTAGTTATACCAACTTTGGTAATGACCACACGATAGCAATACACAGACATCTTTTAGCTTTACCTGATTTCTTTAGCAAAGAGGCTAAACACAACTCATCCACTCTCTTCCAGCAGCCACTTGTTTGTAGGCGAGTCCATCACAGACTGCAAGGTGACGCAGCTCAAGGAAGAACATTTATGATCATTATTATATCATTTCTTTTAAGTAATAATCATCATAAGAATCATTTTGCAGTAGTTCTTCTGCCTTAGTGTCTCGGTCTGATTGTATTTCCAGGAAGAAATGATCATAAATTAATGTTTTGTTTTGTTTTTTTACTATTTTTTTTGGCATTTCAAAGATTAAATTCACTTTCATCCATCTTCCATCAAACATATTATCCATAAATTAAAAAAAAACCTTGTTCACTGCAGCTAGAAATTTTTTTGGAATGCCAGATTTGTCACGTGGTTGTCTTTGTCACTTTGAATGAACAGATGGAATGATAGCTATGAACATGCTCTCTTTTCCCTCACAGATCAGCGGCTGTTCAGAGCCAGATGTTCTCAAAAGCTTGTTGGAGCTGAAATACCGATGACAGCAAACTCAGTTTTAACTCAAGGACTCAACACCCTTCAGAGATCACAGAAAGAATGCAACATCCAAATACTTGACACGACGAGTGAGAAAATCTTGAACTGAAGAAACAAATACACAAAAGAGCCACACTCGGAGCTGCTTTTTCAGTTTTCTCAGAGCTGTTAATGCTCAGTGCTGAACCTTTGCCTGTTGAAAGGACATTCCGACAGAGCAAGGTGTGCATGATCACAGCAGATTGGGGACATTTGGTTGAATTATTCATATGAAATGAAGCTGAGTAGACAGAGAATGAGTTAAGTGGCAAGCTGGTCAGGGTGCAGACTATTTTCTGAACAAAAGGAAGCTTGAAAAAAAACAGCTGTACACTGAAAACAGCAGCGGCAGCAGTTTCGGCTGTAATCACCAGCTCTCTAGGGTTATTGCACAGGGGTCATCCCATCATAAGGGCCACTAACAGGGCAACAACACAGAGAGTTCAGTGTTAGCTTTACGGTTCATCTCAGACGTTTCTGGCCATGAAATGTCACAACAACCTGAGTGGCTTTTAATGTGGCTTCCTGCTGCCGGGCAAGAGTGCAGCAGTAGAACTAACAGTCCAGCATTTCGGAGAGTAAAGAGCCAGTTTTAATGTTTGTGTTGAACTCATCCCTGAGTGATGAACGGGTCTTTGAACGAGCTTGACATGCGGATGTTTTCTTCACTTATTTTGCTTGATGACTTTTATGACGGAGGAAATGCAGTAACTTTTCCACCAAGCTTTTAGGCTGGTGCTAGTCTTTCTAGTCCTCTCATTCTGGGTCAGAGGACCTCAGATGCAGGAACTTATCTCTACCTCAGCACACATACAGTAACGCTTACCTTTCTCCTGAAACTCCCTGACAGTATGGACACAGATTCAGTCTGCGTGTCTAAGCATGACTGACAGCCGACAGTGGGCGGGCACTGAGGGCAGTGAAGCGAGGAGAGTTTTTTCCGGTTATAATAAAACACTTTAATTGGATTTGTTCGTATGCAGGGGAGCTACTTGTATGGATTAGCATATCAATGCCTTCACACAAATCGTATTTTCAAGAGCATTGAGCACTAAGCAGCGCAAAATTAATTCTGCATGATATGCCTTGGGGGTTGGCACGGTGTTTTCCCTGCGCAGAGGCACCATGGCAGACACCAATGAGCAGGTTTTCAAACGCACATCACACAGGTCCTGAAATCTGGGGCTGGAAGGAAGACTTGATTCAACTTGGAAGGGATGTCTGATACAGACCACTGCACTTTCTTGATCTTGTAGTTTGGAGAGAATTAATCTTGATGTTAATCAAAACTGACAAGATGTTTGGGCTGGACGAGAAAGCCATGGAGGAGGCTGGACTAGCAATGTGGCACACCACTTCCCCTAGTGGGTCGACATGCCAACAGGCCAGGCAGGACACACATGGTTTAAAAACAACCAATAGTCTGTTTGTGAAAGCAGTTTACATTGACATGAGACTGGCTAACTCATGTCAAACAGCCCCTCTCTGCCTGCTCCCCAGAGCCCTGAGGTCAGCTAATCAGGTGGTTTTCAACGTTTCTTGATCCTTTTTAAAATCTAGGGGAAATCAAGCATTTTCTGTTGTGGCTCCCACTCTGTGGAATGCTTTCCCCTTGACAGTGCGCACTGCGAATACCTTTTCCACTTTAAAACACTCCTAAAGACGTACCTGTTATAGTTACTTTTATTGGGTCTTTTATTTGTTGTGTTTATCTGTGCTGTTATTTTATGTTTCTGTATGTATTATGCTTTTATTGTTTTTATAGCTTTTATTATTTTAATTGTTTCTGCCTATTTTACTGTAAAGCACTTTGGTAAGCCACTAGCTGTTTTAAATGTGCTATATAAATAAAGCTTACATTAACACTGAAGTTTCTCTTTTATCTTGAACATTATTATCATCATCAGTTCTTGGATCAATGCACAACTAAGGTGCAAAGAGGTTACAGATGCTGCAAAATATACTTAGTGGAGACTTATGTAGATTCAACTCATTCAGTGCAAACTATCATGTAACCACAGATGAGAGAAGGCAAGCTAAAAGACATGCTAAATTATAGTTTAGATCTGCAGCTGGTGGTTCAATTCAAGTTTTAAAAAAGTTTGAAACCCATTGTGTAAAAATACTCTACATTCAAGCTGTTTTCAGTTTAGTATTTCAGTCAGATTTCAATCAGTTTTCCTGAAGTAAAGTGAGGTATAGATGCTTTGACTGTCACTGTGAGTACTATTGTATATCAGGTTTCGTACAATATGACGCTTTATAAGTGCATGGAATGATATAGATGTTGTGAAATCTATGACTATTTTCTCTCACCAAGAATTCAATGTCAATGAAAATGATGGTCACAATCGCTTTTGCCATAGTAGAACCGCTCACCAAGACGTTTGATGTTTCCTGAGTTTTACCTTTCTCCAGTCTTGAAAGAAGTTCTCCCTGAACACAGCCTTAGTGGTGTATTCATGATCCAACATCTGGGCAAAGAACAGCGCCACCTCTTGGGCTGCAAGACTCAGCTTCACTTTTTTACCTGAAAACACACAAGCACACTTCTTAGAATCAATGTCATGACTCCCACCTCAGCCCCTTCATGGATGTATGAACTGATATGTTAAATTTCAGAACCACGATCAAAGAAAAGGACAGAGATCTTGATTCAGTTCTGACCCTGAGAGCAACGAACAAGTTTATGCAAGTACGGGAATTAACAGATCAGACCAGATCCCTGTGGGACAACATTTGAGCCACACTGTGAAATGAGAGAAAAACAGACATTTGTGTTGGCCTCTGGTTCTTTCTTTTGAATGCAACTTTATCCACTCCTCCAAATCTGACCAATACAACAAATTGTGTCAGTACAGCACCGATTCATAATATATATCATCTCAGACACTTTAAAGAGCAGGGCTGGTTTACGGCTGAAGGAAAAGTGAAGAACTCTTATTCTTGTACAATGTCTGATGGAGTTTATTCCAGACATCCCACTGTTTCTCCTACTGCAGCTTAGGCTCAGCAGCCTGCCGCGCATACAAACCATACCCCCGTCAACACTGCACTTATATGGAATATAATATGTTATGTTTGAGTGTCTCTGTGTGTCTCCACGCCACAGCACCGTAACGCTGAATTTAATGTGTAATGACACACTGGGACACCAATATTGCACTGTTCAGGTTGTCGTGTTAATACTAAGGCACAGTGACGGCTGAGCTCTGTTCCAGCCTGTTTCAAGCTGTTTTTTTCTTGACAGTGTTGGCAAGAGAAACCCTGCCTCATATAAGAATCACCAGCTTAAGAGTGTATTATAGTTACATTATTTGATATTTCAGTTTGTAAATCATATGAGACATTTTTCTTTCAAACTGCTGAAAACACCTACTTCTTTCTTCATGTTTCTTTCTTCCTGATTTTTCTTTCACTGATTTGTTTTTTTTTTCCTCTTTGACCTTATCTTCCTTCCCAAAAGAGTAAATCTGAGCATAGGGCTGGGTGACATGGCCTCAAATCAATATCACAGTATATTGAGGAGTTCACCTCAATAACAATAAATGGATGATAACTACTCCACAAGCTGTTCACCCCTTCCCACATTAACTTCGTCTACTTCAGCCGTCGCTCCAGCCACTCCAACTTTTGAACCGTCCTCCATCTCCTCACCTGTCTTTCCCGCTTTGTTAAGGACTGGATGGGGTGGAGTCACGTCTCCACCGTAGGACAGCGTCTCAAAAGGACACGAGACCATAGCCTACCTACACACATCCGAAACAAACTTTTATTTATTTTTCTGACACCGAATATACTGATATGGGCAAAATGACGTTGGTTACTGACATAAATTTCGGTATCGGTAAATTTTCGGTTTATCACCCAGCCCTATCTGAGCATCCTACTGATCATCTCACGCAGATTTCATTCGGATGACCCGGCATCACTTACCTGTCCTATTCTTTTAATGAGCTTTTTGCAAAAGATCTGCCAAAATTTAAGTGACGGTTTGGTCTTGAACTTAATATCAATAGTTTGCTTTTAAACATGATACTGTCAAGCTTTGCCTAAGACAGAATTTAACCCTGGATTTGCACTAAAAGCCTCCGTTTTTGGTTTAAAATTTTGTTTTACTCGTAGATTTTCTTTAGCTTTGGTCCTAAAACTGCATGTGAGCAAAATGTTAAATACTTCTTTGATGTAGTGTGCTTTTGCTTTTTATTTATTTCATTGTTGGTTGACTTTTTTTTTTTAGTGCTGGTCTTTGGAACACCATCAATGTCACTTCTTGATCACCTACCAATCAGGATAAAGGGGAGGCGGGACTTCTTAAACTGTCTTCATCAATGATAATAGGAGAGGTCTGCACAGAGGAGAATGTTACCACACTGTCTTGTTTCCAGGTATAAATTCTGGATCTGGAGATGATACTAATGCATGGCGATCTCATTTCAACCCTGTTTTAGTCAAACTTCCTCACTTCACTGACCGTCATAATAGAAGTGAACGTCATCTGGCAGGGCCTGAAACTCAGGAGGAAAGAACGGCCCTTTGTGCTCCAGAGACTTCCACTTCACCCCGAATTCATACTTCTCCTCTTCCCACCTGACAAAGAGAAAGATGATGATAACATCAGGAGGGTGAAGATTGCTGCTCCATGGTTCTCACATACAGATGATGTGTTTGGTTGTATGTGTGGATGTGGTTGTGAGGTGAGGTCCGGGTCAATGTGTAATAGAAAGAGCAGCATTTTCAGACCATCTCCAGCGATTCTGCTCCTCCTCCTGCTTCAGTTTCATCTTCAACTGCTTCGCCTCCTCGATCTCCTCCTTTGTCTTCTTGGGTTTTTTGGAGACTGGCTGCTCTCCTTCCTCCTTCTTTACTGCCTGGACCAAAATAAATTAACATAATCACTGAGTTTTATATTGAAAAGCTGAACTTGGAAACAGCTGAAATGAAGAAGGCAGATGGTTGTGCACCTTTTCTGTTTTTTTCCTTTGACTTCTTTTTCGGAGCCTCTCCGTCTGCGTCTTCCTCCTGATCATGGCGTTTACTCTTTCGAGCAGCAAAGACGAGCAGAATACAAGCTCACCCGTGATGGTAAAATGTTATTATGTAATCCCCTACCTTAATTAAAAATGTTCATATATTCTGAAACAACTTAGTTAACTACATTCAATTAGTCAGTAAAGCTTTCATTTGGGGTCAAACCACGGCTCCTAGACCTGGTCAGACTTACCTAGGTGCTAAAGTGGAGTGTGAGGATCCGTCCATTGGCTCATCCTTGACTCTTTTTCTTTTTAACCCTTTCTTCTTCGAGGTAAAGTCGTCATCCTCTTGTTCCTGTTTCACTGATTTACTAAACCACAGCAAGGGAAGAGTAGAGTTGTTGTTGTAAACGAAAGGCTGACTGCAGAGGGCTGTTATCTCAATCAATCATTCAATCAAACTGTATTTATAAAGTACTTTTCATACACAGAATGTAGCACAAAGTGCTGTCCAGGACATTAAAATAAAATAAATACAAATACAAATACAGAACCCCACCCACCCTAATGACCCCTATTCAACACATACAGCACTCACACACTCACACACAGATGCACGCACAAAAGACCAGGTGAGGACTCTTCAACCTGCCACAGGTGACTGAGGGAACGCTATCTTGAGTTAAAAATACGGAAACACTGGACCTACGACTAAAGCGATAAAACCTTCAAACCAAGGTAATAAAGTGTTAAAAGTGAATTAAATAAAACAGTTTTAAAATCAAACAATAAAAGAAATTAAATAAAAAATCTAAAATCTTGAACACGTCAGACTAACACCCTCCAAAGAGTTGGTCGATAAATTGGTTGATGAGCTCTAATCCAACCAAAAACTCATTGGTCAGATGATTGTCACTTACATATAGGGATGTCCCAATCCTATATTGACATTGTATATCGATCCAATATCAGCATAAAAACATATCAAATTATATCGGCCTGCATCTAAAATCTCCAATATCAGCACTCCGATACAAGCAGTCCATTCAAGACTCCACTCCAGCACCTCTACCTAGCAGTGCCCGGATCCAGCATGCAGAGCCCACGAAATCACAACAACAGTGTGTACTAAGGTACTGACGAAGTAGCAAGGAGTGGGAGTGATGTTGGCCTTGTGTCAGTATTTTTCCTTCAGGTCCGAAAAAGACATTGCAGCTGAGCGCAAAACGAAGGATCACGCACAAGTTTGTGCCAATATCTGTATCGGCCAATACTGAAGGTTACAATATCAGTATTGTATTGGAAGTAAAAAAGTTGTATCCGGACACCCCTACAATGTGAAAAGAAAAGCTTGATCATCATTTGCTGGGGAGGGCTAAAAAGTGTTTAAAAAATGCACTAAATTGTATAAAAGGTATTTAAATATATATGTTAATAACCTTCAGTGCTGTCATTTTGTTCTACTAAATGAATCCCAGCGTCTTTTGAGTCTTTTTTTTACCAGTTTGGAGGTTATTATGTTTAAAACAGAAACTGTAAGCCACATTTCTATTCTTGAATGTATCATACCGTGCACTGGTGTCTTTGAGCACAATTTAGCTGTTAGCTTAATGTTCATTAATTGCCCAGTGAAGCTGGAACAAGTGAGTCCTGTTAATAAATGTTATAAAAGAAGACAAAATAATCATCTGAGTTATTTTGTCATTAAGTCTATATCACCACAGTGCTGTGTTTATCTGTCAGTATAGTTACAGATTTACAAGATCATATAAATACAAGCTGTTTTTTTAATATAGTGTAATGAGATTAAAGAATTGTCACACTGACAGAAGTTTATGTTTATTTCATACTTTTAAGAGCTTCAGCCAGACTGAAATGACTGCACTGCAACAGAAAGATGGTCAAGAGAAAACATGCTGTTGTTCTTCCCATCGACTAATCGATTGGGTGGTGAGTGGGCGTACTTTTGGTCGACCAAGTTTTCCTTGGCTGACTACAACCTTTAAAATGAGCTCTTATTTGTTCAAACCTACAACACACTGTGTGGCAGCTTTGAAGCTCCAATCACCTCTTTTAAACTCCAGTTAACACAGGTATTCTTGTAATCAACCCAAATTTATACTATTGTATGAACCTCTCTGTTTCCCTTTCATTTCCCTTTAAAAAATTACTGGGGCTGCTGATTCTGATTAGCCTTTACTCAACAAGATAATAACAAGGCAGAATAAAAGCTTAATGGCTGCGTTTTATTTGCTCTCTTCATCACTGCTGGCTCCAGAGTCAGGACAAAATTACCCTGCATGTGTGATGGGAAAAACATCCAACAGTGACACACTGACCACACGAAATCACGTGTAATGATTCTAATGAAGCAGCAACATCATCGAAACACTCATGATAATGACATAATTACAACAATTTTAAAAAAGACATTTAATAACGCAACTGCAAGCTTGGATTTCCTGCAGAGTGAGGAACGGACTGGAAGGAAGATTAAGAAATCAACACGGCACAGCCTGCTAATAAAAAAAAAGAACTACTCCTTTTCCTTCTCCTACGTTCAGTTATAAGACAAATGGCACAAATGGAGCTCATAATGATCAACCCGCCTCCCTGAATCCCAATTACCGGGGACCGTGGTAGGAGCTATGTGGCATGAACTTGTGAAGCTAATGCACTCTCCCCTCACTGCCACAGTGTGACCTCCTAACAGCTCCCCACTGAGTTTGCAGCCTTCTCTCAGGATCCCTGGTCTCACATGACATTTGGGTCATTCCATGTCAATTCAACCAAGAATCTCCACTCATGTCACAGATTTTGATGAAATTTGGTGGAGTGATTGGCCTTCAGGGGAAACTGACAGATCTCAAATATTTTTGTTCAAAGCCATCTAATTAGTGAGATAGGGGCTAACGAATTTTTGGCTAATTAGCATGACATGCGTTACAAAAGTGTTCATATCTCTGGAAGTATGGCACCTAGAGAGCTGATCCAGGTGTCATTTTAAAGCCCTCTTCAAGATCTATCTTTTTGTTCACAGCATTTTTTCCCAAATTGGACCAGAAAAAAAATTATAAAAGACCAAAAACTTAAATTGGAAATAGCAAAAAAACGCGCGTCCTTCAATTTTGTTCATATTCACACTCAAGAAAGACTATCATGTCCACTAGCATCCCTGCAAGTTTCAGGGTGGGCATTCCATAACTTTTTGAGTAATCAGTCAAAATGTGTGGTACGTTAGGTCGAAAATCGCCATATCTGACACATTATACAGTCCTGACCTCATCTGGAGTCAGCCCCACTTGCCTGCTTGTGTAAAATATTACTTTCTCATAGTGCAAAATGCTTTTTTTGAGTTTTTTCATTTGTATGTTATCCCATATTTATATGAAAAATGGCTAGAATAGCTTATTTTTGCTCAGTTTTCCATCGCATTTCATTTCTATTTGCACCTATATCCAGAATATGAATGATCTTAGCTTCATGGGAGAATCATTTGGACATACCTGCATGTCCTGGATCCTAGGGTTGACAAATAACTTCTACTTATGCACCCTGAAATGTTGTTGCTGGTTTCCCTGTGAAGTATTCCAGGCTATTTATCCTGAGCCCTTTTAACGTTTCCTTTATACTTCAAAAGTACTTTTAGCATGGTGATCAAAAATTGCTGACTAACTATTTGCTCACTTTATTTATCACAGAGCTGTGAATTTCTTCCCATCTTTACTTCTGGGGTCCCAGTCTTGTGACTGTCCTCTTGCAAATTAACCTAAATAGATAGATGTTTCTCTGTGTGTTCGGTATTCTTCAGCATTACCCAACCTCTTCAGTATTTTTTATTTTCTGTCCCAACTTTTGTGATACATTTTTTTTAAGGCATCAAGTTTAAAATGAGGATGAGCTTTTAACAAAGCAGTACACTTTCTCAGTCATTATTCAACACGCTGTCTTTATACTGCTCTACATAAAATACCGTTTACACGACTAAAATCTGCTTTTATTAACGCTTTACACTGCATCTCAATTTTGATTTGGGTCTGAGAATGTAATGTAAAACCCCCAGAAGAAAAAAAAAGTTACTATGTTATATGAGTCAAAGTGTTTCTGTGAAAATGGTCAGTTGTAAAAAGCTTGGTGTTCACAATGGCACCACCCTGTTTCCAGCGCCGTGTGTCATTTGTACTTTTTTACCGTTGCATTTATCCAGCATGGTACTTTAAAGTCCAGACCCTTAAGCTGGGATACAGAACTTATTCTTTCAGAAGCTCTCACTGGAGACCTGCACAGCTCAAAAGTCCATGACAACATAATTACAGTCCAGGCTTCGCCACACTTTTGCTTTTGAGTGCTTATTCAAACTCACATGGCATTTTTTTTCCACAAAGACCTCACGCTGGCAAAATAATCTCTCCCACATTGTCGAACATGGGAGAGCATGGTTGCTTTTGTGCGAGGCTTTGTACATCGGCAACCATCAAGTATGAATGGGATTTCTAAGTCTCCTATCCGAGCACACAGAAAAGCACTGATTCTTGTAATCTCAGCCTTAGCAACACAGAGAAAAAAAAGCTTTTAATATTTACACCACATATTTTATATAACACGGTGAATGATTTGTTTACTCCTCCAACCTCAGTGGGTGTTGTCTTCAAGCAGGTTAGTGTAAGTGCTGAATGTAGAGGGGAAAAAATGGGTGTATAGAAGTGGTCAGAATTCTAGCTTTACTGCACTACTGAGAAAAATCCATAAAAGGCTATACAAAGAAAGGTGGGTCACTGCGCCCATTGACATTTACGGTCTGTGGCTCTAATAGCCTTGTGTTCCTTCCCAAACTCTGCTGCCAGGCCTCAACTTTTCTTTCCGCATGAAACCCTCTCGGCTAGCACTGTTGCCACTTTAAAAGGGGAACACTAAATGCCAGAGTTTGGCAAAAGTTATGAGATCTATTTTTAAATGTCACTTATTAGATTGTGATGGGAAGGTCCACTTTAAGGGATCAATCCATTAACAACACCGTAGAAACATTGCTGTGAGACAAATTCAATGCAGCAGGCCTTGGACCAAGTTCTGCTTTCCAGGCAACACCCTGCTGAGCATCTTGCTACTCAAACTATGCATTCTCATTTATTACTTTCCTGACAGGCTGCAGACATTTGTCTTCAGCGCAGAGGGAGATTAATTCTCTGTGAGACAGCTTAACACTTGGTATAAAATGAGTATGGCTTCTATCCAGAGTCTTGACATCAAAACACAAGGATTCATTTACATCAATTCAGAAAAGGGGGAAGGATTGAAGGGGGGGAAAGGGAGAAGAAGAGAACGGTAGTGTCTCCATAACAATCACTTTATAGTCTGCTGTCTGCTCATAATCGCTGTCTTGAATAACGGGCAGTAATAACTTCATCCCTACCTGGGGCTGCTGGGTGGCTCTGGGGACTCTTTCTGAGGAGTCTTGACCTATGAGGAAGACAAGAATAAACATAGCTTCAAAATGCACTCAGATGTCCTACAAAGCGGTGTATACTTGTATTCACATGCATAATATATACATGTAATCTTAAACCCCAAAAGCAAATGAACAGGATTGTACATCTGTGCACATTCGACACATATAAAACAGTGATGCCAAACCTTGCTGCCTTTGTTTGAGGCTCCTGGGAGAAAACATGTCTTTCCGTCTTTGTGCGTTTATCTTTGAATTTACAATTTGGTGTCTTAAAACTTCACTTCCTAGATGAGGCAATATTTGCAATTTTAATGTTTTTTTTTTAAATGGTTCTTATGTCTCTGCTTGTCAAGAAACTGCCACAGATTCAAAATAAGATAAGTTTTAATGTATCAGTTAAATTCAAGAGGTAGTGAGTATTGTAAATGTTTATTTTAAATTGCTGTAAATAACCAACAGATACATAAAAAGATGACATTCGAAAATAAGTTTAAAGCAATCCCCACAGTGAAAAGCAACTGAGTTAGGTGAAGCAAAGACATACGCAGCAATTACGCAGAGCATGCAAACAGCATATGCACTCACGTTTTCAGGTAGATGTCATATTTTTTGTATACAACATTGACTGACGTAAGAGGGCAAATGGTGACATATGTCTGATTTCATTTAGTAAATGTTCATGTTGTCATTGTTACCTTGCAGCCAGTTCAAGTTTTGGAAATAAAACTCAGTACGCTTACATGTACAGTTCATGTTCATTCTCAGTTCAAGCACAACTGTGGAGCATGCTTGCAACATCAAAGCCAGTTTGGGGCCAGCTGAAGAGTTTATACATGCAAGAGAAAGTCAATCTACAACATCGTTATCTAGGTATTTAGACGGACAAACATGTTTTCATGTTTTTCAAAAGTTCACTTTGAGTCAGCCAACACTAGACATGGACCTTTTTAACGTCATGTAAACATACTGACTGGAAACTTCAAACAATTAAGAAGACTTTGGAGTTCTGTTGAACTCATTTATGCCACTTCTTTGTGATCACTAACTCCAGCAGTGACTCTGGTATCCCGTAAAGTGTGCTTGCATGCCAAGCTCAAGCCAGGTTGTTGTATTTAAAGTGATTTCTTTATAAAGTCACATACAAATTCAATATAACCTGTAAAAAAAGCCTCACTCAATTTAAGTCAAGGTCTTTTGAACAGTTTCATATTTTGAAAGATAAAGGCAGGTCTCAAATAGAAGTCTGTTTGACAGGCTCTGTTGTGACTTTTTGACTTTCAGTGAATGAAAACACGCCACATTTCACCAACTGCCACAACGAGTCAGATAAATCAGAGGGTCTTAAATGCTGTCAGGCTGTCCAGTTAGTACTCAGAAGCTGATTCTCCAAAGTGTTGAAGCATATGAGAGAAAATATAAAGTTCAACTTCAACTTCTGTTTGAAAAGGGCAAGAACACCAACTGAGGAGCAGTCAGAAGTAGGTAGTGATCAGCTGGAGCACAAAAATGAGTCACTATACAGCCCTAAAGCATCACTGATCAAGAAAAAGTCTTGAGAAATGTAAACCCGAGTGAGTGCTTGCTTTAAAAATGGAAATGAAGACTGAAATGACAAGAACTTAATCTTTTCTGGGCAAAAGTTTTGCTCTGAAATAATTTCAGCCCTGCCTCCTATCGACGACTGTTTCAAGTAAAAGCAGAGTGAGTCGAGTCTGTCAACTGAAATAAAACAAAGTCAAACTAAAAATTCATTTTGATCATCTTGAAGCTTTGACAACGGTTGCTATACCCTAATTTTCTCCACTTGGTAGGTCTGCTTGGTATGCATATAAATATATCTGTTGCTGGTTTCAAATAGCATGGAGGTAATCTATTAGGACAAGCTGTTACGCACACTGTAGCTGTGGCATTCTGAGCTGAGGTCAGTGAGTTACAGGCTGGAGTTTTCTCCCTGGTGTATCACATGCTATTTCTGACAGGACAAGAGTTATGGATATGGTGACCACCACGAGTCCCGGTCAAAATAACACAGGTTCTATTTATGTATTCTGGATGTAGGTCAAACTTAACATATTACATGTGGGAATCCTACACAGTCAAACTGAGAAATGTGAAAAGAGAAGAAGAAATGAGTGATTTACCTTCTTGTGAGACTTCCCATTGGGAGTCTTCTCTGTAGATTTGGTTGACTTTGCACTGTTCATCAAGGTGTCAAGATGGAGCGGATAAAAATGAGAGGGAAGGAAAGCGTTTATTAGTGAGGCAGCATTCGTAACACGCGAACAGAGAAAATTCTACAGAAGTGCAAAGATGAAGCTGCTTCCACTTCAACTGTGAGATGACTGAAGAGGCCCTTAAGACCAAGTTTGAGCTGCACTTTTATCAAGTAAGGGCTTACAGTGAGAGCATATAGATTCTTGTCTTTAACTGGTTAGTAGCAATATATAAAATGCCACTTATCAGACAAACTGAGAGTCCTTCAACAGCTAAGAACATTTTCTTTTTCAGTTTGACCTTTACGCCCATCAAGAAAGGATGTAATATGAAACTGAACAGCAACTATTGCTCTATTTTTATCTAGAATTTCTGCATGTTAAGCCTCAGAGTGAAGCAATTCAACTTGAAAAGCAGGACGCTTCCGTCATGCTTGGGAAAATTAGTTCCATGAGTCTTGTAGCTGATGAGGATAAGTTGATCCTTAATCAGTAATTCAGCCAGTGTGCCATGAAATAACATGAGGCTAGCTGTCACGGAGAGCTGCCTGCTTCACTGCCAGAAGCACTTACAGGTGTCTATTCATCTCCCTACTCTCATCAATTACACAAGCCAATGACAGATCACTCCACATTCATTTGTCTGCTCACATATGCATGGTAATAAACGCATCAGATATCAAGGTAAATTAATTTATTCATATGAAGATGGAGTACACACTGTACTCAGTCGAATGAAGGGATTCACTCGACGACAACGACCTGCTCGACAGCTCAGCCAGTGTAGCATTCTCCCGGTAACACTGTGTCTGCCCTTTAGCAGCGCACAAATACTGCCATATGGCTTTTAATCCCATCTGATCCATCATCATTGCTTGTATTAATATTTCATCCAAATTAATTTGTCCTCACTTATCAAAAATGTGAGAGGCAATGAAACTTGGAGGATCAATTCAAAAGTAACTCTGATGTGCGGACTTCTGATGCTGAACAGATGTTGGATGAGCTGCAGTCAAGTCACATTCATTTATCTAGAGGGAGCTGCTGAAACTTGGCTGTAATGACAGAGAGTCTTACAGGCATCTAATTAGATAACAGCACTTAGCAAGATCTTGATGGAATAGTTATGAGTGCCACAGTAGGGGGAAAGGGTCCATGTATTATCCGTCCATTCAATTATTCCATTCAATCTAGTGAACAAAAAATGAAAAAAACGAGTAAACATTTTATTTGTTTTTCTATATAATAAAAAAAATAGTGTGTTTTTTTGTATTTTCTGCTCAAAACAGAATATATAATAGAGAAGGAAATGAAAACAAAATAATAAATCTCATTTACAATTACTGATTTTGAGTGCACCTGTTTTGAGCATACGTGCATGGAGGCTACATTGGCCTTCCCCGGATCCTCAGCAACAGTTACCATGGCGAAAGATGCGACAGAGCGGTTCGAGCTGCAAAATCTTACGTTGTAACGATAGACTGTATATAGAATGGACAGAGTCTGCCTCCTTGCTGGGTGAAGCCACTCCGAGAACAGCACCCTCTGTTGATGGGCTGCAGTATAGCTCATAAATCCCCCCCCCCGCAAGATAAGCTTATGGAGCTGTGGATAAACTTTAGAAATGTATTACACAGAACATAAATTTGTCTCCACCCCTGCTTGCGATGTTGACATGTAGCTACATTAAGACTGGTTGTGCTCAAGTCCTCTTTTTTCTATGAAGCTCTTTTTTAAAATCTTTGATTGACACCTGATACAGCCTATTGGCGTTCAGGGATTGCGTAGCTCACCCGGGGGATACGCTGTTTGAGCTGAGCGTCATCACAGTGACTCTCGGCGACTCTCCCTCCAAATGCGCACAATGCCACTGTGCCGCGCTGATTTCAGGAAATGAAGAAAAATCCCAGAAATACCAAGAAATTTTTGGCTTTAAATCCGTAAACAGGCGGGAGGCGGAACCAAGTTGTCCATAGTATATACAGTCTATGGTTGTAACAGAGTTCTACAGTCATATCTTCTTCCTTCAGCGTGACCCTCCTGGCGGCTCTGAATAATACTTAGGATGCATCCATCTCCATGACAGCAGGTTAGCCTTTAAATAATGACTCATTTTTTCATTTTTTTGTGTACTAGACTAAATGGAATAATTGAATGGACGGCTAGTACACGGAGCAGAAAGTAACTGACTGAATTCCCATAGACTAAGAAGACTATAAAATAAAATGTTAACAATTTATTGTCTTTAAGTTATTTCCGTTTTGTTTTTTTTTAATCAAAACTGAAAGAATAAATATGACTTTTTATCCCCTCGAAAATTGTAAACCATCTTTTCAGTTCCTGTCATCTGTTCAGAAAGAGAGGAAATTTCCATTTACTCCAGTAGATGCATAAAGAAATATGTGCAAGCTACAATATTGCTAAACAGTCAAACAATTGAATTGTTCATATTAATCTATATCATTTTTAACATTCAAAAGTTAATTTGCTGTTTTTGTATTTGAATCAGCAACTGGCTCTTTAAATATTTTATCAACAAATAGAATAACTTGATTATAATAACTTGCTAACCTGTCGAGATGGACCAGAGAGGACCACAGATGCTTTACTGATTGGGTTTGAGACAAATATACAGTCAATGTAAAGCAGTCTGATTATTTCCAGGTGCAATCAAGAGTGAACTCTGTGTGTCTGCATGTTTTTCGATATGCTGTACTATTTGGTGTTTATGAAACTATATCTTATTTCAGATGTCATAGAAGAAGACAAGAAGTACATCGCTCTCTCGTGATAACTTAAACGCCATTTTCAGGGTGTAATGGGCAAAAAAGTGTGGCTAAAGCTGTTGCTCAGGTCTGACTTCAGCTGTGGTGTCAGGGCTCAATATGATACCTTCTTATCAGACCCATAATTCCTGGTGACACTCTTTGAAACGGTTACTTAAAAGCCACTAAACTCTAGCTTAAAATAATGAACTTATTCACAAATTTTGCTTTCACGCAAGAGCACGTATGCATTACAGACCTGTTTTTGATGGTAACATTATCTCCCACAGCACCTGCGCTCTCTTTGTCACTCAGCTTTTTCAGCTTCATAGCTTTGCGTTTCGCCTTCTCGTCGCCTTTGGCGTCCTTCTCTCCTCCCATCGCTCGCATGAACCTTTGAGAGGAGCAAGCACGGTGAAAATTACAATGACCGGCGGACTTCCCTGTTGACTTAGCCAATTAGCTAGCGGCACTTAGCTAACACAGCCATGAAGGAAAGCTTAGCCAGTGAGTTCGATCATTGCAAATACGTCCTTACTCCTTGTTTGTGGATTAGACACTAATTACTCAAGCATTCGTTATCGTTCAACTATCTCTTGAATTTTGACAGAAATAGCTCTGTATTTCAATGATAATACAAACTTTTGGGGGGTTAAGGTGATGGACAGGTGGACACCGCTCGTCGCTGCGTTGAGTTGATTGTACGTCACCTCCAACTGGATCCTGATTGGCTCACGAAGTTCCGGGTTTTGCGTAGCGCAACTCTGCGTTCAGGTGTACTAAAAAATAACCGGATTTTTTTATTAAACTAATCATACAAGCATATTCACAAAGTTAAATAAGAGAAAAAGAAAGATCAAATAGGTTTTCAGTTCAAGTCCGTCTGAATCTTTGTAAAAACATGAACATTTTTACAGCCCTCTTAGTACGAAGTTGCCTACTTTGTGTGATGTTACGCAGATGCAGTCCTAAGAGTGTTGAAACTCTTTTTATGAGTTAGTCATCTCCTTTACTCTATATACTCGGAATTTTCCCATCTCTTAATTTAATATGACAAATTATATCATTATCCTTCTTCTTTTTTGTACATAAATAAATGATTAAAACACATACTGTTAAATTCAAATGAAAATAAAATTCAAGATCAACTTTATGCAATTCCAGGCTAAAACATTCCATATATTATCTACACTTTAATAAAGAGCAAATATTGACAACTTACATGGACGAAAATGCTGACTGTTTGGCAGTATTTTGAGGTGTTGCACACAGATGGAAAACCATCTATTTGCAATGCCATTGACACACACAATATGAGAAGGGACAAAAGAACACCATTTTCACACTACTTCTTTAATTGTGCATCTCAAGAACTGTCATCCAGAACCACAAAGAGTTTCTTAAGCAAAAAAGACTGTGAAAAACTTCATGTCAATCATTCAACAAAACAAAACAAACAAAAAAATACAGCAGTGACAAACTTCAGGGAAAAGAGCTGTCTTGTTTTGTGTCTGTTTCTCAGACAAACAGACTGTTACAGTAAAAGCTAACAGGTAAAATTCTAGTGCAAGTAACATTTGTAGACCGTAGGATAAATAAAGGTGTGTAGCTGTATTGGTGTTATCATCTGCCGATATAGTTTGACAATTCTGGTGTATCAGATATCTGCAAACATCCGATCTCATGCATCCCCAATTATTACACAGTTGTTCAAATATATATATATATATATATATATATTGAAGGAACATGAAAGGTCACTGTATCTGACAGACTGCTCAATGTGTGACATACTGCTGTGGATGACAGATAAAGTGGCTCAGAGCTGATATATTTCTGCTATCACTATATTGCGTCACATTGGCAGACAAATGATTGATCATTTTACCTTCAATGTCAAATCCTAATGCTCTCATCTGAGTTTCAGTTCGCTAAATGATTTGTTGTCATTTAAGCCCCCCACAGTGGGCTGCAGGTGATGATTTATGTCTGCATTTTCAAATGTAAGACCAGGACACGTCAATCAGACAAACAAGAATTGCACAAAAGTTGTGCATAATTGTATGCAAAATCTGAAATCAAGTGATATCAGGGTCAAAATTTCAGGCACCAAAACTGTAGAATTTCACCATATATTGTAATCATGAGTGAAGGAGGGTGCTCATCATTGTAAGTAATGAAAATTACATATATGAAACCATATAAATATGGTTAGGGGCATCGGTCAGGAAATCAGAACTCAATACTAAGTCAGAATAAATTACTTATTCCTTTACTGCTTAAGCTTTGCTGCTAACGTTCACTATTTTCCTACCACAAAGAGTGATGACTTGACCCACAAACATCCACAGTACTACAGTGCAGATAAGGAACAATTTCTTTTGTTTTGAAGGTTCTCTTTGTTTACTCCACTCAAACTTCATCACAAAAACTCATCCTCCTGAGAAACATTTTGAGGCATGCAAACAAACATATTTATCATTACAGAGGAATGTTTTACACAAAGTTGTTTTTGCTTTTGGTCTCTTATTTTGTATTAGTGTTTCTGTTATTTTGGAGATGAAAATACAATACTATACAATAATACAGTACAATACTGTTATTTATCCCCAAAGGAAATTCATTTGTCTGGAGTCTCATGAAACATTTTCTCTGGAAGGACAGTTAACAAACTTAAGCGTTACACCATCTCTGGTTGACAAATAAAGCCAGACTTCCTCCTTTCCTCTTGCCCCTACTTTTGGCATCTCTGTTTGACCTTACGGGAGTGAAGCCAGGTAGATCCACATTGGAGTCTGAGTTGTTTTGATCCAACCAGGTTTTGTAAAACACTGCACTCACGGCATGCTTTCCCAGTCTCCACCAATACCTCCAGCTCATTGCTTTTGTTGGGCAGAGAGTTGATGTTTCCCATAATGCCTGATAGAATAAAGGGCTTATAACTCCATTTTCTAGCCTTTAACTTTGCCTTCACTTACACGCCGGCATGGCAACCTCAAAAACACCTCCTGATGTCTGCTGGGCTGGCATTGGATGTTGTTGTCCAGATTTTCTCTGTTTTAAGGAAATAGCTCATCTCTTTAATAAACTCTTCTCTCCCAGCAGCCAGCAAAACACAACAAAAACATGAAAAAATAGAACAAAAACTGAAGAAAAATCTGGAGGGACTAAATTTTGCAGCTTCTTGGTCGAGCGCAGGTTCTTTAAAAGATGCATGTGAGTTAAAAAATATAAATAATACCCAAACATTCTGTATGAAAATAATTATGCACAATATACACCCTTGTGTTTTTTTTTTTTTTAAGTTATATTTTGGGGCATTTTTGCCATTAATGGAAATGGTTTACACACAGCTACAGCGTGACCACCTGTCATACCTCCAATTCACCAATCTTGTAACCTTAACACGTAACCAAATAGTGTTACATTGAAATTCACTCCTGGCACAGTGGGCATCATTAGAGCCCTGAGTTACTCAGACCAAAACCCTTTTTTTTTAACCAGGGTGTGAATGTGTTCATGTTTTTCTCTAAAAATTGTATTTTCTTTTGGCTTCCAGAGCTTCTGCAGCCTGCTGCCAATGGGACCTGCAGTTTCAAGCACTTCATTAGGCTATCTGCTTTATTTTTCAAGACTGGAGGTTGCTGGTTCACATGTTCAAAGACAATAGACTTTCAATGAGTGATACATTTGACAATATAAAGAGAACAGGATGGGATTTTTGTATAATTATATGGATACATAAATGTTAGTAACACATATCAGCCAAAAACAGCAAAAATGAAGATTGTTGGAGGGTTGGGGGGAATCAAAACCAACACAAACTTAAAGTCCCTCAGAGTAGCTTTATTGAGTTTTAACCCTAAAACACTATCACTGGGTGATTTTCACCTGACCAAACATGTATACGTGATTTTCATTATGTTGCGTTTGTCTGAGTATCATGTGTCCCTGAGTAACTTCAGCATTGCCTTTGACATCTTTGAAGGCATATTTGTTTCCCTGATCCAAAATCTGCTTTTTCTTGACAGAGGGTAAAGTAGATTTGGGTGGATTTGATAGCTGCATGTAGGCGAAAAAGGTCAGTAAGAGTGGTCCTGGAATTTGCATGCTTACTTTATTTTGTGCAGTGGTTATGAATAACTATCACAAAATAGTGATCTTAAGGGAATCCATGTAATGATAAGAAATATTTTAGTCAGCCGGTCATTTTTACTCACTCACAAAATATGCCATATTTTGGTTCTCTCTCCTGCAGCTGTTATTGTGCCAAAGACCCTGAGTCACCAGGGAAGACTCACATGCCCCAGGAATGGGTGGAAAAGAAACTAAGTTTACAGTTCCAAACTTTTTTTTTTTTTTTTTTGCAAGGATTTTTTTTGTTCATGAATGCCTAATTTCAGTTATTTGGTTGCATTATTATATGGTCCCCTCATGGCACTTTCCCCCTCCCTTTGGACATTGCACAGTTAAAATGAAAAGAAAACTACTTTAATTTGTCACGTGTTGTCCTATTTTGATATATTTTGATGACAAGTTCTTTTTCTTGGGGATATTATTTCAGGTAAAAATCATCCGGCGATAGTGATGGTGTTACTACTTTTAGCGATAGTGTTTTGGATGATTTTCTACACTTTAGCTCGAATAATACAAGAATGATCGTCTGACTGCTCGACAGTTTTTTTTTCTTTTTCTTCCAAGTTATAAGTTTGTCCTTTGCCCTCTTGCCTGTTGCCATGACAGCAGTACTGTCCCTTTAAGACACCCGGAAACAGTTTTCCCTGTGTGTTCACTGGTCACGGGTCCCAAACAGAAAGCTGAGCTTCTTCCCCGGCGATGATATCCCACCCTGTGATTCGGGCTTTTCGCAGCAGTGTCAGGTGCTGGAAACACCGGGCTCTCTTCAAAGCAGCTCCGTGGGCCTCAGACGTCAGCGGCTGGCGCTGGTTCTCCGCTCCACTTCGTGGCAGTGTCACGGGCATGGATGATATCCTGGCGAGGGTCGTTGCACCTATACCTACGTACGAGACGAGAGACAAATCCCCTCCTCCTCCTGAGTCGAACAGTTTGGAGTTTATGCACTTCTACAAAAGCCTCAACAAAGAAGGAAAGCTCGATGTATTGACGAAGCTGTCCCAGGACTTCGGGGTGGACCATAAGAGCGTCTCAGAGCTCGCCCTGAAGCTGCTGGACACCCAGCTCAGAGATCTGGCGACCATTTTACAGGTCGAAGATAGGCTACGGTACAGCCTGAGTCCCCGTTATAAACAGTTACTCAACCATATAAGCAGGGTCGAGGGTGGAGTGAAGTTTCTGGTGGATCTCCGAGCTGATGTACTTGAAATACTGGCCTCTAAAGCCAGCGAGAGCCCGCACATCAGGGTAAAACGTTTGTTTATTTTTTTCTACGGGTGCCTGCGTGAGTCAGAAAGTGCCATTCGCGCACAGGTGTTTGGCGCCACTATGGAAAAACCAAAATGTAAAATTAATATAAGGCACGTTTAGTGAATATAAACAGTAGGCTACGTGTGACTGCTTACACAACCAGCCTTTTCCTCTGAGCCCCCACCCGGCTTTGCCCGCTCACATGGTTTCACATTTCATCACAGCTTCAGCAGCAGATACCTTTGCCCTAGTTCACCCCTCTTACTTGGGGGGAGTAAGACTGCTCTTGTGTCCAGTGTTGGGCAAAGTGCACAGCTTTATCACTCAAGTTAAAGTTAGGATAATTCTGGTCACGTTTTACTCCAGTTTAAGTTTAAGTTGTACAGTCAAACTATAACTTGACTCCAAGTAGTGAGGGAATAGTTCTGAGAAATCTCAATGTTTTTATTGATTAATTATTTCATAATGCATGTAAAAAATTCATGGGTGTATATTTTGCTTATCGAGAGGTTATTTTAAAGGTCTGTGCTACCAACAGAGTACTTACATGCTCTGACTTGACCACTTTGGTCAACCAGGCTTTGCACAGAGAGAAAATGTCATTTTTATCAAACATCAAGGCCTCTGGTACTGCCAAAGTTCCCTTTGCTTATTTTTAATTCTCTGCAGCACTGTTAGCATCCATCATGTACTCATGTGACAACTTCTCTATTTATACTCTTGATGATTCTGATGACTTAGTGATCATGCTCTGTAATGCATCTTGATCAAGACCACGTCATGCTTTGGTGAAGCAAGATGTTGGTCCCAAAAAAGTTATTGCCTTGTGCATGGTGTTGAAAAATTAGCCTGCCTTGACTCAGGTGCAATGATTGAGTTTCTGTCAGATGCCTATGCTAATTTATATCCCAGGATTATTTTTAGTTAGGTTTTGACTCTACATTTAGCCATGACAATGTGCTAAGCACAGGTATGGCAACACCTCTTGGACAATCCATCTGCAGAATTACTGAGACAACTTGTCTTTCAGATCTGATTTCACAAAACAAAAATAATCAGCTGACTTAAGAGCAAAACATCACCTGTAATGGGACCATTGATAGAAATGTTGTGAATTCAGAAGTACAATATTTGAATTCCACCTGGGACTCCAGCGGGATTTCTTTATATTTTCTGTTGCTTTTGGCCCCATATATCAGCTTTCAGTCCTTTTTTTCTTTTCTTTTCTTGACAGCTTTTCATCTTTGTTGCTTAAAGCTCTCGAGTTCAAAAGGCCCCGTGGCACCTTCAGACTTGACATGAGGAGGTTCCTAGCTACTCTGCTGCACAGCTGAAATAAAATAGTAGAATAAAATAAGTCTTATAAAGAACAAATTGAACATTTTTCGAGGAAATGTTCAAAACACTATTTAGAGAAAAGTAAGTTTTAGAAAGAAAACTTCAACCTCTCCATCAAGCAAACATTTCTCCTGTGCTTTTACGCGCTCATTTCTGAATGGTTATTTTTTTGAAAAGTTAACCTTTTATGTGTTTTGTACTTTGTAGTTGAGTTCAGTCAGATATAATGACCAGGTTCAATCCTGAATGCAGGTCTGAGATGCTGGAGTTTCAATGTAAAGCTTGAAAGCTGGAGTAGTTTACAAATAGCGAGCTTGCTGTCAGGCTAATTCTTTGCTCTTAGTTTGTCCTGATATGTGCTCTCCTTACACCTTTATCACGCAGATGGAGGCAATGAAGAAATTTTTATTCTGTCTGGCTTCTTAGCTTGATGTTTTTGCCGTTCTACTACAACTGCCAGAAAGCAGGATACTCTTTGAATTCATATTTATATGCATGCCACTTATTTTCCGTCTGAGTGGGTTCATTCTTGAATCTAAAAATGAAACGATAAAGAGTAAAATCCAACCACAGTTTACCAAAGCTCAAGAAAAGAAAAGCAACAAATCCTCTTTTGTCAATAACTGTTTTTCATAGGGTTATTTTATTTTTTCATTGGGACAGTCCTTTTACTGACTGTTTTCCCCTCTGCTGTTTTATAATTAGTGAAATGAGAGCCTCTCTTGAACTAAGCAACGTAAAACAAATATCAAGCAACAGGAAGCGAGCAATATACCAGGCATCTGCATCTGTTTTGCATCTGTATTGCTGGATAAAGGAAACCGATTTTATTTCTTTTTTCATGGATTTATATTTAATTTTAGGCTCAATTTAAGGTATACTAGAAATGGGAATATTTAGCTCAAGGTCAGATTCTTAAGCTCCGTTGCTCCCCCATGGTGGTGTTAGACTTTGGGTCAAGAAGCTCCTTTGCTAGATGATTCGATTGATCCTTCATTTTTAAAAATTTTATCAACAAAAACTTATGTCAATACAAGTTCTTGTGCCCACAACAACCACTTTCTTCCTCTGTGTTGTCCAACTAGTGTACTTCACACAGCCACTCAATAAAGACAAAAATTGTTATATCACTAGTTTACACACTTCACGCTGCATAATTAAGATTTAAGAAGTTTCTGTTTGCTATCCAAAGTTTTAGACTTCTTTTTCTTAATCAAATATATGTTGTGTAGTATTTAGTGGCTCAAGCTGAACAGACTTGGTTGAATTGTATATGAAAAAATAAAAATGAAACATAACTTAGAAATAACTATTAACACAACAAGTTAACTAAATTGAAACAAGTTTTTTTTTATATCTGCACAGGAGCAGGTCTCCTTCCACGGAGGCTCCTAACTTGCACCATCAAGTTTCTACAGTAGCACAGAATAGACAAACTGGTAACAAACAGGAGTGAATGGCAGTGGAATTTGCATCAGTTTCAGCACTAAAAATTAGTCTAGTTAGTAGTTCTTGTTAAATGGAGTATGATACTTATCATACATCACAGGAGCTTCTTGTCCTCAAAGTTCATCGCCATTTCACTGAAAGGAGGGGTGAGCAAGGGAGCATTTCAGTGCAGGAACTGCTAGATACTACTTTATTTCCCCCTTTATACACACTGCATTTTTAGATTGGTCAGAGTTTTATTTTTAGGAGCAGCTTGACAGAAGCCTTTTTTGTGTGTGTGTCACAGGGCACCAGTTGATTTACTCTATCACTGCTGCGGTGATAAGAGCAGCCTGCAGTTTCTATCAGATATAGTCATAAATTCCTTAACAAGATCATAAATTTGCCTTTAAAATCCATGCTGTGATTTGTTTTGGATGGCAGACATTTAAGGATTCAGTAAATGGTGCTTTTATTTTAATGTTTTAAAAGCGTATGAGATTAAATGTAAACTTGTTTTACTGGAATAACAAAACTGATAACACAAACCCTGATAAAGAGACCATAAAGAGCAGTAATGAGCAAGCTTCGCTTATCTAAGGCTGTTGCAAGGAGGCATATTGTAGCATGCTGACATTACAGAGTGGAAGTTTCTTGTAATCTCTGAGATCTGTTGTTTTGATTTTGTTTTTGCTTTGGATAAGACCCCGAAAGGCCATTTTCCTCTGCTTCTGCATTTCTTATAAGTATTATGTGTTCAAACTTGAAATGATTTCCAAAGACGCTGAATGCACACCCGCCAGAGGACTTGTAGCCTCCTCTTCCTCGCTCAAAATCTATTTTATCCCTGCTGAGAAGTGGCTCAGATGAATTTAATCCCAATAACCACGGCCCACTGAGACCTTTTCTGGCTTACAAAGGTCTGAGCTACCAACAAAGTGCTTGGTCGCTCTGACTGCTGACCACCCTGGTCTTGTGTGTTCACATCTTTTCTTGTTATTGCCAGAATTGATTGTGCTAAAAATGAGAAAAGGTCACAGCACCTATGAGGCTTTTGCTTCCTTCATTGCTAGCCTCTGCAAATCAAGAAAAGAGAAATACCTGCAAAGCACAGATGGTTTCGAATTTATACAGATTATCAGAGATGTAAAAAATTGGAATTCAGAAAGCTACAGCAACTGTGGTTCTTGCAGCAGCATCAACTTGGATCCCATGCTAGGTTTGTCTCTCATTTGGTTGATTGATTTTGATGCTACTCCCTCCTCACTCCTTCTACCTTCAGGCCTTTCTGTCCTGTCCAAAAACAGAGCGAAGAAGAAGCATTTGAAGAAATAATTCTAGTTTGCTCACTGGGATTTCACAGAGTGTCAGAGAGGCTATTTTATCCTGCACTCACAGCCTGCCAGCCTGACAAGTGGCATGCAGCCCACTGGAGGAGAGGTATTGGCACACCATGAGTATGACCTGTAAACACTTGGGCAGTCTGTGGTCATTTGGCCTTGGATAGACAGAGTGTTCTTTCCAGGCACAGAAGTCTCCATTGCTCTCTAAAATGGCGACATATGGCAAATGCCGCTCCACAACTCAAGGTAGAGAGGCTGTATCAGCACAATATTGACGCTTCACAGCACCGATGCAGCTCCGGTGTCAAGAAGTGTTGCTTATTTTCTCCCTGATGGACTGCAGGATTTTCTTCTTTGCCTTCCTGCCTTTCCTCAGCATTTCTCCTAACCTCAGGCTTCCAATACTCAGCCCTTCTATTTCGAAAGAGCTTCATCTTCTGCTGGGTCAATGGAATACACATCTCAGTGTGGCTTTCCTTTTGTGAGGGTGAAGATTGGCTACCCAAGGCAGCGGCTGCACACTCAGGGTTGTTGATGTGGTGCGATTTCCACTGAAAATGCTGTGCTGGAATTAATGACCATTGTAGAATATTCTCCTCAGGCAGCCTGAGTATTTGAAGCAACACAAATGCACGTATATATACTCACTGACAAATATACACATACCCCATCACATGGAGAAGTGATGGATGTTTTGCAGAACTTTTACTTTTGCAGAGTTAGGTTTGATTTGTTTGTCAAATTACCGAGAATTCCTGCGTGAAACCTCTCACCCATCGAGCTGAATAATGCAGAGCCTGTTACATATTTGTGGGGCGGAATTTTAAATTTTGTTCGTTTGGGTTTAGCAAGTTGCTCACAGAGAATATCAGCCGCTGACTTATAAACCCCCAACTGTATTTGAGCTTGTTTGTGTTTGCTATGATCATGAGTGACAAGCTAGCAATAAAATAAGCCTGAAGTGAAGTGGTCCTGTGGAACTGCCAATATAAGCTGTATTTATGTGTTCGAGCCTGTTTGTGTGTGCACCCCTGTGCGTTTGTTTGTGTGTTTGCAAAAGATTTGCTTTAAATGAAGTCTGACCTTTGCAGGAGGACAGCCCTGCTTTCAAATGGCAAGTTGTTTATTGAAGTGCCTCCTCCACACCCATTGCAAGCTCAAACAAATCACTACTCATAATGTGAAAACATTCAAACAGCATACGGACACTCAGGGATGGCACACGGCTTCATGCACAGTGTAAGACTCTGGTATGGAATTGTTGATGGCTCATAGAAAATTTTAAGCAGCTCTGCTGTCACTCACAAAAAAAGAGAAGGAGACTGAGTTCTCTCCATAAAGTGGCCATGAGGCAGTAAAGTCGGTGTGTTTGCTCAGTACTTCAATAGTTGTGTGAAAGCTGCAACGTCTAAAGAACACTTTAACAATGTTTGTCTTATAAAGTGTTCGTTATATATAAAGTGTTCTTTATAAGATATAAAAGAGTAATGAGATGAACTTCTGTAAGAACATCCTTTACAGTGCACTGATAACTTTGCAAAACATGACCTTCCTTTTCTTTTTCATAGTGTGCTTCTAGTGTACTGATGAGTGTGTGAGTGTGAGTGTGTATATATATATATATATATATATATATATATATACCCTTGTCTGTTCTTAGATACAAGGTCTAGATTCTGCTTTTACATTCGAGTGAGATTGCAATTAAGCTGCTTTTAACAAGATAAAGTATGCAGTGAATTTTTGATGAGCAACTGAATTTGGGTGTTAATTCTAAACTCTCACTTTTTTTCTCTGTAAGGACCTGAACGGCACTCTGAAGAGCCTGCTGTCTGAGTGGTTCTCAGTGGGTCTCCTCCGATTGGAGAGGATCACCTGGAAGTCCCCCTGTGAGATTCTGCAGAAAATCAGCCAGTAAGGAGATCCATGCACCCTAAACAGCCTTTTCTTTATTTCTTTCCTCTACGTTTTTGTCATTTCATCATATGTTCTTTAAGGATGCTCTAAGGAGACTATTTCCCCATTGTTTAATGGAAATTTCAATTCATACTACAAAACTAGTTGAAAGGTAAGAAAACACTCAGTTAAAATGGTGCATTATTTCTTTGATAACACAGAAACACAGAACACAGAATCCATGTAAGTTTGGTTAGCAGAGCTAGCACCACTTGCCTTTGTTGTGCCCAGGCTGATGGTTGAATGACTATCTGACTTGTGGCTGGAAGATGTGAAAACATTCTCAGCTCCGACTCTCGAGCTAAAGGATGTCAGAATTGTTGAACAAAGCTCTCTTGGTAAAATGGGCCATACAGAAGCTACATGCCTCCTTCCATCAGTCACCAATAAGAATTTATGCGTTATTCCTTCCCAAATCTTCCTGCCAGGAAGAAGTGCACAAAAAACTTTTAAATCTACTCTGAAATCACATAAATAAGAGACACTTACAAGGGTAGGGTGTGTCCTATACACCAGTGACACCATTACACGAGTATGAAATCCAGAAAAATGTATTCTTTACAAATGTAGCTGTATCCTATTTTAACAGCTTTTCCCCCTCATTAGCTTGTAATCATGCATATGAAGAAAACAGTGTTACACTATTTAGTAGGGGTCGGTATTGGCAAGGACCTCATGATTCGATACATATCACGATACTTGTGTCACGATAAGATTCGATACGATTTGATAAGATTCGATACGATACAATACAATATTTGAAAGGTCCTCATGATTCAAGATGTGAAAATACAGTAATAATATATCATGGTATCACAGTTTTAATCAGTCAAAAACACAAGTTGCTGTAAATGAGGATACTGATCCAAGGACAAACTGAGTCAAAACTTTGTTTCAAACAAGAAATACCATTTCAATTGACTGCATAAGTGCTACATGTTACTGAACAGTGCGAAAAGTATGTGGAAAATGAAGTGCAAAACAAAGCACATAGGTGCAGGAATCACCAGTGGCCCCGCAATATGATATTATCATGATACTTGGGCCATGATACGATATTATTGTGATTTTTAACATTTTGCAAGATAGTGAGTATTGCGATACAATATATTGCAATTCATTCAAATTTGTAAAACTGTTTAGCAAATTTAGCATTTGTCTTTCCTTTATGTTTGTCTTATTTATACAGTATTTTATTTACATGTAACACATCTTGTAAACCTTATGCGGCCATTTGCGCCCTGTTTGCATTCCTAATGTCCTTCCCCAGGTGCTGCTATATTTGTTGTCCTAACTTTCTCCTGCTCTTTGATTTCACCTCTGCCAACCTCACTAGACAAACAGTTGATTTTATTTATCCATTATCATAGATTTGTCCTCACTAGAAATTAATTTAAAAAAATCGATACTTGGTCAGTGAGACGATACAATATATCACCAGACAAAATATCGTGATACTGTGCTGTATCGATTTTTTCTCCCACCCTACTGTTTAGTAAATCCACTTTGTAATGTGCTGAAAAGATGATCTAATTATGAGAACACAAACGACCAGCAGAGGGGGCACATGAGCCTCGTCTGCTTGACTAAAGCCAGCATACTCACACGGTCTGACTCTGTGTATACTTAAGTTATTCAAACACTGCCTTTAATTAGCTCAACCAAGGTGACTAGAAAGAGCTTTACAGAGTGCTCTATTTACAGGACCAGCAAATGAATGATGTGCTTGAGTCAGCAGGTCTAATATCAGCAGTGCAAGTATGATGGTGATAATAGGGGGTCAGAGTGATGAGATTAACCATAGCAGATGCAGTCAAGCAGTTCTTAGATTAGTATTGGCATAATAACCGTATGGTAATGGTGAGAATGATGTTAATGGTTGCAGCAGCTGGAGTCAAGCAGGCCCAGAAGAGCATTCAGAGCAAGAGAGCTCAAGAACTCTTATTACTTCACCCTCCAAGTCCATTTGGTGCAGAAGAAAATAGAAAGCTTGTCTCTGTAAGGTTAGCAATCAGCCTGCTTCAGACAGACATGCTAACTCTGAGCGCTTTTCCAGATATGAGGCAGTGCACCCGGTAAGGAACTGGACCGATCTGAAGCGCAGAGTGGGGCCGTACCGCCGCTGTTATGCCTTCACCCACGCCGCCATGCCTGGAGAGCCGCTGGTTGTTCTACATGTGGCGCTCACTGAAGACATCTCCGATAACATTCAGGTCAGAAGCAATGGCTGGAGGCATTTGTAGTTCTTTGTCTGACTTAACTATACCTGGGAGGTTAGTTTGACACTTGGGATTTACTATTTTGTTCCTCTTCAAAGCTGACAAATGGGTTTTGTGAGAAACAATCCAGAGACCTTTAAACTGCACAGCCCTCTGGGAACAACCTTTACGGTGCTGACCTTCTTTATTGTTTTCAGAGAGGAAAAGGTGGTTTTGACAACACTGAAATTTGAAAATAGCCCACTGTGTGAAAGAGGGCAACATTTTCACAGTTTCGCTCTGGCAGCTCTGAAATACAGACTCCCGTGGCAGCAGCTCTGCAGTGTAAACTCTGGAAGAGATTATAAAAGGAGGCGTAAATCCAAATTTCTCTTTTTGACTCTACCAAAATGTTTGTTTCTGTCTTAGAGTATTGTCCGGGAGTTTGCCACCCTTGACTCCGAGGAAGATGTGAACAAGATAAATGCGGCGATCTTCTACTCCATCTCCTCCACACAGGCCGGCCTACAAGGGGTGGAGCTGGGCAACTACCTCATCAAGAGGGTGGTGCGAGAACTACAGGTGAGAGAGTGGGTGAGGTGTAATCCCTGCTAAAACTTTGTCCAAGTGACACTGGTTTGACCCGGTGATCAAAGTGCACAAAAGCTTAAAGTCATAGAAATAACCTCCCTGGGTTCAGATCGAACCTCTGGCCCTTAGCAAAAATCAACTCTTTATTTTTCAAAGTTCTCTATCAACAGGCCTATCCTGTCAACAATGGATCAAAAGCCCAATTAGTAATAATAATAATACAACATTTTTGGTCTAAGTTTTCTGTATTTTTAATGTTGGGATAAGTTCAAGCATTTTTAAAAGAAGTTCAATCACATTAATATGGATAAGTGTGAGTTGTTGGCAGTGGATAAACATTACAGGATAAAATACAGCTTTTTCATCAACTTTGACACAATTGTAGCTCTATTAAATTAGAGGGCTTAAACCTCATGCACATAACGCTTTTGCTCTTGCACTTGTGCTCGTACCGTTAGATACAGCTGTTTTAAATTGCCTTAATTATATAGCAAAAAGACCTGCACAAATATAGCTCTTTTCTTCTCTCTTTTATTCAAAGCATTATTACATTGCTTGTAACATTCATACACTGACAACAGAGCCTGCGGCAGTAGGGGAACCACTAATATTAGCGAATTTCATTCAAACACATTCACACTGATTGCTGAGAGCAATTTAAGTGTCAGAACTGAAATACCACAGACGACAGAATACCACTGTGCTGCAGCCGTCCAAGGACATATAACATTAAACAGAGAAAACAAACTGAATTTAATCTGTGTCCCACTTCCACTGAAAAGCTAAAAAAATGTAAGTTTGAGTGAAATTCTGCTTAATTTAGACTTTGCTGCATCACACTGTTTTTGTTATTGTTTACTTTAAAGTTAAATCATTTTTTTAAATTAAACTGTACATATCCGAAGTCATTTTGCATAAATGTAGGTGTTTTAATGTCCAAGGTCCTAAAGATTCCATATGATGTAAACCATATTATTTACAGGGTTCCTACACAAGTATGGAAAAGTATGGAAGTAACTTTCAATTTCCAGGTCTTAAAAAGTATAGAAAAGGAAAAATAAAGTATGAAAAAATATTTAGGTTTCCAGACTTTTACCACGGTGAAAAAAAAAAAAAAAGGTTTTCTAAAAAGTAGGATATGGAAAAATATAGAAATTCCAACTGTGTAGGAACCCTGTATTTACTTTGTATTCCAACTATGTTTAACTTTATATACATTATATCCTCTAGCCTTGCAATTCTGAGAAAGCAAAGTTTCTGCGGCTCACTGACGGGCAAAACATGTCTTCTTCAAGCTCATTTGAATTTTTTCTCTTGACAAGAATAATGTGAATTATATGCAGTAAACAATCCTTTCCCTTCAGTGAGAAGCAGTGTTGCTTTTGTTGTGGTTCTACTTTGGCAATGCAGAGTCAGTCTGTCAAGAGTTAAAGCCAGACTCCCCAGCATCTCAGTTGGTTAAAATAACCAACACAGTTGTCTGTACTCTGTCCCGGCAGTGGAGGACTGAAGAAAACCGTGGTAGCCTTCTAGTTTTGATGACAAAACCAGCTACAGTTGGTGCTTATTTGTTTGTTTTTTTTGCTCCTTCAATAATGAGGGCCAGCCATAAAAGGGGAACACACTGCAGGAATAACACTCAAGTGGTAACTTACCACTTAGAGACATGCTGTTATAACCATCGGCTGACTTCTATTCAGAGTCTGATTATTATTCTTGTGCGAAGTTTGCTCGCTCAGATGGAGCACTTGTCATGTTTGTTTGACGTTTTTCATGAAGCCTTAAGTATAACTGAGACAAGGTTAACTCAGTTCAGTAACCATAAAGTACTCAGCCTTATCAGCAGAGCCTTCAAAGCACCCCGTCTCGTTATAGATAGATAATACCACCTTATCATGACAGCACCTGTGACACCTGTACAGATACAGCTGTTAACTCCTGTCGAGCTCCTCACCTCCTCCCCTGTGGTGTAGCAGCTAAAAGTGTTGTTGGTTTCCTCCCCTTCACAGCACGTGTCGCTCTCAGTGGTCTCACATGGTGAATTCAATTAAAAGCCTACACAGCAGCCTTCAGGTGAGGCCCAGCAGGCGCAGCATCATCCTAGCGAAGAACAAAGCTATGACGTGCGAGATTTTTGTTTAATTTCTCTCCAAAAGTTTTCATTTTTAGTTAAGTGTCGGCACTGAATCATAAATCTCACGCTTGTTTAAGCACTTGCTGCATGCATACACACACAAACAGAGCTGCAGCCACCAGACAAGCAGTAATGAAATCTCATCCATCCCTCTCAATAAGCGCAGAAGAGCCCTCCATGTCGGGCCACTCCAGCTAGCACTTGTAAAATGATTTGAACACTGAATGGAACATCAAAAGCACTTTATCTAGCAGATGGAAAAAAGCTCTTTATGGTGCATCCTAAAATCAGGTTTCAGAGCGTTAAGCTGCCTCCACTCTGCTTATTCATACAATGAGACTGTTTTGATTTCTGAGAGCTTTTCACTTAATGGCATTTTTATTAATGTCAACACACAGTCCATGGAAGCAGATACTAGTTTTTATAGTTTGCTTTTACGTTGAGGGTATTTGTGTTTGATGCAAGAAACTGGGTTATTTTGAGCCTTACAGGCGTAAGTGATGTTTTCATCAAGAGGTCTACTAGCTTTCAAAGTCGGTATCCTCTCCTGTCAACTTCTTTCTAACGCAAATATTCAAAGGAACTTTTTTGCACAGAACTCTCACAAATCTGCTCTGCTGTGGTGTTAGATAGCCACACAATAAATTCACACACTATATTACTGTAGACAGGTGGATATGGGATAAAGAATATTGACAGGCTGAGCAGGGTGGAGGGGGTCCTAACTCACCCTTGGTGCAGTGTTGTTTTCGTCATATTTCGTCAAATATTTTCGTCAACGTCAGCGTCAAAAAAGGGAAATACTTTCGTCAACGAGAACAACACTGGTTGTTTTCGTTGACGAAAATATTTCCCTATTCTTCCACGACGAAGACGTAACGTTGACGAGCTAAACATAAGTCGGAGATGACTAAAATGTGACGAAACGAAAGTGCGTTTACGTTGACGGGACGAGACGAGACGAAAACGACGAACAGAGTGGCAAAACTCAGTCAGTTAAACGCTAAACATATAGGAGCAGCTTCAGTCTGCTCTGACAGCTCTCATCAGCCTGCTGTGCTCCTCCAACACACAGACACACACACACGCGGGCGCGCGCGCACACACGTGCAGTTTTGTTTTCATTGACGATGACGTCAACGTCATGGTTGACGAAAACAACACTGCCTTGGTGGATTATAATTTGCGTAACCACCTGTTAACCTGACACTGTCCCTACTCTATTTCTTTGTGCAGCTGGAAAAGTCACTTATATTCCATGTTGATATGCCTCTTTACAGCCTGTATCTATTGGGCCATTTTCCAGTGAACCTATTCCACCACGTACCAAAACAATCAACAAACACGTTAGCAATAAGCGAACACGATTAAGTGGAGCGATGAAAACACAGAAAGCAGTTTTGTGCCTTTCGCACATGCCATACCACAGCTTTGTCTTATTTTTTTTTGCATCTTTTCTTCCATTGAGGTTTCATATACCGCTTCACTTTCTACAGCACATGCATCCTGTTTCACCTCGGGGTCATAGCCCAAGATGCAAACCGTGGAGCATGTGCTGAATGCATAGATAAGTTTGAGTCCAGCTGAGGTGAATGCATCCAAGACTGGACATTCCCATCGAAGGTGATGTTAGACTAAGTGAACGGGACTTCTGCAGGAATATTTATGTTGATATTTCTGTCGTCACGCAGTTCTTCTTCTTCTTGGAGCTTTAAACACACCATTAAACATGTATTCCCACTGAGCAATAGACAGCTATTAGACGTCTAGTATTTTTTTTAGACCTAATTTCAACCGTCTAGATTCTGTATATTTTTAGACAGAATCTAGACGTTGCACTTTAACCCATTATTCGATAACTATTTATCTAAAAAAGGAAATGTGAGTCGTATTACTGATCTCCAAGTACTTCTAAACTGGTATGTTCGTTGTACAAGTACGTCTAAACTTGGTCTAAATTTAGACATCTAAAAAACTTTCATTTTTAGACCTGTGGTAGCCTGATTTTAGACCAGTCGTCTAGGCTACTTTTAGACGTCTATTAGACCTCTTTTAGACCTAAAAATGCTCAGTGGGTTTGTAAATATATATGGTCATTTTTCTATCCACAATGTGTTTCCTGGGGATTTTTTCATATAAATACCCCATGAGTGCAAATGATCCTTTATGTGTCCAATGGGAGTCAAGCCTTTGACCTGGACAGAGTTAATGCTGGGCTTCACATTAAGGGCCTCAGAATAACCACGGCACAGTGGTATTATGCAGCGGCCTGTCTAACTGGCAGGGCATTACCTCCTGTAAAGGTGAAGAGAGGAGCAGTCAGCCACAGAGGGACCACTCTGATGATGGATGGATGATAGAGAGAAAAAGAAAAGGTCACAGTCGTGATTTAAGGTGAAGGGAGGAGGTCTTGCTTGTCTTTGTAGATTGGACCCTGGAGCACAGTTCTGGCATTTATCCATTTTTTTCTTCACCCTTTCTTTCCTGTTACTTTTCACCTTTCCTGCTGCCTCTCTCCTTATTTCCACCACCTTTATTCAGTGTTAAACCTTTGATGACTCTCAACACAGAGGCCGAGCGGGAAACAAGAGACCAGGGTCAGGGTGATAAGGGCCGGATCTCTGTACGAAGACTGTGAGGAAAAACAAGGAGAGAGTCAGCGGTGCATGGGAAATGAAGGGGTTTTATTTGGAAGTGAAAGAGGAAGAAAAGTGTTGCAGAGTGATGCATGCAGGCAGCTCAGGTCCCTGCAGGGGCTGTCTGACACTTCCACTTTTATTCGTAGCCTTTCACTCCTCTCCCACACCGCTCAGGTCAGACGCCGGGGCGGGAAGATGGGCAGAGATGAGGGGGGGAGGATTTTGGCAAAAGAAAGGATCGCAGAAGAACACTTGGGATTGTGTTTGGGTGTTTTTTGTGTGTGGGTGGCAGAGACTGGGCATGGAAGAGAAGTCGTTTTTTTAGAGGTGAGAGTGCGTTGTCAGAGGGAGGAGGAGAAGGAGGATAGAATGGGGGGGGCGGGGGGCGGGGGGGGGGCAGGGGAGGAAAGGAAGGACCATCCATCTCCATCTGTGAGGTGGGATGGTGAAGGAGTAGAGCTGACTTTCAATGCCACTGCCGTCTGAGGAACTAAAGGCTTGAGTAGCAGCTTGAGCATAAACAGAGAAATGTAGTTTTGTAACTTTGGTCGAATGTTTATTTTCCCTTTTCCGCAGCTACAAAGCTGGCGCCCTGTGAGTTCAGAGAGGATCAAATCTGTGCTGTCTCTTATCTGTTTACTTTTTTATTTTTTACCTTTACCTCTCTTCTCTTCTCTACTCTTCCCTTTCCCCTGTTCTATTTTTGTTTAGTCCCTGTGTCTGTCTCCTGTCAGGCTGGTAAAGGAGGTTGAACAAATTCTGTGTTAAGCTGTGTCTGCATGCATGTTAGTCATTTTTGTTACGAGGATTGGAAAAAAAAACATTTTATGTTTTTTAAGGAAGGATTTGACTGGAAATAGCACCACTAAGCCCCTCTGAACAAACCTCTGACATGTTTTTTCACCTTTATTTTTGGATCATTTATTTACATTCCAGAAATGTTCTCGGTTCCTCTGGTGGGATTTGCTGCATGGCTGTGCAAACTGAACACACCAACATGCTGTTTTACCATCAAGGTCATGACCTCTCAGCATTTTTAAGCCTCATCTCTGTCTCTCGATAATCTTACTGATCACTATGCACAAAAACATAATCCTCACCTTTTGTTGCTTGAGGTTAGAGCTGCCATGGTTTCCTGTTTTCACCTCAAGGCTATTATAGCTCAAAAGTTCACTATAACAATATAAACAAACAAAAAACAAACAAATAAATAAATAAAACTCAATCAGTCAATTTAAAACTCCCATTTGACGTTTATGAAATAGACTAAAATTCTTGTTGATGCCTTTTAATGATATACAAAAGCAAATAAAACCATCAGTTTTATATCTGTGGGGGGGTTAGTCCATACCCTGCAGCTGAAGAAACAGCCATGTTTTTACAATTTCCACGTAAACTATCTACTAGGAATGATATATTTGACTGTTAAAGTCAGCAGAGTGAGGTTTGTTAAAATAAATCACGACCGTCTTGCACACTAGTGCAACATGCATGTATTTTGTTGTTGTTTAGTATTACGCGGGACCATATGAATTTACAGTCAGTGATACAGACTATATTTGATTCCTGGCATCTGCTTCAGTTGCACTTCTTCTTTAATTTGTTGACTATGTCCTTATGAAGCCTTTGAACGAATTTGATCCATTTTAAAGATGCAGGCTTAAGCTGTTTCTGATTCGTGGCTTTCCCAGCTGCCGTGTTCAGTGTTCCAAAGTGTGTGAATTTGTTTGTGAAGATGAGTGAAGCATTCCTAATAACATTAGTCCCAAAGAAAATAAACATTTGAATTCAAGATGTTCCTTAATTATTCATGTATCTTACACCTGGATAAGACGAAAGCAGTAATGAGTTGTTTGCTGGCAGACACAGCAGCTTGAAAAATCTGAGTGGGTAAAATTTCTGAACTGGTGCAATAAAGCTTCTAATAAGATTCTTCCTACCAAAAGATCTGAGTTTATTATCTTCCACTGGATTCATAATATTTTTTCCTTAGAAATACCTTTTATGAAGTCTTCTGCTCAACCTTTACTTTTACTTTCAGCCTTGAATCTGCCCTACAAGTGCTTATAAGGGCTTTTAACTGATTGTCCTCAAACAACTTTTCACTTTAGTGTATCAAGCATTTTATGTGGTGGCATGTTTGAAGACATAAAATTAAATCACTATTATTTAACTCATATAATCCTGCCATTGCACTCTGGATAAAAAAAAAAAGGTGCAGTAAAAAGAGAGGGCCTGTTTGGGTCATCTCTCACAGGTATAATCTATTTTGCTGGAGGCAGAAGCGAGGTCATGGGAACACCATCTCTGAGTTTGATCCCATTGATAGTCAGGATATTTGGCTGCATTATAAGTTAAAAATTAATCTATGTATAGACTTCTTTTTCTAAGAAACACTGCTGCCTCCTGCTGTGCGTTGGTTATTGACATTGTAATTCTGTATGCTTAATTGTAGCGAAGTGAAAGTTAAATAACTAAAGAGAAAAAAAGATTTTACTGTTTTGACAGCGTAAGTCTGGAAACGCCTGGGCTAACCTGTCCCCTCTTCTTCTCCTCTAATGTCTTCCAGAGTGAGTTCCCACATATGGGTCAGTTCTCCAGCCTGTCTCCAATCCCAGGCTTCTCCTCCTGGCTTCAGGGCCTGCTGAACCAGTTCAAGAAGGAGAGTCGGGGGGCTGACCTCCTCTCTGAGCAGGAGTGGAAGGAGGTGGAACAGGCTACAGACTCAGCCCCGGGCACCCCCGCCATCGAGGCTCTCCGCAAGTTGATCGGCACCAGTGAGTGGATGCACTCTGAGCGCCTGTCCCGCGTCCTGGAACCCGCCCTGATGCGTCTCTGCGCCTGGTACCTGTATGGAGAGAAGAGGCGTGGCTACGCTCTCAACCCAGTGGCCAACTTCCACCTGCAAAATGGCGCCACCATGTGGAGGCTCAACTGGCGTGCCGATATCAGCCCAAGGGGAGTTGCAAACTCCTGTGGCATCATGGTGAACTATAGATACTTCCTGAACGAGACCTCTAAAAACAGCGCCCTCTACCTGCAGAATAAAGCCATCACAGCATCAGAGCAGGTGCTGGGACTGGTGGGCCAGTTTCAGAAGAACAGCAAGCTGTGAGACGAAGACCCACCCCTCTGCACTTAAATTTATCAATACAGTGACTTCTTTTCATTTAATTTATTTTTAATTCTGGTGTTTGTTAAATACACAAACAGCTTGGGAAGCTGGAGGGACATGGAATGAAAATATTTTCTAATTAAAAAATAGGAACATTTCTCCATGATGTGCCTCCTCCCTCCTCCTGTGTGCCGTGCGTTGGTTAGACTATCTGCGTCATTAGGTCTCTGGTTGAAGCTGTTGATTATGTGAGAGTGCTTGAGAGGCTGAGAGAGTGCGGCTAATGAAGCGTGAGGCATCTATCAATGCTATGCCATGTTCTTGGATAACAGTGTGTGTAATGGTGGAGCAGGAGCAATGAGGGAGCGCAGCTACTGGAATAAATGATGCTGAGATTCTCTCTTTTGGCTGAACAGACTCACTGTAAACATGTTGGATACGAGCAGAAGATTAGTTTTGTCTTGTTGGGTATATAAACACCTGCTGTTGAACTGTTAATTTCCACTTCAGCTCAATGCACAGACTGGAAATGTTGTTTGATATTAAATAACTACACAAAACACTCCTTTTCCCTGCTTTTTATCATGACTACATATTTAAAGGGATATTAATTAAGGGTCAAATACACCGTAACACCAAGTTGACACCCCGTCGAGAGATGAATGTTGCCGACCGCTTGCTTCTCTAGTTATACCAACCAGTAACAACCGCAGATAGCAGTCGAAGAGCCACGGGCTTAACCAAAAAGCCACTCTATAGCCACAAAAAATGCTCAGAACAGCACCTAACTTCATCAACAGTACATATAGGATTCCAGCCATAGTACTAGCCACCAAACATCTTTTAAAATTTGCCTAATTTCTTAAGCAAAGAGACTAAACACAACTCACCTACTCTCTTCCAGCTGTATGGAGACCTCCGGGCGAGTCCATTGACTGCAGCGGGGTGATGCAGCTCAAGGAAGAACATTTTAAGAAATTAACATTTGTCTAAGAAATTAGGCAAAGTTAAAAAGATGTTTGGTGGCTAGTGCTATGGCTGGGATCCTATATGTACTGTTGATGAAGTTAGGTGCTGTTCTGAGCATTTTTTGGGGCTATAGAGTGGCTTTTTGGTTGAGCGCATGGCTCTCTGTATTGCCATCTGTGGTCGTTACTAAAGCTGGTATAACTAGAGAAGCAAGCGGCCGGCATCATTCATCTCTCGACTGGGTGTCTGACTCAGTGTTACAGTGTGTTTGACCCTAACTTAATTTACCGGAACACCGGAATATCCCTTTAACAGTGGATGCAGCAGGCCGGACCCACCTGGCATCTACATTCAGAGGAGAAACAGACACACTAACATTACCCCCCAAGAACCATCACTGATGTTCTAACTGCTCTGTACAGGTGCCAAGCAGGGCTCGTATCAGCCAACGTCCCATTGTTGTGAAATAATATATCACAGCAAGTTGACTGTGAAATTACATTTTATCTCTCCAAGGAGCCAAACTTTCCTTTCATTTTTTTCACACACCCTCTACCCCTCCTCACAGCCCGTGCTGCTGTGTGTCCCAGAAACTAATGGAGTGAGAAATAAAGTTAAAGTAAATGGTTAGATTGATGGTGTTCAGTCGTGGGGCTGAGGAGGGGGAGAAAGAAGCATAAAAAGGACAGTTGTTTAAAGGATGCCCTTCAAAGACGCTGTGAGTGTTACTGAAGATCTCTGAGACTATAAGAGACTCTCTCTTCTCTATGTGGCAGAGAAATGCGCTCAAAACATCTCTCAATGGAGGTTAATGCACACTGTCGTATGTGTTGCTATGGAAACACTGAAAAACTGCACACCTGCTGGTAGCTGTCAAACTTTGTTCCTTTTAAGAGATGACCACAGAGCACTTTGACTCAGACGGCCTTTTTAAAACACCTAAAATGGTTTTATTCAAAGCGTCCGACTACGTGTTATTCGCGCAGTGCTGCACTTTTTGGTCCCTAAGTTAGGCGAAGGGTACAAAGAGGTTGGATTAAGCCCTTTCACTATTTGAAGGTATGTTTTAAGTGTAACATAGTTCAGGCTAAATCAACATGTCTGCTCCTATTCCCTTTAAGAGTCAGATGCACTTGCAGAAAGGGGTGTTTCTTTTTAGGTAGCAGATTTCAGCCCTGTTAGAGCACGGTATTTGACAATGTCCTGAAATGTTATTAAAAATCTAATAAAATGTAAAAACGGGTCAATAATGTAACGGGATGCTGAGCCCAAAACATAACTTTTTGCCCATAATGTAGCAAATTGTCACATTTTGGATTAGCTATTACAACTGTGCTTTATTATATTTTTTTAATAGCATTTTGGGTCCTTGCTACATATCGGGTTCAGACAAGGCCCTTTTACGATAATAAATTTGACTTCAGCTGGCGCATTATTCAGTGTGTTTACTAGTTGTCCAAAGTAATTGATTAATTGCCTTAAGCCGCCTGAAACTGAACTTATAAGAATCATGTAGATATATTAGTTTGACTGAAATCAAACTTCTCAAAATCACTTTTTTTTAAAAGTCCAAACTGAACATTTATCGGTCATTAACTAATGTTCATGTGCTTAACATCAGAGACAGGAAGGCTGTAGTCATTTATGCTGCTGGATCTCATGGCTGTGTTTTTTTTTACTGTATACACAATCGATACAAGACTCAAGCTAAACTTAATTCTCACCAAGGGTTAATTGTGTCACAGCTGGCAACATACACAAACTGAGTACAGAATTACAATGTTTTTAGTCGGTTTGTTCCACATTTGGGAGGACTCTATGTACATCCAGATATTGTGTCGGTGCAGATGATTTCTCTGTTCTCATGACAGCAATGCATCACTTTTCTGCCTGACCCCATCTCAACTTAAAACTAACACACCTATGGGCACAAACACGGTGCAAATTCATTGGCTATTTAAAAAAGCTATTTTGCTAAGTGCAAAGGAAATAAGTGCGCCTGATGGATATTAACGACACCTGCTGAGCCACTTGGCTCCAAATGTATGATAGAGTCCTAAATGTCCAGCAGCTCTGAATGATAAACTTTTAAAGATTGAACAAGCAGTACAAGAGATGTAATGACTTTTCAAAGTTATCAGTCAGACATTAGTACCCAAAGGGTTATGAAGAGACATTACTCACACGAGGAGGAGTTACAGCACTGTAATCTGATTTATGAACACATCAGGTCCCGTTTAATGAAATGAAACAAACCTCAGCACAAGCTTCAGAGGACGGTGCTGCGAAACTGTCTCATGGGAAGGTTTTAATTGTTTTAAATTGTTAAAGTGCTAATCAAGTCTGCTTTCATGTGCTGAATGGAGCAATTTGAAAAGGCAGGTTCAAAGGAGTAAAATCTGAACATGTTATTACAAGAAATCTGACTGTGACAAAGGCAGTGTTTGATGTTATTAAAAAAGTGTGATCAAACAGCAGGACAGCAGAAATTGGATATCCGTGTTCGAGCGACTTTGGAGGCAAATATATGAGGAAGCATTCAGATCACTCACAGTTTCAACACTGGAGCTGTGTGTACTCAAACTAGTCTCCATTTGTATGCAGTCAGATTTCAGTTTTGTCACATATTCAGCCAAGCACATGCTTAGTATGGATTTACAGCTGAGTTCAATATCGTGCAGCCCTGTCGTCCGACACGTCCTAGGTCCAATACTTTGTAAAAAGCAGAAAAAGACCTGATTAAAATTGATTAGAAACTGTCTGTGGCTGTGGAAATTCATGTCGTACCTAAAAATAATTCAGTAATTCAGGAAATCCTTTTATTTTTTTCCAGAGATGAGACATGCGTGTGTGTGTGTGTGTGTGGAAACTGGTGTGTTTCATTTCTTGTCCCTCGTTCGGAGGAGATTGCCTTACAAATGAAGCTAATCCATTTTTCACAGTTCACGGTGGCCGCAGAGATGGTGGAGGGCTCGCTGTGGTATTTTCATGTTCTAATCAGTCTGATAAGGATTGAGATATAAAAGCCTTTGGTCCTCATCTGTACAGAAAGTTTAAAGAGATGACTGTGGGAATAACTTCTGGACTAAACCACTGATGAACTATGAAATGTTGTTTTTAATCTTGAACTTAGAGTTGCGTTTTGAGTCTCAAACCCGAGTCAAATCTGGGGTGTTTTAACTTAAGACTCACCAAAGAAGAGACAAGATGGAGTAACATGGGGATTTATCAAGTTTATCGAACTGAAAAAAGGTCTATCATAAACAACGCAAAAGTGTTTTAGCAGTAACATAAATTGTGTATACTCAAATAGGAGTGGGAAGAAATGTAGCACTTATTGAATCACCTCTAATCAATGAAAAATTAACAGTTTATTCAGCTTTTCTTTTACATTTATCAACTAATATGATAATCATCTTTTTCAATCATCAGGTGTCAGTTTATCAACCAAAAGTCCTGCAGTTAATGGAAAGTTTGTGTCCTATTCATCTTAAAAGCTGCTTGACTGCAGAAATGCACAAAACTACTCACTGTACTGGACTGTCCCCGTCTGCATTCAGCTTGCATTTCCAGTAAAATCTCTTAAAGTAAAATTCACCAGTCATGGCACCCCTGTGAGAGTCCTGGCCAGACCTGTAGCTGAACAATATGAACTGAGTGAAGGATGGAAAATTAGTCTTTCTCAGCTCATAAGTCTGTGCCTTTTTTCATTTTACAAGTGCAAATGCAGTCAGTGTTTGAGTCTGAGTCCAAGCCACTGGTGCTTATGTCCAGCTTGTATCATAAATCCTGATGATAGGTGCTGAAGTTGAGCCTGATCTGTGTCTGTGCCAATTACATAAGACACGATTTATTACTTTATTAAAAAATGAAAATCAATCCAAACACTCACAGTCGGACGCTTAAATACAATAAAAAGAAGATCACAGACTCTAACTAGGAGTAACTTTTGAGTTTATAGATGTATTAGACAGTGCAAAAGAATATACTCCCATCTGAAAAGTGAAACTGATGCAAACTTGCCTTAAACCTGTATTCGCTCAGCAGGGAAAACTCGCCTGTTTGTGTAGATAGGTCTTTTTGTATTCATGCCACAGAAGCACAGTTCTCACTTCACCAGAATAAAAATTTACCTCGTGTGTTTATGGTCTGAGTGGCCTGTTTGAGGTCTCCCTCGGTACAGCATGTCACTGCTTAGAGCTCCTGTGAGGAGTCTTTATGAAACAGACTGAAATGAATACTGATGCCTCCATGTGACCCACTAAAGCAAATAAGATCACTAGAGACAAGATCCTTTGCTTCTGTAAAACCATTTCTGATGCTTAAACATGCTGTTGTAAGACAATGTTATAACTTTACAAGCCAAAAGTGCCTTTTAGTACACTTTCTATGGCGAAGATGTTCAGCGGGTGTTTTATTATTCACAGGTTTGATGTTTTAAAAAAAGTGGCACTGCTTTGTCTACAGGTGGGGCGATGTGGACTCATACAGAGTGGAAAATCAACAAAAAGCTGACTGTGACTACTGAAAACTGTGCATCACTTACTCTCAGTACTTGTTCATCTTTAGGTCCGTGACAATGAACATTTGTGCAAATGAACACATCGTATTTTGCAGCCCTGTGATATTTGCTCTTATGTTGTGTTAGATTGCAGTGATGAGCTGTCAGCATCTCCATGAACAGCCATAAGTGCGCATGGAAACACCATATTACCTACGTGATGAAAGGCAGGATGAGGTTCTTACTGGGATACTGAAGGAAGACACACTGACTGTCGCCTGATAATTAAAATGATAGTGACTGTTTGTGCTGGCATTTGCAAATTGGGAGTATTTTTGCAGTGAGGTTAATTTGAGAAAGAGACTTATACTTTCTGATTTGAATGCATAATGTCTGATTCAAATATGCACAAACAGTACCACCGTAAAGATGCACTTAAGTTGTGTAGCGCAATCTCTGGTGCGTTTAAGCCTTTGCATGAACTTTGTGAAAAGGTTGGAGACTTTTTGCAACTGAGGCAACCAAAAAGCTTAAGTGTACTTAAAGGTGGTTACTGTGTGGCTTTAAAGTCAATGCCATGTCAACCTGTCTATTAGTATAGAGGAGTAGCAATGTGGATCCACCTTTATATCCAAATATGATCAATACCGCAGACTGTATATAGAATGGACGCCGTACTTCTCCTAGCTGGGTGAAGCCACCGCGAGAACAGCACCCTCTGGTGACGGGCTGCAGTATAGGTCATAAATCCCGCCTCCTCCAGCAATCCCTATGGAGCTGTGGACAAACTATAGAAATTTATTTCACAGGATATAATTTTTCTCCCCCCCGCTTGCGATGTTGACATGTAGTTATTGTAAGACTGGTTTGTGCTCAAGTCCTCTTTTTTCTGTGCAGCTCAATTTTTAAAAGTTATTAGGAGGTTCATGTTTTCTATGATTGACACTTGATACAGCCTACGGGTGTGTGAAAATTGTGTAGCTCACCGAGAGGATACACTGTTTGAGCCGAGTGTCATCACAGTGACTTTTGGTGAATGCGTACAATGATACTGCACAAGTGGTGGAGTGCATACAACGCTACTGCGCAATGTTGGTTGTTGGTTTCAGGAAGTGGAGAAAACACTAAAATACTGAGAGCTTTTTGGCCTTAAATCTGTGTACCGATGGAAGGTGGAACCAAGTTGTCCATAGTCATTACTGGTTCCAAAAGCAAGATGGTGACAAGACTGAATGGCCAATGAGGCTTGAAATCCAAACTAATTGATGAAATGATTGCCCGTGCCATTTTTGTGTCTTTTAGCTGTCTTTAACATGAAATGAGTCACAGTCCTCTGAAGAAGAAACAAACAAACAAAAAAAAGTCTTTGTAGATCATGGTAGCCTACGTCAGTTTGACCCAGGCTGACGGATGTGTCCTCTGAAATTTTATAGGGTGTAGTGTTTCGCTTTAACACTCGCTCCTGACATTTGAGGGAAATCAATGTATCTCGCTTTTACAGCTTGAGACATTTTTCACACTGCGGTCTGGAGCACACATGTTCAAAATGTCATAATGTGAGTGTGGTCTATTCGTAGCAGGGTGCGCAAGTGAGTGATGACGTGAGAAGAGAGGGATTTTCATTTAAAACTGAGAGCTAGAGGAAAATAAACCGACCTCCTAAAAGGTGGTCTCTACCTGCAGGTCACTGACTCCCGTGGTGTTCATGTGTGTGCGAGTTTGTGTGTAGTGGGAGGGTTCGTCCGAGTGCGTTAATCCATTCTTCCTGGTCGCTGTCGATGGCCCTCCTTCATGCTTCTCACCTCACATCAGCACCATTCTCCTCCCTTTCCGCCCTCCGGTAACCCGGCCCTGCACCCGGACCTCATCCAATCCTCTGGATCATCTTCAAAGGGCTTCACGGTTTTACGAGCAATCAGGGCACACACGTTCAACATGTACATGTCCACACAGCTACAGACACAGACATACACACACACACAGCCTTTTGAATCTGCACATGTTTATCAGTGTAACCTTTAGAGGGCAGCAGAGTCTCACTCAGAGAGAAATGTGGAACACATAGTTCAAACAATGCTTCACCCTTAGTTCTCCTGCTTTCCTGATGTACCATAACCTTTCTCTTTTCCTTCAAACCTTTTCCTATCATCCTCTCCTCCTTTCTCTTTGGTTTGCACCCAGCTCTCTCCCTCTTACCTCCTCCTTCCCAATTGCAGAGAGAGTTTTAGATTGACAGATCTGCTATATCTGGTTATCGGCTGTAATTAAAACTAATGTGGCTGGCTGATGGCATTTTCCACCCTCCTTCATCCATTGCAATTAGTCAGTATTAGTTGACCTGACGTCTTGTATCATCAGATTGCATTACTGAATGCAAACGAGGCAAACAGGCAGAGGTAGTACTGGTGTCACCTGGGAGTGACAGCCACAGGAGGCCTGGTACAGCTGCCGGGCAGACTGAAAAGGGAGTGTAAAAACTCACACACAGTGAAACACAGAGAATGAGCTTATTGATCCTCTGCATCACTTTCTTGGATCACCGAAATAGTTTTTCAGCAAAAAAGTTGAACAAAAGGTTTCATAAAGAGCACCAGTATGCGCACACATACACACACACGCGCTGTTGGCTTAGTAACAGGGTTCATTGATCAAGTAAACAGTCTAAGTCCCAGAGGTGATGACCACTCACAGATCGCTCTTCATTTGTCCTTTCCTCTTCTCATCTTTTACCCTTAAAATCCCGACCACCAGGAAACATCTGAATTTATCTTTTTTTTACTCTGATCAAGTTAGTAAAAAAGCCTCCTGCTGCGCATGAGTCAAAATCCTCAGACTTTTGACAGTTTAAAATAAAGCAGATGTTCAAGCATACGCTGTTTGGTGAAGTTAAAACTGGGACACATTGAAATCTCAGCGAGACAAATATGCATGTGATGTGAAATTTCACCAGGTGTAAAACTCAGGAGATTCATCATCTCTAAGTGCCTTACATAAAAATTCACCACCCTGGACTGTACACACTTTGCAGAATAACGCCCTCACACAAGTTTCAGCTTGCTCATTGTCGAGTGTAGCCCTTTTCTTGTTCACAATATCACCTGCGGATGAAAACACCTGCTCACTTCATAACAAGTTGCTGTCTACAGAGTGAGGAGTCACCCTCATGTAGGTTTGCATCTCTTGAATCGTGTCCTTGTTTTTGCCACAGCCTCTCAATGTGTACAAGTTCCCTAATAGGAATCTACAGTACTTGTTGTTACTCTGCTCATCAGTGGTGCCTCCTCCATTGCTGCTTACAGAGGGTGACGTTATTCTGACTTCCCAAAAAGAGGACAAGACTACGCGGGGGCGGAGTCACAGAGTTGCACGAAGTTAATTCTGAGAGTTTTTCGGGTCGGATCAAGTGTCTTTTACACGCTTTTAACTCAGGTAGTCCAGGTGACACAAACTCGAAACTTACGTACAAAACCACAGACATTTGAAGGATTTTATAAACTTTCCCTGGACAAAGACAGACAGCCTGGACAGCCCCCCCAAAAGAGGACATGTCCAGGAAAAAGAGGACAAATGGTCACCCTAGCTTACATCAAGAGTAAGACAGCTGCTTTGAACACAGTGGACATACAGTTTTCTGTCCTTAAATGTTTGGTGTTGTGATTGTCCGCACAGTGTGGCTTCTGTGTCCTCCATTTTTGTTTTGTAAAATTACTGTATTAGTCTGGAGGGCATGGATTGGCGAGGTTCCAATGAGGGTGCCCTCTGCTGAATCATACGGAAACCTACTTCAGGTGGCCTGATGTGCTGGTCCATAAGTTCTGGCTGGTTGCAACTCAAATATGAACTTCCCCCCCAGAGTTCAAATGAAGGTTTGGATGAAAAGTGACAGCCCAACTCTCTTTACATCAATATAATTAAAGTCGATCTGCCAAAGCCTGGGATAAAAGCACCATCCCGAGCAAGAGTCTCTTCCCCTCACAGTCAGACACAAAGCAATAATGGAGTATTTAACACACATAGATTATAGTTCAGCCTTGATGGAAGAGGCTGGTTCATGCTGCCATCTCCCACACCCATAGATGAAATTTGGATTTCAGAGGTGGGGGGGACACATATTACTTGAGTACTGTTGAGTACTGTTGAGACACATAGCCTAGCAAACAGCACATCTCGCACACACAGTAACAGAGGAGGCAATACGGCCAGCGGGTGGATTGAGGTACAAACCCGATACAGGGATGTAAATGAAACCTCCGATGAATGTGACGAAAATGAACACCGCCCTCCTGTACACTTACATTGACGAAAAGCGATGTTCATAGAGTGACTCTTACGAGAAACTTGCAAAACACTAGTCTGGCGGGCATGGAATGACTGACAACAGGGATTACCAATCACACACAAAAAGTGGCCCTGAGGCAGAGCCAATCAGGGACCTTGTGGGTGGTTCAAACCAGGGGAAAGCAGTTCTCGGCTTGAGTGGCCGTTTAATCCTAGTGCCGTGTATTGGTTTGCTGTAGGGTACAGTAACATTGTTGTTTGATGGTTAAAACTGCAGGGGATGAAAATAGGCTTTTGAAAAAGTGGCGGGGACATGTCGCCTGTGCCCTCCCCCCACAAATTACGTCCATGCTCACAGCCGTCAATCATCTGTCATCAATCCTGAGATCCGAACGGCATCATGGCTTTTTTTTTTTTCCTCAAAATGACCCAACAGATTGATCAGTCACCTTTACATGTAAAATTTGTGAAATTTCCCTTTAAACATCCACATAAGTCTTTTGAAAGCCAAATAAAGATAAAAATGTATTTCCCATTTAAATTCAGTCCATTCATGAAGTCGACCTCATGTGTTGTTCAGAGCTCTCGGGTGTATGACTCATTCATCTGAAGCTGAAAACCTCCTCACAGCCGCAGAGACAAACGGCTTAAATTATTTCATTTTGTCTCGTCAAACGAATCCTTTATCTGATGAAACATATAACACACGTAGACAGAGAGAGAGACTTTGCTTCTCTTCCTGTGCAATCTGAGCAGTAAGTCAACGGCTTTTCCTGTCAATCCAGTTGTCTCTAACAGTCACTGCGTGCACTCCAACCCACAGAGGCTACATATCTCCTCCAAATTCTCATGCTTCTCCAAAGTTATCCTCAAAAATCCACCGACTCTGCTTCTCTCCCTCAGACTGGCTCACAGCGCAGCCTCTCCGCATTAACTCTACCTCTCCCTCCTTCCCTTCATACAGACATGCAGAGCCGTCGCAGAGCTGCATATTGAACGGATACGCCGTCCCATTTCATGAAGCTGTGAGTCTCATTTAAAAAGATGCAGCAGCTGGGCTGACACGCATGCTGCGTCTGGCGAATTCATGCTCCTTCTGCAGCGGGAGAAGGAAAGAGAGGAAGCCCACAATTGTGTGACAAATTACGTTTTCTTATTTTTCATCCCACTGATTTATTCCTTCCTCCTTCTGCACTGCTGCCCATCTACACCCCGCCACCCGCACCACTCAGCCACTCCCCCATCCTGTTTCCCATCTTCTCTTACCCTTTGGAGCGGAAGGCCTGTAGCAGTGGTAATGAGGAAGGTTAATTGGCCTTGCTGTGTCTTTAGGAGGTCATAGAGAGTGGAAGGCAGCGGGAGCAGAGGGGGTGACAATTTCCTCAATTTTCACTTGATGGCCTCTAACTTACCCTCTGCTGTTTCCACATAATCTGAACCCTTCCCCGCTGAGAGTCGTCTTTATCCAGGCAGTGTGTGGATGAAAGAGAGGAAAACTTTCATACAGATGCCCACACCTGAGACACTGTTCAATTACTCAGGGGTCACACTCTGATACCGCATGCAGTCAGAGAGCTGATTTGCATTTCCACAGAGAGATAACAGAAGTTGAACAGAAATGAAGAAAATGAATTGTTCACTGTGATGGATTGCCTGTCTCAAGCAATTTTCAAGGCCCCGAAAGCCAGTTTTCTCAGAGACAAAAATGAAAGCAGAGAGTACATTTTGATGCACAGAGGTTTCTGGATATCTGTTATTTTTGTAAACTTGTCTTACGTCTCCATAAAGCTGCTGTGTGAGTTCAGTTTTGACCGAGTTACCTCATCAGTTCTAAAAGGAGCTGGGTAAGTTCCTGAACTGACCTCCCTTTTACCCCTCTGCTGGATTTTGCCTCTATACAGTATCTCCTAACAAGTAATGAAAGCCTGGAGTGATGGTTTGCCTTGTGCATTCAGAGTATCTGACTTTCACTTTCCTTACAGCAAATACATCATCCTTGCCTTCTTGGTAGTAGTATGTTCCCTCTTTTTTACAATCTTCCAACTTAATGTAATAACTTGTGATGAAATACCATTTCAGCATTCATCAAACTGACATGAAAAAAAAAAAAAGACTCGAGCATTTTATGAAACAAATACCGAGCAGCCACATCAATCAAAGAAACAGGTTTGGCATGCTGTATTTATTTCCTTTGTTAGCAGCCATAAATATAGGACTTAAAACAGGTTTCATGTTACGGGACCGGATAAAAATCTTCATTTTTGGTGCAAAGCATTTCCAAAGTTTCACTGTAGGCTACGTAAGACTTAAACCGGCTAAATAAATTAAAATATAATCATTCTGTTATTTGTAACAATATCCGCTTTTTTTGACGCTGTCTCTTTATGGTAGCTCAGCTTGAGATAACAAAACGCGATAAGAATTATGGCCTAGCTTAAGACTCAGGGCTCTATTTTCGTGTACAACGGTGAGGCGGCGGAGGGCGGCGAGCCCCGCGCAGTTGTATTTTCGTCTGGCGCAGCCCGGCGTATGGCCAGTTTGGTATTTTCGTGGACTGAGGCGCACGGAGGCGAGCCGATGTCGGTGTCGACAGAATCGACAGAATCAGCGGGCGCAGTGACATTTTCATGCTCGCCACCGGCGTGTAAAGTGCGCTGAAAGCTCGCCGATTCAAACCTGGTCAGCTTTCAGCGCAGGCGGAATGCAGCTGGTCTAGTAGTATTTTGGTAGACCGGCGGCGTATCGACATACGTCACCGATGCCTCACCGGCAGGTTTCCACAGTGTCAGGCACATTTCAGTGCAATAAATAATCAATAACAACTAATAATCTGAGTCAGCACATACATTCAGATCTATATCGATATATTCTGATCTATATCTGATCTGATGAGCGCGTTTGGCACGCGTTTGGACACACAACCTGACTGAATCAACACAGCTGAAACCGCATTAAATTAAATTAAATATCTAGTAAATAAACAAACATGATTAAGTTAACAAGATATGTAATGTGTCTCCCTCCTTTTCTTTCTTCCTCTTCCCCTTATTTCTCGCGCAGCTCGACCTGGACATGTCTCTGTGTCCTCTCTCTGTCCTGCAGCGGCTGAACAGATGATTTGTTTCAGTGATCAGATGCGTTATCTACTTTAAGCCGACATACGGATATTATAATATTCAGTTTTGTGAGGCAAATTTATTTTATATGCCAACATCTATGAAAGAAAGAGCCAGGCCACGGAGCGCGATGCGTCATTTACGCACAGATGGTTCCGATTTTAATGCCATTTTTGGAGTTTATGTTGTGATCTGTGTGCTCAACCCACCTTTGTCACGTGAGGTTTGAATATGAGCAACTTTATGTGAGTGTCTTTATTTGTGGAAAAGGGTGTTTGTCTTACTAGTGGGTCCAACATTACACACACCAAATCCATCTGTGCTCATATGAGAGAGTGTGGAGGATACCCAATGCAGCGCTTACAGTGACACTTGTTGAGGAGCTGCCTTCTTGCGCCATCTTGTGGCATTACTGTCTTCAGACATCTCTTGATCTCTTTGACTACTTCATGAAAATAGTAATACGCCTCGCCTGTGGCGGATTTAAAGGCAAGGAGAGGAGCTGATGTGATTGGTGAAAACAGGTCTCGGCTGTGTTAAACCCACTCCACACCCTTTCTCCTCCCTCGCTACAACTTATGCTGCTGGGAGGAGCTGAGTTAGGGAGGGGGGATACTTACGCCGGGCTCCGCTGCTCACCGAAATACCAAATTGTGCTTGGGAACGCCTTGTTGGCGTGGCCGACCTGACTTACGCCGCGCCTGCAGCACGTCTCCGGGGAGGCACGAAAATAGAGCCCCCAGTGTTGCAGAATTACAACAATTTTGGTTATCCCCAAAAAACCTCTATTTTTTTTTTTTTTCGTTCAACCACATTAACATGATCATTGGGTCCTATTACTTACTGATTCAAGTGAGTAAAATGCTTTGTATATTTTTTTGGTGTTTATTACAATGTCTAGAACATGAACATATGTAGTTATTGTTGAACATATGCCCTACATTTTATTTAGAGCTTGTTTTATGATTGTTGCAGTATTACAACGTTGGGTCAAAGTGGTAGCCAAAACAGCCCTGCTTTTGAGAGGAATGTCTTGAGAGGAACTTCAATTAAAATTTTCACAATATGACTTTAAACTACACATGATTTAAACATTCTAGCCTTAGCCTTATATTGGATTACATATATTATTGTATTAGAAACTATATATTAAGATATATTGCTGTATCTAAACATTTTCATTTACTTATAATGATTTCTAACCACCTGCAACACTCTCAGTATTTTCTCCTTATCACAGAATGCAGGACTTTCTAACAAAGAAATTCTGTTTGTGCATGTCTGTCCTTTGTCTTAGTCTCTATGGATAAGAAAATGCTCCTATCAATTCTTAGTCAAAGCAGTTGTGGGGGATGCTCCTGGTGCATTTGAGGTATTGTTCTGGCTCACCCCGGGGATACGTTGTTTGAGCCGAGCATCATCAAAGTGACTCTCTCGCCGGATGTGGACAACGCTACTGTGCAAGTGGTGGTTCCAGGAGGTGAAGAAAAAACCTGTTAATACCAAGAGCTTTTTGGCTTCAAATCCGTATACTGGCGGAAGGCTGAACCAAGTTGTCCACAGTATATACAGTCTATGATTTTAAACCATGAGATAAACGTATGTTGTAATAACCTAGAAAATGGATGTAAAATGCTCAAATTTTGGACAAATGCAAGATTATAGTTTATGGGCCTGATCTACTAAGATCCCAAATAAGGAGCGCTAAATTGCGTGTGTAAACTTAAAAATGTTGTGGGTGATCTACTATGATTGCGAGCTTAATTGGTAATGGATGCAAAAGTGGTGAGGACCGCCCTATATTTAAAGTATTTTGTGTGCGCTTCTGGCTGTCACCATGAAGAGTTTGGGAGAGCAGAGTGGCTGTAATGGAGTCTCACCTATCGTTTTGGGGAAGCCAGGACTGAGTATAATGTGTCTGTGCCCGTTGAGTTTTGATGGTTGTTGTGAAAAAGCAAATCATTCTTTAAAAAAGCAGTGTGTGGCCTTCAAAGTGAGGTGGTTGCATTTGAAACGAGTTAAACACATCATGGCCTCAGTAACACTTAAGAGCAGAAAATACAATAGACTTGTTCTGAAAACAGCAGGAGTGGAGTCAACACAATAAATAGTAATTCCTTGAAGAGTTTTGCACCTTGGTGGGAATATGCTCAGCACACTGAAGCTGTAAGTACGCTAAGTATACACTGTGAGCTATCATTTTGCTGTGCTGTAACACAATCCTAAATAACAGTTGCAATAAAAAGTTTTGTCATTTCAGGTCGAACAACCACTGGAACTGTTGAATGAAATAAAAAGTAGGTTAGGTTTGTTATTTCCCAGAGCACATCGTTCAGAGTTTTAAGAGAGAGGTTGCGATGCCAAGGCTATCCATTAGTCATGTGTCTCTTTCTTTCTCTTTTTCTCTCCTGTCTTCACTTTTTGTCCACACAAACACCTCCTTCCTCTCTTTTTTTCCACTCAATCTCCACCACTCCTGTCTTTCTCCATTCCTTCTCTTCATCCATCTCCGCGCTGCGGTCAGTTAGGCTTCTCTCCTCGTGACCGATGAGAAGAGCCATTGATCACTATGAAGTCAGCCTTTTACACCTAATGAAAAACCCGCTCGCTCATTCCACACATGCAAAGCGTCAGGAGTCTTTCACCAACAAACAAACACACATGCACACAAGAGTCTAGTGTTTTTGAGGACTTGATCGAATCAATACAAGTGAGCAGAGATGCAGGAACAGATGGATGGGTTCAGCGTAACATATTCATGTGTTTTTCTCACCGTTCCTGCCTCGGCACCGGCAGGCACGTGTTACTTCTACTTCTTGACCTCTTGCCTCATCACACATGCCTCTCTGGATGTTTTTTTTATTAATGCTAAACTAGCTAGATGAATGATTTGAGGGAGTGTTTGATTCAATAAATGCGCCTTGATCACATTACAGAGTGCTTCAGAAATAAACGAGAACAAAAGAATCGCTCACCAAAGGGACGGCTAATATAAGACTATAATCCATGGACAGAGGAAAGTGTTGCCTAAAGGCTGGTTTTTGTTAGACCTCTGTTTCCTGTAAACTGCAGGTGTGTATTTAAGAAAGAGACATAAAAATACACATGCACAGCAATTAAAATTTAGCTCAATGAATATATCAAAATTACATAATATGGGGTGACCATATTCTGACTTCCCAAGAAGAGGACACAACTACACGGGAGCAGAGTCATAGAGTTGCAGAAAGTTAGTTTTGAGAGTTTTTTGAAACGGATCAAGTGTCCTTTACGCGCTGCTAACTCAGTAAGTCCATGTGACACAAAATCCAAACTTCTGTACAAAACTGCAGACATTTGAAGGATTTCATAAACTTCCCCGGACAAAGCCGAACAGCCCCTAAAAAAAAGAAAACATGTCCAGGTAAAAGAGGACGTATGGTCACCCTACATAATGAGTGCTATACAGCTACATAAGTGACTTTGCATATCACCACCCAATCCTCCTCAGACGAGCCCTCCAGTCCTCCAGATCCTCCATGCTTATCTCTCAAGAACATACATGTATGTTAATGCTGGACGTCCCTGAGTCGATGTTGTCTTTTAGTCAGGAGCTCCCTATTTCCTCAATCCTCTTCATATTGCTAGTAAAAGGAGACCTATTATACCGACGTATGGGAAAACCTTCTTTCAGCACTATAGCCTTCACCTGACCTGCTTCGTTTTAGCTTCTTTCCACCAACGTTCAGTTAGTCACAGCCTGTCCTTGTTGCCCCATTGAATAATTT